AGATGTTGCAAGTAAAGCATTGTCATTCCTCTATTGTATCCGTATCCAACCTACATGGGCTCTACTTCATCCAATGTCCCATCCAAAATCCGTTCCCACGTCTCCAGTCCCCCCTTTTATGGCTTATAAATTCGTACCACCATGCATGTAACCCAATCATTCAACGCTTCGCCTCCTATTTCTCCTTCTTGTCTTTATCCTCTGCCGCCTTGATTGTTCCATGTCCAGACTTTGCATATCCTCCCATCAGCTTCATCAGGACCCAGACGAATCCCAGGCCTACGGCAACCGCCGTTCCAACTCCCACCCATTGAGACGCTCCCTCGGTCACTACGGGGACGCTGATGTTGTTGATGAGACGGCCATCAGCTTCTGGCTTTGGGCTCACATGCCAAAACGTAGTGCCTGGGTTGAACAGACCGTCATACCCCAGGTTGATGCGGTCAAATGGATTGATAGCATAGCCAACATCTTGTTCGCCATTGCACGCCCAGAACACCGCGGGGTAAGGAATTCCTGCCTCTTCCTTGCCTGTCGGGGAGGGCTTGAGATACCGTAGATGAAGAGGCACCTCAACAGTCCAGTTCTTGGCCGCAGCCTTGTCCTTGGGAGGCGCCAATTCAAGAAGCACGTTGGATCCCCACTCCTTGGTTGTGTATGCGGGAGCCTCGAGATCCACCGGCTCGCTCACGTACTTTGCGGCTGCCAAATTTTTGGACGCAAGGAATAGCTCATCCGCCAACTGGTACCTGTCCGCAAAGATGACCTTCGGAAACGTAAAGTATGCGTATGGAGCGCACTCGGCACCGTCGTCAAGTGGAGGTGCTGTCGTTTTAAGACTCAGTTGTAGAGTGGGGTGTAAACCTGTTGGTTGCTGAAACTTGGATGTGAAAGTCCCCGGTGCAGCTCTGTGTCGCGCTGCAAAGGCAAACATAGTTGGTGATGGCGTCTTCGTTTCCCCGATGACTGCCAAAACTCCCGAGACACCGACTTCATGCGCCTCCATGCCCGGCGCGTCGCCTATACGTAGGATGCCGACTTCAGTGCGGCCCTTGGGTGATGCAGGCACAGATATCTCCCGCTTCTGCAAAGGCCATAGGGCTTGAATCTTGACAGACTCCGAGGTCGAATCGTAAGACATGTCCAAGCTGACGGCGTCCTTGAGCTCCTGGAGCTGTTTCCTGCATTCGGCGGCAGTTGGTCCTGAGCATACTACCGGACCGAGCCTCTTTGCAAACCCGTCCAGTTTCTCTAATTCATTGTAGAAGAATAGGGCAGGAGAGCCTGCTTGACGCTCATTACTGAGGTTTATGAATACCTATAGAAGTAGTTAGATGGTGATTTCCTTTAGGGATCTATGTGTAGATGAATCTCACATCGGGAGATGAGCAGTCTAACCGGCCAAATGCCTGAAGAGCCGTGCACAGCTTTTCCCTATCCCATCTGTTAGCCATTGAGTCTCATACACAAGTGGAAGGGCTAAACAAACGGGTCGTGGTCCTCTTTGATAGGGGTATATGATACGTGGAGGCCTGGAGAGATGCGAGAGCTAAAGGGTTCCAGCGTGTTATAGCTCGCCGGCGTTGCCCATCTCAGCTGCAGCTGGTCAAGATCGCGAAGAAGCCCAGCGATTTCAGAGGGAAGCTCCGGCAACGTCAGCGTGATTTTGTGCTCCCGCACCGCCTCCACCGCCGGGCCTTGGACTTTGACGTCGTTAATCTCCAGCTGGTTGGGGTCCATGTCCGCATCTTGCGGGCTGAAGTATGTGATTCTCTCCCTCATGATGGATGGCTGATGAGACGGGCTGTTGTGCGGAGATTGCAGTGAGTAGCTAGAGTGCGATGGTGGTCTCGAAACTGGATAAGGTATTGATTCAAATACACGCTATGCTTGTGCTGTGATTATAAGTGCGAAGTCCCGAGGGCGGCTGCTGGTAATTAACGATGAATGTTCTATGGATGTTCTTTGTTGTGATATGACGACAGCAGATGGAATGATCCGGCTGAGGTGTCCACTAAATCTGCAATGCCGCCTTTAGTGGGCGTTCAGGCACCCCCCCCAGCCGCTATAGGGGATGTGACCCCACTAGCTTAAGGGGGAGCTCATTTAGCCTACAAGATTGGGGCGTCCGTGTGTCTACATTATATATGAAGTGCCTCCTTTATTCCTCCGTACATGCTGCTTTCTTAACCTGAAATGAATTACGGAAGTGACATTTCAACTAATCAACTACCTAGAATTACAAGTTGATGAGGCCAATTCATGAGGCTCTGAGCTGCGACATGAGATCTGCTCATAGCTACGATGGCTGAGAGAGGCGTCGATGGCCAAGAACTATTATATCCACACCGAATGAGACAAAAAGTGTATCGTAAATGTAATTCGTGTTATTAAAATTCAAGATATTATCAAATAGGATTCGTGGAAGAAAACTCAATCCGGAACTCTCCAAAACGCCAAGGCATGACTGTCGTAAGCTCCCATCTCATAACACACAGCAAAGCCTGCTATCCGCGTCTGGTCGTGTACCGTACCCTACACATCCCATCGTATTATGTGCTTTATACGCATCCCATCGTATATTCATACCCACATCTTGTACGCATCTGGTCGTATACTCGGACCCTGTCCGGAGTAATAATAGATCTCACCCCTTCGACTCAGCCTTCGACGGTTAGATCCCATCTAATATCGCTGCTTCGCTTCATAAAGCGCGATCGGCACGCCTTGTCCTGGACATCCCACAATATCTGCCTTGAGATACTGTGCCGCCCAGTCTCCCCTGTACTCGATTCTTTCGTATCGTTGCAGAAGACGTACCACTATGAAGTAATCGTTTAGTAAAAGGGAGTGGGAAATCATGCCAGGATTCAAACTGTCCGTATACGCGTACGTGGACATTTAGTCCATTCTCTCACCACCACAGCATCACGATGGGTTATAAGACTCACATGTGAAGGCCATCTCCGTCATGGCAAAATTTTGCCCAATGCAGATTCGAGGCCCACCGTTGAAGGGTACAAATTGCCACGGCTTGGGCGTCCAGTGTTCCCATCGCTCAGGGCTATAAATCGCCGGGTCGGCAAACTTGTCAGACACTGGAGGATAGAAATCCTTGACACGTTGCATGGCGAGGGTGCTATAGAGGATGTGATCTCCTTTGAGCGTTGCGATGTCGGGTTGGCCCGGTTTGCCTAGCAAAGTCGAGTCTTCAACTATTGTTGAATGAGGTAAGTATCTGTCTTTGTGTTGTGTGAGAATGTATACGTAGGTGTAGATACTCACGGCATGTCCTGACGTTGAACGGGACCGCAGGATAAAGCCTCAATGTCTCGTACAGAGCATGGGTAAGACACGTCAAATCCTTGAGATGCTCATACGTTGGTGCTGCCTCGGGCCCGACTGTCTCGAGAACGCGGCTTCGCAACTTGCGCCAAATCTCAGGGTAATTGGATAATTCGTAAATTGTCCAAGACAGAGTCGCTGCCGTGGTGTCTCGTCCCGCCAACAACACGGCCATGATCTGGTCTCGAATGACCTTTGGGTCTCGAGAAAAGAGAGCCATGTTGTGCAGAAATGTGAATTCCTTGTCCGACTTGGATATCGACTCCAGCTGTTCCGGTGTGAGAGTCAAGGTCGCATCGATAAAGGGTTGGATAAACTCTTCGAGGACCTTGATGCCCTTGTAGTATTCGGCTTTGGGGATGAAGCGTCGGAAGGGTCTATGGAAATCGATTAGCAAGGATAAGGTAATAGGGATCCGAACAAGGCACTTACGCGAGTATGGCGAGAAGCATTTGAGTGTGCTGGACCTTTGTAAAAGCAGTGGTGAATTTACCATTGGGGCTATCAACGTGTTAGTCAATTCTGCAGTTGTAAAACTGCATCTGTAAAAGAAACATATGAAAGCGTGGTGCATAGCTCACTTGTCCAAACTATCAACACTTGAACCTAGCAGGTAATCTGTGATTGCATCCAGTGTCATGCGATAGAATAAATCACAAATATCAACCGTCTGTCCCGAGGGCGGCAGCTTCGAAATCAGCACATCGTTCCATCGTTCAAGAATGTCCAGATCTCTAATCTTCTGCTTGATAAACATTGGCCGGATCAGATTCCGGCTTTGCTGCCACAGCTGCCCGTCTGTCGTAAAGATGCTATCGCCAAGAAATGGCTCCCAAGTCCTGTGGAACATCTCACCCTTGCCGAAATGCGTAAAGTTGGTCGTGAGCAGTCCTTTGATGTGCTCGGGATCAATGGTCAAGATGGATCGGCGGCCGAAAATGGTCATTTCGACGGCGTGGGGGCACGTCGGATCTGCATCTTTGAACATGTTGAGAAAGTTTTCGAGCATTCGGTTGTTGGCGTGCATGTATCCGGCCTTGAAGAAGTGGTAAAATGCTAATGGCCCGGTTAGTGCCTGTGATGCTGCCCATTCCTTGGGTCACATAGTGTTGAGGCATCTGTCTTCATACCAGTAACCGGGTTGCCAGCGAGGTTGGAGGCTCGAACTCCATTGACTTTACTTAGTCGGTAATTGACAACCAGCCGCTCGATAATCCCAAAGGAAACGACGAGACATGGTACAATTATGAGCAGCGACCATGCCTGTCCGGGGACCAGCGCCTGTAAGCTCTGCAACATGGTGATCTTGAATCGATGTGGTACTATAAAATGGACATTTAGCAACAGGTAGAAACATTAAAACAACACGGATGCATCCTAGAACGCGCGTACTTACAGATCTATATATGCGTTTTAGGAAACAATGCTAAAGTAAAAAAAACATGAGAGTTTGTCTTTGATCCCCCTGTCGAATCTAAAGCCCCGCACGAGACTACTGGTAGATTGACCACAGCCAACTGTTGGCCGCATACATTTAGCACATGCAATGAGATCCTTCGTCGGATGGAGGAACAGTCCGTTAACAGTCCGTTGCGAGCGATGGAAGCTCAAAAGATTGCGTATGTCACAATTCAGCTGGTGGCTAGCGCGTTACCGCAGAGATGGTTCATTCCTGTTTCGAAATGGTCTTGTGGAGATACAAAGAGATCAAGAATCGAGAACGCCCGTGATGCCAAGACTTGTATGATGGATCCATTAAGTGAAATGGATCACTATCGCATATGCCTGCACATATAGAAAGTTTCAGAGTAGCTACATGTAAGTAGAGAGAACGCATGATAGTCCGAATCCCGCGGGATCCGGAGGCCTCTTTCAATATTCCCAACGGAGTAATAAGTGCGAGTGATTGATTCGTCATATGTTAGGTGAAGTGATCCAAATGGTTCTTGAATCATCAAACCACCATCTCATCTCTGATCTAGACTGCATGGCGATTGGCTGCCAACCTGCATCATCACCAAGAATGGCATCCCGACCCACGTCCTGTGTCGCGCATTCGACAGCAAGTCCACCAGCCTCATGGCTGATTTTATAATGAATTGATGTCGGGAGTACTGCAACTTTCACGTCAACCTCCTGTTCTCGCCGACAAATTCCTGCGGCTGCCATTGTTCCATCTTCATATTGAAGCATCATTCCCTTACACAGACGGTCTTTTCTTGGCGTCCCTTCGGGAACCTTCCGCCGGAAAAGCCATATCTGTTGGACATTCTTCAAGTCCACAATGGATACATAGGTGAAGCTTGAGCTCCAGCTGAATCCCCGCGACTGAGTCAGCTGTGTTGGGACTATTATGGGCGATATATCTGTATCATTGGCAGAAGCTGAGACAGCTGCAAAGTAGCTTATTCTTTGGAACGGAAAATCTGCATCCTGGAACAAGAGATGTGTAGCTGTGTCGTTGTCACTTAATTGCTGAAAATCAACCTCTGGCCGATCTGGGCACAAGTATTTGCCAAATAACTGGAATCTTCCCGTTGTCGTGATTATCTAGAGATACGTTCAGTTAGCGGTAATCATTTGTACGAAAGCTGTAGCGAAGCAGTAACGTAACAACATACAGCAAGAGTATCTGGGATACTATGGTCATAAGGCTCACACCTGCGGGCCCAAATTGAACTGATTCTCTCTCCTTTGACAAAGGGAAAGAAAATCGCAGCCATAGAGCTACTTTCTGTTACTGATGGTATTATCTGTGCCACAGGAGGTGAGTTGTCGTGCGGGTAAGGGAAAGGGTCAAAGTAGCCCTCGTCATGATGTGGGTAGATCCAGCGCACTGCTCCGTGTTGGCAATATACAGTGAGGCCCGTGATATCTTCAAGGGAGATGCATCGTACACGCAAGTTACCCTCAACTTCACGATTCCAACGGGTGAGAGCTGGGTCGGGTGGAGTTGGTGTGTCCCATAAATGGAAAGATCTCGATTTATGAATTCGCATAAATGATCTCTTGGAAAGTTAGATGCCTGACATTGAATGCCGATAATCGACTAACCTTTATTTCAACGCGGGCCTCTCGCATAGTAGACACTTCTTCAACAACATACCACAAGTTTTGAGAGCGAGAAGCTGCGGTTGGTAGAGCAGAGGAGTCGTTTACAAAGTCCAGACGTGATACACCAAGGGCATCCAGCTGAATCCTAATCTTGCCGTGTCCACCATTGCCGGTCACCATTCCAGTACTCCGGCACCAAGACTTGATGTCATCAAACGAAAACTCTTCGGTCTCAACATCAGAATCTAATAGAGACTGAAAAATACGCCACCTGTTGAGTGCTGACACGAATCTCCAGGCGGGAGATTCGGGATAGAGCCGCACGATAATGTCTCTTAATTCTTGAGGTATGCTGCAAACACGAGCGAGTATTGACTTATGATCCTCAATAAGAGTGTCATCGGCTGCAACTCCAACGGTAACATCGGGTAGTGATTGATAACGCGTCTTGGGTAACGACTCTGTCCATAAGGCGATTGTCCAAATATCATGTAGACTCGGTTTCTTTGATGCAATATTTTTGCTAATTATATGGAAACAGTCTATGTGATAGATAGACGTGTCATGTAGCGTTGCGCAGTTATAGCAGTCGCTTCTGCGACAAAGCAGCCATTGGTAAGAGGTCGATTTGGATTTCTCATAGACTGTAGTGTAATGTTCGAGTTGAGCGACTGTGGGGAAAGAAAACCCAAGAGTATATGCAAGGTATGATGGTGAATCCCACTGTCCAATAACTGAGGAGAGTAGAGTCAGAAATACGGATACGGCTCGAACTAGTGCTCACGGCGGGAGAGTCAATGTAGCTCACCTGCGGCAATCGTCTCGCCAGGTCGAATTGAATAACGACAGAATATGCAATATGGAGTCTGAAGTGGGATATGATAGTCAAGTCCTTGCGAATGAGGGACGACCAACATCTTGTAGATGGACAATATCGTGATATTTTATAATATAGCGTCTAAGACCTGGCAATTATGAGCTGTGGGAAGTCTCCAAGACACGCGTATTCGAAATCACCACCACATCGCATCCATGTAACTCACAGCGACAATAAAAGAAACTGTTGCCTAGGATAGGTTTGATTGGTGCGTGCCGTTGACCTTGTGCGCACAAGGCAGTTTGGCCATTCAGTTGTGGCATGTTAGGCTGACACCAGCGAGGGCTTCGCCACTAACACGGGCAATGCCAGGACATACAACCTGCCACCAGCCACCCCAATATGCAAATATCGTGAGGCGTATTGAGTATTATGATAAACTCTCAATCTCTCCATAAAACAGAGCAGCGATCATGCCTTGGCGGCAGATTAATATTTACTTAGTGTTCCATCTTATTTGGTGGGTGGCCTGTCCAGTGCTGAGACTCCATTTGCTTTCAAAATAGCGCCGTTCGCTAATTTTAACAGTTCTGCAACAAATTTGCCTGCCTGTTCATTGTGTTTTGTTTCGTAATTCGTAACGGTTTGAGTTCGTAGCCTGTTGAGTACCTTTGACGCCAAAGCAAGCGATTCTACATCAGCCACTGCTTGAGCACCAACAGGGTGTATGAGTATATTGACGAATAACGACATGGCTGCTACAAGCGGGTAGATGATGGCATGCCTATTATGTATTCAGAATTTGTACCGCCTTGAACTCGGACCTGATCCTCAAATAAAGCGTGTATTGGTACTTACCAGAAGATCTCTTGTTTAAGCATCGCTATTGGCCCATTGAGTAGATTTAGAGTAGAGCGGCTGGCCTCCAGGGATAAGTCGATACTTGAATGCATCGCGCTGTGAAGGTCTTCGGGTGGGCTAGTATCTGCGCCTTGAGCAGCCCCAAATCTCCTAACTGGTGTGTGAATAATGGTAAGAAGGTAATGATATTCCAGCTGTAGCTGAACTGATCTCAAATAAGTTAAAAAATTGGTAGCAGACGGTACACCGTGACCTGGAAGAATTGATAGCTTGGGGCGGAGTGCTGGGGGAACAGACAATCGCCAGCTCTCAAGCTCGTCATCTAGCTGGCGAATGCGAGTGAGCAGCTCACTGTCAATAATTTTCAGCGCAGAAGGCGAATAAAGTAGCCGAAATATTCTCTCTTTCAACATTCCGAGGTGCGGGTCGCCTGGTAGAAAGGGGATTACTCTATTCCAAGCAATGGCGTCGATATTGTCGGTATCAGTAGCAGCACTAGATGATTGTAGAAATGCATCATGATTCAAGTGTTCGTTATTAAGCACGCTAAGATCGCAGTACTCATTGGTGAGGACAGGAGGTAGGCTAGATAGGAGGGCTAGATCCTTATCTGATATATAGCATAGCCAGAACAGCTTCCGTATATGGTCTCGTCGGCGCCCAAGGTGGGAATTCTCAGGACTCGCCGGATGTTGTAAGTGCCCATCAAGCTCACATACCATTCGGCAAACAGTTGAATGCAACGCTTCAGGACTACTGCACTGGCCAACAGCCGTTCTGTACTTGTGCTAATTCTATGGTTTAGCTATTTCTCAACCCTCATTATTAGACCGAGGCACAAATGGGAAGATTTGCTTACCAACAACATTAATGTTTGGAGAGTTAACAAATCAGCGGGTCCATCGAGGAGACCCAGAAACCACTGCGCCCTCGCTGCACACACCCCGCTACTAAAGGTCGCAGAGAATTCTTCAGAAATTCTCAAATGGGCCAAGACGGCAAAGGCCGCCCAAAGGCACGCTCGTGCTGCCACATGAGTCTGAGAAGCGTGTACCCCTTCAAAAGTTTGGTAGGCTGTGTTTATCGTCTCTTCAAGAAGTACTTTATCAAGAAGAGGAAATAGTATGAGAAAGTAAGAGCTTGAGAGAGACTCAAAGGACTTGTACACCAAGTCTCTATCAGGCAGATCCCACAGTTCTCCAACGGGAGCGTGTACCTGAAAGGCTGAAAAGCTCCAGCTCGGTTGGCCAGAACCAGCTCTCGGCAAATAAAACTTTAATGTTGTCGTATCCTGGTCAGTTCTGGAAGCAATCCAATTCAGGCCATTTTCTGAGATGATTGGCATTCCTCTATGATACCAGTTCCGTCCAAAGAGACGAGCTATAAGAACAATGTGTGCGTAAATATCATCTTCGAAAGATGGACTATATTGTCCTGCAGGGTCCGAATCCTGAGAAGTTTGCTCTCTCGGTCTTTCACCTGCATGTAAATGCTGAAGTGCATTGGCCTGTGCGAGGGCATCTTCCAGATGTCTGATTCGATCTAGCAGCTTGTTTGCGTCTACGCGCTTAATCCTTTAACACATGTCAATAACTCCAAAACCCAATAATGGTTATTGATCTTTCGAATACCTGTTCACAGAAGTTGTTCGTTTTTCTCTAGTAACTGTACATGCCAACTTTTGATGACTGCACCAATTGCAGGGTAGGCTAGGGCCAGGTCGACAGCATTCTATCTAAAGAGACGGTCAGGATGGCTAGACAATTCCCTCGAGCAGCGGCTTACCTTTCTTTTGAAGCACACGTCACAAGCCCTTATCGGGGGCATAATTAACACAGTAGTCAGTAATAACAGAAGACAACGCCCAGGCAGATCGGCCAAAGTTAGGTACTGACAATTACAAGGAAAGGATTGAAAGTGAAGAGTGTTTGACTAATCGGTCAAAATAGCATGTTGTCCGATTACATAAGTTAAGGCTAGTCCTCTTTAGTTTCATCATCCCCCCAGCTGCCCAATCATATTACATCATTGCGTGGCCGCAACTTCATGTTGGGAATTTGGTCATTGAAGCATCGGACAGAGGGTGACCTCTTGAGTCCGTGTCCTATGATATCCGAGGGTGATTGTCAGTGTCAAAGCGTATTGGTATAAATAAAGCATGTTCCGCCCTCACAATAGACCTCAAATCCCTACCAATTTAAGTTTTGTTTCTGTATCACATCACCCACAATGACAGCTTCCATCATCTCCGCTCGTTGGACCAAGCTTGTGGCGACCCCTCGCCTCTGCCGTTCTTCGCATATCTTGTCGGCCGATGCCTCTAAAATCTTCATCTTTGGCGGAGAACTCCTGCCCCGACAGCCCGTAGACAACCATGTCGATCTAATCGAGATCGATGCAGAGTTGAAAGGTAATGTCTTGTCAACTATCTATCTCGCTCGTCCATTACAATCATATGTCTGACTTGAGAACTAAAAGCCCAAGTCAACACACTGCCAGCACCAGACAATGCACCTTCAGCACGTGTTGGTTCAGCTAGTGTCACCGTTAATGGAAGCATCTGGCTCTTCTCCGGACGTGGAGGTCTAGCCATGGATGCGGTTGAAGAAAATGGAAGCCTCTGGCGATATGAAGGCACAAGCTCCACTTGGCAGCAAATTCTCACCAAATCGGCAACATATCCCACGTCCCGCAGCTACCATGCAATGGCATTTGATGGTAAGCAAACCATCTATCTTCACGCGGGTTGCCCATCCCAAGGCCGACTCTCCGATCTGTGGGCCTTTGATACCGAGACTCTTGTATGGACTGAGCTTCCATCTGCTCCCGGGCCTGCACGAGGAGGAACATCAATCGCTTTTTGCGAAGGCAAACTTTATCGAATGGGTGGCTTTGACGGAAATTCAGAGCAAGGAGGCGAGCTTGACATTTATGATCCAGCATCTCAAGAGTGGCATACTATCACATTCCCCTCTGATGGCGTCCAAGGACCAGAGGCGCGCAGTGTAGCAACTCTTCTCGCAGTCCAATTGCCAAGCAACGAAAATGCTCTAATCACCATGTTTGGAGAGCGAGATCCTTCGTCTCTTGGCCATGCTGGAGCTGGAAAGATGCTAGATGACGTATGGGTTTTCAATGTCAAATCCTCGACATGGAGCAAAGTCTCATTCCCCGAACAGAATGCCCCAGCAGCTCGAGGATGGTTTGCCGCAGATGTCATGACGCAGCAAGGCGGGGATGCGGTAATTGTTCAAGGGGGTCTTGCAGAAGACAACACTAGATTGGGAGACGCATGGAGGCTGGACTTTTTGTAACGTAACGAATACTTCTATATAAATCCATCAATCCCACCCAAGCTTGAATTTCACATGTGTTGCGATATCCGTTTGAGTCAAGGAGCGATCGATCAGGCCACAATCCGCCAGCAAGGTCATCTATTGGCGAGATTTGCCTTATGTAATCGGACAAGAGGTTGTCCGTGGCGTTTTTAGCACCTTTTTTGACATGGAGCCGAAATGCTTGGCCAAATGGGCCATCTGACGGTGAGATAAACTCGGACTCTCCATGTTAAACAGTAAGTTTTCTTTGTGTACCTATACTAAGAAACAGATATAAATACTTAGGTAACAAAAACTGTGCACCTGTGTTCTACTTTCTATAGTTTTCAATATGAGCGTATCTTCAATTCTTCCTAAATTCTACCCGTGAAGTTTGCACAATGGCATCCGTTGACGAGCAAACGGCTTTGCTGAGCCTGAATGACATCCGGCCAACCCACGACCATGTTCCAGCTTCAGTTGCTCGTCGGCTATATGTGTCACACTTCCTGTCGACCTGGAACTCGAGGGTCTTCGAATTTGGTGCGGTGCTTTACCTAGCAGCTGTTTTCCCCGGAACCTTGCTACCAATGTCCCTTTATGCTCTTATCCGCGGTTTGTCTGCAATTATCTTTGCTCCAGCAGTTGGGTGGTACATTGACACGGGAAACCGACTCCAAGTCGTTCGCGTCTCTATTGGTAAGCTAAGATAAATCACTGTTTATAAGAAAGTCGCTTCCTAATACATGGCAGTTTTCCAGAGGATTGTAGTTGCGGCATCTTGTGCCGTCTTTTATGTGTTAGCAGCTGATATACCACTCACTCCTGGTGTAAGAGCAGGGCTACTGGCAGTTGTCACATTCTTCGCCTGCGTGGAGAAATTATGCTCGATATTAAATCTAGTCTCTGTTGAGAAGGATTGGGTGAGCCAGTTGACAGTGCCCATTTATTTGTTCTTGGGTTGTGCTAATGCACCTGACTACCTGCTAGGTCGTGGTTGTATCAGAAAGGAACCCAGACGCCCTCCAAGTGATGAATGCTCAGATGCGGCGGATTGATCTGCTCTGCAAGTTGTTTGGACCACTATTTATTGCCATGATAGACGCCCAATCCTCTCAGGTGGCCATGATTGTTAATTTTGCTATGAATGCGGCAACTCTCCCCATCGAGTACTTTACCATAGCTCGAGTCTACTTTGACATTCCGGAGCTACAAAGAGCTAAGATGCCATTGCAGCGAGGCACTACACCACAAACAGAGTCATTTAACACTACAAAGACCTTGAACAGTGTGATATGGCAGCCGCTGGTTGCCATGATCAGGAAGTCTGTACAAGATTTCTCATTGTACTTCAAGCATCAGGCATTCCTCCCCTCTATTGCGGGCGCGGTTCTATATTTTACGGTTCTCAGTTTTGGGGGCCAGATGATTACATATCTCCTCTCTTCAGGTTATTCCTCCATGCAGATCGGCATTGCTAGGACACTTGGTGTGGTATTTGAGGTCTTGTCCACATGGGCGGCACCTTGGCTGATGGGACGAATTGGGCCGGTAAGAGCGGGTCTCTGGATGAGTAGTTGGCAAGTTGTTATGCTAGTTGTGGGAGTATGTATATTTTGGGCATTCGATGGAAAGGACTCGCTCATCTCTACGAGTGGGCTTGTTGGGGGCACGGTGTTGAGTCGTTTGGGGCTGCGAGGGTTTGACCTGTGCGTCCAGCTCATTGTCCAAGAGGTAAGTCAAGGACAACACATTGCCACGGTTTCAAAACAACTAACAACTATATCAGGAAGTTGAAGCCGAAAACCGCGGCGTCTTCTCTTCCGTCGAGGCCGCGTGGCAGAATGCCTTTGAGCTTCTCGCCTTTGCGTCGACGATTGTCTTTTCCCGCCCCGAAGAATTCAAGTGGCCGTCGCTCATCTCGACCTTGGCCGTTGCCTCGGCCAGTAGTGCTTATGCAACGTTTGTGTACCTGCGTAGAGGCCATCTGTTACACCTCGAGGCACTAACAAGCTTCCTGTTCACCGAGAAGAAGAGACAGCGTGTGGATCGAATCACATCTAGACCAGAGATATAAGACACCACCGAACAGGAGACGGACCTGGTTCGGGCATAGGGTGCCGGCGTTGGTTGACGATTGGCGTTATAAGTTGCGTACCTTAATATGAATCAAGCATGATGAACTGCAGATCCCGCAGAAGAGGCTTGTTCCCTGCAAAGGAGAGCAGAATCGGTGGCCTGTTTGGGCAACTATTTTGCGGGAGCCATCAGGAGGATCTTTTGCGGCTCGGGCAATTAGAGTCGGGGGACACAAGCAGGATTTCCTCCTTGGGCCACCGAAGCATGAATCGCGCCTGTCTGTGGCTGGTGCGATCTGAGTACCTATAGGACCAGGTCAGCTACCGATCCTTCTGCTGCATGTGCTACAGTACAGTAGAGCATTGATGCTTCAGCTGTCAGCATCTTATGTTAGTGGCCAAAATGCTGCTTCTGTGGCTGGTGCGCGGCCGCTGAAGAGCTCTAATAAACAAGCACAGCTCCCTCTGAAGCCAGTTGAGGCTCTCAGAAAAGTAGGGCGCTCAAGGTGCAACGTCGCTAAGCCGCTTTGGGGACCGAGTGGCTTGTGGCAAGGCCAGCACCTTCACTTGACACCTCACCGAAGGCCGCCAAAAACGGGCTGCTGATCCACGTGCAACGGCCCTCACTCCACTTGGCTTTGACATCAAAGTCTCTCTTCGCCGGCCTCAATTTACGCTGTTTGTTTCGTATTTTCCTCGGCCGCGATGCTCCTCTTCAAAGTCTCTCTCTCTCCATGCTAGTCGTTCCAACCGCCATTCCTCAACTCTCGGAGTGCGCGATCATAATCCTCTAGTCAGATGCATGTGGGGTGAAGTTGGGGAAAGCCCACAGCTAGTCTCCGATCGTTTGCTTCAGTTCAGTCCAGGTCCAAGCGATCCGAGTACAGTCCGAGTACTCGTCCAGCAAATAATGAGCGGCCAGCCGTACGTCACCATTCGCGGCCGCGAGGATGGAGTTGGTATAAGAAACGGCGCTCCCGTATGTTGGACCCTCCCTCTCTCCCCTGCTCTCTGTGGTGTTGATTGAGCATGTATACGTGAATGTGAATCTGTGAGAGCGATATAGCGAATAATGAGCTCACATCCAGTCCGACAGGGCATGGCGCGAGATGTACATGCGCGATCTGCAACCCATGACACCAGCCGCGCGAGCTTCCATGTGAAGCATATCGGCCAGTTTGCCAAGAGGCTCGAAGATGTGCGTTTGACCCCTGTTCTGTTCTTGTGTCGTCTGGCGAGAGACAGTCTGACAGTGACCCAAGTCGGCGGCGCGGGCGTTTCCAAATCGAGGCCGGGCATCTCAGCGCTACAAAAATGTCCAGGCATTGCTTGTGCACTGGGGTTCCGACGATCTGTTTGTCCTTCCCGAGCTCGAGGATCTGGAGAAGTGCATGCGCGATGATTATGCGTTTGGCACCGACATCTTTTCAATCCCGTCGGAAAACTCTCACCTAGAGCTCATGATGAGAATTGGCCAACTAATCAAGGACCACGAATCGCCAGATACTCTTTTCATTCTTTACTACGGTGGCCATGCCCGGATTGATGAATCAAGGCAAAGCACGTGGTGTGCGTAAGTATTACCGCAACCTCTCTCCCTCATCCATTCATACATCTCTTGGTTTCGGCGCAAGCAGAGATATTCATTCTAACATGGCTTCAATAGTACTCGAGATCCCGACTCGCCTTGGCTACAGTGAGTAATTCTCAATCAGTTTATTGAAAGAGGTACCCTTACTGATACTGCCCAGATGGTCCGCAATCCAGACACTCTTGGAACGATCAAAATCAGACGTTCTCATCCTGTTAGACTGCTGTGCCGGAGCTGCCAGCGCAACCTTCCCCACCGGCAACAGCATCACCGAGACCATCTCAGCGTCTAGTTGGGACGCTATCGCCCCCGACCCTGGAAGGTACTCATTCACAAACGCCCTCATCGAGGTTTTGCAGGAATGGAGACATCGAGTCTTTTCCGCCGCTATGCTCCACGCCGAGGTGCTCGCACGTCTGAAGCATCCAAGGCCCATCACCATCAACGGCAAGCACTTCGAGGCCCGGTCTACACCTGTTCACTTTATGATGACGGCCAACCATAAAGCGCCAAGCATCGAGTTGTCTAGGACAATGCCAGAGGAGAAGAGATCTCTCTCACTTCCCACTATTCCCTCCCACCATGATCTCGAGCCCATGGGAGGCCCTGTCGGCGGCCTAACACCGCCACCCATGGTGACGGCTGGTGGACGGGCGGCAAGTCCTGCAGATGCCCTAGTTGGAAACGTCGTTCCGAATGAGCCTACTGAGGACACCCCTCATGTGATGATATCATTGGCATTAGAGGATGATCAAAGACTAGATATCAATGCTTGGGAACAGTGGCTAAACGCCTTCCCCGCCATGGCCCGGTACGTCAAGATCCAGGGTGTTTTCAAAAGCCACTCTACAATGGTCTTGGTCTCAATGCCTGTCATGATTTGGGATATGCTACCGGAGGATCCGGCTACTTCCTTCGTTGCCTTTATTCGCTCCAACAACATAGCAGCTCAGAAACCACAGCAGAACCCAATTACTACTGCCGTCCCAGCATCACGGTTTCAATCAGAGACGGTAGGGCCGGATACAGCCTCCCTCATATCTGGCGTCTCTGGCACCACCTTTGCGCCGACTTTCAGAAGCTCGTTCAGCTTCAACAATGCCGCTCGAGATGCGAGATCGGCTCGTAATGCAGCTCCGTCCAGTCAGCCTGGGACACCGCAGCCAGGACCAGCTCTCTCGTCATCTCCGTCAAGCAGACAACTACCGTTCTCCAGGTCCATGAGCTCCACAACCTCTCTTCCCGCTACATATGCAGGCTCATCCTCTCTCAGCACCAGCCCTGTGATATCCAGGCAAATGATACTCAACCAACAACAAACCCAAAGGCGCACTACGTTTGGCGGTACCGATGTTCCTGAGCCCCAAAGCTTCTCTGCACACGTAGAAAAGCGCCTGGAGGATTATTACCAGAAACAACCGCTACCAAATGATGGCGAGAGTGCCTTCCTCGCTTCCAATCTCGGAATAGAGCCTTTCCACCTCGGGCTGTGGTTCCACCACCGGCGCGAACGAGACTTGGTCACAAACAGGCTGGCCACGATGAAGGTTGGCGGCATGCCATTTAATGAGGAGGGGGGCCCGCTGTTGATCTTGCCAGCAGATCTCAGCCGGCTACTCGAAATATCACAGCCTGGTCAAACTCTCTTGTTGGATATCCGATCGCCCTCAGATTACCAAAGATCACACATCCGCGATGCCATAAACCTTCGAGTACCTCAAAATTTCATCAAAGACGCTTCACCCGAAATGATTGGCCGTACTATTTCGGAAGAGCATGGTCATGAGATCTTTTCCAAATGGAAAGAAGCAAGATGCATAGTGTTTTACTCTCGCGGATTGGAGAGTGCATGGGAGTGCCCCTCGGCAACATCCTTACTGCACAAGCTCTCTGAGTTCGGATGGACAGGAAGAAGTTTTGTTCTCAAAGGCCACTACCGCGAGTTTAGTGCATCTTTTGGGCAATACATTGTGGACAGCAAGAAGAATGCTGAGGCTGGCAGCGCCGAGCAGCAAAGCGGAGAGTTGTCTAACGAAGCTGCTGTCGATCCAACACAAAACTATGAGCAATATACGCAATGGCTTGCTCATGTAGAAGCAGAGGACCGATCGCGTACGAATGCATCATCTCCGACACGGACCACTGAGAGGACAGAATTCGTCGAGAGCCAGGAGCATGAGTTGGAAGCAGAACTAATGGCTCGTTGTGGCGATTTGTATCGAAAAATACAAGATGTTCAGGCCGGCAGAGATCCATCATGGTACGATAACTCTGACGTAACAGCGCCAATGGTCGAATATCTTGACCGTGGTCTTAACAAAATGCGCGCACATCAGCCGTCACCACAGCAAATGCCGACCAGTTCCAAGCTGGCTGCTGAGGGCTATTTTGATCCTCCTCCTCCTCCAGAGCTGGAGGATGGTGATGACTATGTTGAGATTACCAAGGGTAGCGGCTCTACCGGCGTCGCACGATCTGGAACTCAGCTCTCGGCGGAAAGGGGGAGTCCTGGAGATGAGCCTCTGCGCAGAGGACGCGGAGGTGGTTTATTAAACAAGGTGTTTCGGCGGACATAAAGCATAGGGGCATGGGATGAGTTTATGAAGAGGTTACGGATTTATGGCATTAATGTGCTCGGGTAGCACTTCAAGGTGTTTTTGGGGTATGAAGATACCACGGATGTAAGCTTTGGATATAAAATTGACGGCGTTGGGTTGTCTTGAGATATACATGATTTCTTTTCAACTTTTGTGAAATAAGATGTTTTATCAGCCTTTTGACTTGGAAGTGATGGCAGCTAGAGACCAATTGGTTCAATCAATGAGAGGCGCAGCCTTTTTAGAAAGCTCACGTATTTGTTAGATTTGCAACAGGATAGCTTCATAACAAGATGATTACCCGTCATTCCAACTAATTCCGAATATCTCATAATGACCTACCATATTCCGATGTTGTCTTCTTCTCTCAGGCTACACATGTGATCTAAGAAGCCATGCGCTTCATTATATGCTACACTCGATGGTGGTGCTATAAAAATGTCGCTCTTTCATAGAGATCTTCTACATCTAGCATATCATAGGCAAAGAGTCTTGAGAGAACAATGGTTACTGCCCTTTGCGATCATCCACTTTTCTGACTTTCGTTTCCTTTCTATTATAGACAATGTGAGGTATTAATGGGAAAGTAAGAGAATACGGAAATACTGCCAGCGCTACTGATAAACTGACTTGATCGCACGTTTCGTTTGCCTATCGTTTATAAACAGCTCAATAAACAAGTCCAATTCCGTTCATAGGATTCACCGATGCTTTTCATCTTTTGTATAGAAATCATATAAGTTAGGACAACAACGAACCTGAACTTTTTCTCGTCGGCATACTTTATTGTGCAGATACGCGTCAGCTTATGTCCTTACTAATTACCACAGAACATTCCAAGTCAGGCCCATCCGGGGAATTAACATGAATCCCTACAATGTATAATAAATAAATCAGCATCCGCATCCACACATGTCAAATTTACCCGCGTGATGACAAGGGCAAGACTGAAGTTAAATTGTATGTATGCCAGCCCGGACCGCTGCTCACCTCAGAGAGCTTGAAAGCCGGTCCAATATTGAAAGCAAATATTACGTGAGTTTATTTTCCCTCTCTCCTTAACAACCATGATAACTCCAAATCATCCATCACTTGTCAAAATTCTGTATATCCGACATCTCACAAAATAGTAAACCCGGACAATAGCGCCCTGTAGTAGTCAAAACTCGAACGACAACCCGCGTGCCATCTATGTGAAACGTTCAACCTCAAGCGCGGGCACCGCCCGTTAAAACGGCGTTCCAATCAAGCCAGCATTGAATTCGCCTGTCCAACGGAAAAATAGCCCCCCCTGAAAGGGAAAAAAACACATCATCCAATAGTATCTTCGGGATGCTTGCCAAACAAAGGAGGTATTGAGAGCAGCAAACCCACAATCCGAATATATCATCTCATGCCAGTCGACACACCCCCAAATCGACCAATGCTCTGCTCCCGTTATCCAAGGTAGTAGTTGTCTCTTTTCAAAGCTCCCACTTTGCATGCACCTGTCATCCGTACTCGCGCATAACGGGGGGGTAACCCTTCCCCTCTCCCCCTCCCCATATTTGTTCCCGGTGTCAACAAGCAAAAAAAACAGGATTAGAATGACTGACTCCTCCCCTACCACTCAAAATCCCAATATGCACGAGGCACGGAGCGGAGTACGGAGCCGAACCCCCCTCTTTCCGACAAGGCATAGTTGCTTCTTTTCTCAATGGCCTCACTTTTTTGCCAAGACAGGTTGTCTCCGATAGGCCCATTACCCCTGTCTCCCTTGTACAGCACAGATATGTGCTTCTCACACCGGTTGACCTCTCAGTGCCAATGACCAGCCTGTAGCTGAGATGCCTGCGGGCACTAAGCAGGGTGGGCAAGCGTGCATGAATGACTTTCGACCACCCTGGCAAGGCAGCCCTACCACGGGGATCACCGTGTCAAGTCGTAGCCCAATTGCAAAGTCGAGGCGCCCTGCAGGCAGAACGGTTGGGAAAACAAGGCTATTATAGAACCGTGTCATTGTCGGCTCCTTTTTTTTTTTTTTTTTTTTGACATGCAGCAGAGAAAAGGGTAGCTTCTTTCGTCTGTTTGCCGGGTGTCCTCGTGCTAGAGCATTACAACACCATTTCAGATTTCCGGTGCAACATCAGATGCATAACAGGGACGTTGGTGGTGCGTCTGTGAAATGTTGGATGCAAAGAGAGGCTGCATGATATGCCGAGCACTCCAATGATACGAGCATTACACCGTGCTCCCAATGACGACGGGTGTAAGACATCAACAAGGCACACAAAAAGCGATAAGATCTTGATTCCCCCAGCCTGTCACACGAAAAGGAACGGGTTATCGATGGCTTTGGAGAATTTGCGCAGCTACCCGCCACCACCACGTTGTTGAATGAACACTTCTCGGGATGGCACAGCACAGGGTCACGTAGAACATGTTGGTGGTACAATGTTCACACACAGTAGTAGGGTGAAAAACAGGCACAGACTCCTTGCGTTTCCAGGTACTCGCCGGCAAAGATTCATAAACATATAGATTGCCATTAGTTTAAAGGAGTCCAATCGCATCTCTGCGTTGCGAGAAATGGCCTGATCTGCAAACGAAGGAGTCGAAGATCCTCTCCCATTTGTGCCAAGCACAATGGCTTGATTGACAATCTAATCGTGAGACGGACAGTGGATAAATCACTCGCTCTTCGCCCCCTGGTAGTACTTGGTAAAGTCGTATCCAAGGCAATATCGGACATTAGTGGCATGCACAGAGTAGCCCTCTTGGAGACTTTATCTCTGAGTAGGTAGCACGACGACGCACGCGAGCTCGTGTAGGCCCATGCCGTGACACATGTTATCCGAGACAAAAGCATATCAAACCCTATCTCTGGGAATTATCGATCTTTGCCTCTATGCAATGACAAGGCTCTGAAACCAAGTGGTTGGCGGATGTTTCGGTTGCCCGCGTCGATGCATGGATGAATTCCGCTCTTACAGAATAAGTCTTTGTTGCGATTCGCACCGAGACCATACCTTGATGATTTCCCTATTTGGTTGAAGGCGTTCTCCATGAATTGATTGTCACAAGGCACCACCCTGCTAAACTCAACCATGTACTTAACAAGCCAAGACACCGAAACAGTGATGACATGTACTGATGAACACTCGCTGGTTCATCTTACAGAGCGGGCGCTCTTGTCCGCAGTATTGCAAATGCTGACATGTAGGGCAGATGCGCTCTGAGCCATATTGAAAATTAGGAAATATACCATTTGGTACAAGATTCCGACTTCAGAGTACTTTGTATGACAAACCCAAGAGCAGGATTCTATCCCCTACCTAGGTATCACTTCTTACGATAACATGTCATGTTGTGCTCAGAACAGCAGCCGATCTTCTTTCACCAGATTCCGAACCCGCTTCCGGGAACTAGCTCATGGAGACCATGGTTGCTCAGAAGCGGTGAATGCGACCATCAAAGAGAGTAGCAGCCGCTGGATCAAGTCGAGAAGGTGCCAAGGCATGTCGCTATCCGGAGTGGTATTCCATCTTTTTCGTTGATGATCCGGAGACCGGCTACTAGCTGATCTTTCCAATGTGGCTCCTTACCGCTGCTCCAGATGTCTGGTGCCAAAGGTGTCAGCACCATAAAGCCTGTGCAGCAACAACTAGACGCTCGGGATGGAAGCTAAAGACGGCTCGATACCACAATGCTGGCGGGCATTAGGAAGATCCCACAGTAACCGCAATAGTACGGAGTACTTAGTACCTGTCATAAAGTAACACTAAGCTTTGCCCCTGAACGACTGGGTGTTGGCTGATCTTGATGCTCGTAGCCTCGTAGGAGGAGTCCTAACAAAGTTGTGTTTTATTTTTAGAAGTCTTCGGCTTGGTCATGCCTAGTACGGAGTACAGTATCACATTTTCAAATCTGAGTTGGAATGAGTCGCTTCTAAACGAGCTGAAGAAGAAAGGAGCTCGAGCATCATCACTGTGCATATCGAGTTGCAGCACTCCGTCCTTTGCATGACCGTCGTCTGATGACAGCTGAGGCTTAGATGTTTTTGTTGTGTCGGTCTGCGGTTAGGAGCCTCTGGTGGCTTCGCGGGGTGTGGCGTACAAGCCAGAAGCCCCTGGTAGCCGCCTTGCGTGTCTCGTCTCTAGGAGCTGTTAGGAGCTGTTGGATTGCAGAATGTGTCTGTTGCCAAGTTGAGTTGGGCTTGCGAATGCACGGCCCCCTTGTTGCTTCGGGAGTGTGGGTAGGGGATGCTTGCCCTTGCTGTCACCAGACCTCTTGTTGCCTGGTCAGGGCCGGCATTGCGCCCGATTCTTTACTTTGTGCATCCTCGCACAGAGCACCCCATATGTACAAGTATGGTCAAATCACGGGCAGTAACTCTGTAGTATTACGGAGAAGCGACAGGCCAAATAGGCAATAGTGGATGGAGCATGGCAAAAGGCGTCAGCATTGAAAGAAATGCACACTTGTGCTGGGTAACTTCTGCCCGTCTTGGCCCTTTTTCCTGATCCGTTGGACTGGTCCGGATTACTTTGTAAGCATTCGGGATTCTCAGCAACCTGCCAGAGTCAAATGTCTTTCTGATGGGACGTGCCGCGAGACGGGGTATTTGGCAGCGGCATTCGTTGCCGACGAAGCTTGTGTGTCCACCGTAAGATATTAAGAGATCTCTGGGGTGTCCTCATACTAGGTGCATCGCGTCAATCTGCAACGTCCGGCCAATTCGGCCCACTGGCTTGTCGCTTCTAGCACAATGACACGACCGCAAGCCGATGATGAGCTGAGCAGGCTAGGATAATAACAGGCCTAGCGTAGAGCGAAGAGCGAGCGAATCAGAAGGCATCCCAGCGTATGGGTGTTGTTTCAGGAAATCATCTCCGATAGCGCGGGAATCGATGTGGGCAGCTGAGATCCAGGTTAGGTGAAGTGAAACGCAGCCTAACTTTCGACAGCCAAGAATGTACGAGAAGCACACTCGTATGCCGTTGTCAGTACCACGTGCCTTGCTGGGAAGCCTTTTTTCCTTTTTTATATGTGCCACTTGCTTCTGCATCCTGTAAGTGTAATTTGTGCGGTGCCTGGAGGTGCACAAGAACGGACTATGCCATATAAACTCGGTCAAGGCGGGCATCAAACTTGCGCTTTGCAAAACTTTGTTGTTTCACGGCGTCAATGCTAGCCTCGAAGCTTTATCGTCTTGTTTATGTTTGGCCGAAACGACGTGCTATTTTTGGGACTATTTCTGGCAACGAAGTCTGTTTTGAAAACATTAAATCTGATGTTCCGTATCTGTAACCGTACCTGTTGCAGAGCGGCATGATAAAGAGGGGGGATCGTCTTGGGAACCGCCATAAGATGGGGGTCAGCTCTATAACTGACGAGTTTAGCGAGGACATTGCGCGTACATGGAGCATAGGTAGCAGCACCGCTGCATAACAGTATGTAGGCTTCTCTGACGAGGCTCGATGCCCACATGAAACTTTTGAAGTCGACGATGAGAGCTAGGAATCGACGGCGTAGCGTTTTAACCCCTACCGACGTTCCTGAACACCACAAACAGATCTGGCGGGCGCTACTGCGAATGGCATCTGTATGCCAAGAAATTGCCTGCGCTCTGTTTGGTGCTTCCGTATTTCATGCCTATATGGTGCTCCGTACTTTTCGTATGATTGATACCCCGTAGAAAATTACTGCCGCATTGGCTTTGGAGTAGCCCCGGCCCCACAGATTATAGTGAATATTGGCCCCCAGTCCGCTCGAGGAGTTAAGCGATGGATACTTTGGGAGCTGTGGGACATATGCAATAAATGATGCTTACCACTGGGAAGCTTTTGCACGTTGTTAGGCGCACGAGTAATGCCATGTCCTTGTACGAGTAGGATGCTCGCCTAGGCGAAGCCCTGGCTCGAGATTCCCTTGTGGCATAAAGGCCACCCATCACTTGCAACCTGGTCCCAGTCCGCATGCCGTCGGATCACGGTGGATCAATATTCATCGACGTTTCTTAGCCCAACGGGAAGAGCCTGGTCGACGTGCAGGTGTCTCACCAGCAAACTCACCATTGAGCCGGAAATACCTTGGAGGAACGACTTATTTACGTAGCCCCCACTAGCGAGAGTACGGAGAAACGGCGCAGTAGCACCGCTGTGCAACAACGTACACGCTGAGATGGCGAATCCTTGGGAAGAGAGCTGCCTGGTGGTCTCCATCGTGTACCTGTATGGCGACATCTTTTCTTTTGGTCGACGCGGGACATGCTACGTAACACTAGCACGACACGTACGTACTTGCTTTTGGACCTGAACCAGGACCTGAACCTAGACCGGGACCTGGGACCTGGACCTGGACCTGAAGCTGCTTGAACAAAGCATGTCAGTTAGAGCAAGCCCTGGCCTGATTTGGAGATCTCAAACCTGTCATTCTTGACCGGGAGGGGGGTGAAGGGAGACGCCTCTTTGGTACAGTCTCCGCCAATGCCAACAAGGCGAGCATTTTGCATAGTATCGTATCTCCCGTTCGAGGTTGCCTGAGCAAAGAAATACGACAATGTTCCGCTAGCTGCGAGAGATAAGGCCGTTAAGCTGTTCTCGATCACCGCCTCACCCTTGGCAAGCTTGCAAGTATACGGAATTACTGACAGTAGTGTCAAGTTGTCGAGATGGAGGGGCTGAAGCTTCGAGCAGCCACAGTGACAAGGGTTGTGGCAAGTGGCGCACTGTGCTCGCGCTTCGGCAGTACGGGCTGGCCAGGCCAAAAGGGACGAGCCGCCGGGTACTGTTGAGGGGCTGTCGACAGTGCAAAATCGACAGTACACAAAAGTCGCGCACACTGGCTCCGTACATTGGCCAATCGCAGGACGCCAACTTTAATTTCCAGCCGCCCTGGCTCGGAAAATTGATCTCCTGCCAGTTGCCGTCGTCGGCTTTTGGCCTCGGCCAGGCCATCAATCAACAGGCTTGCAAGCCTTGAGTCGAGCACATCGTCGTCAGCCCATTGCTCCAAGTAAGTTATGACAAGGCCCCACCTGTCTAGGCCTCGTTCTGTCACCCACGCCGAGCGATCTGGCCCCTTGAGAGATCGCCAGGTCCCCCAACTTCAGTCGAGAGGCCAGGAGCTTCGCTGGAGCCGTCGCGCCAAAAAAGATCCATTTAGCGCTGTCAACGCAGCGTGCGAGGGGGGAAAGACGGGGGGCATGGGGCCTCTAGCAGGTGCCAGTGGTCGTGGCAAAAGCTCCTTCGCATGGCGGGCTTCAAATTACCTCGTACGAGTTTGTATGACACGGAGACCTTTGGGGTTATTGCGGGAACCAAGTGCTACAGCCAGCGCGAGGCACAAGGTGCTTACAGGGCGTGGTGGTTAATACACGTACGCGCGGGCAGGCTGATGTCCAGAGTCAGGCGCGGCCGCACAAGATTGATCTTGACAGCTCCTTGTGGTGGACCCAGGATTCCAATCAAATCACTTGCGAAGCAATCGTCTCACAGGAAACGTGCGTTTTGCGCTCCTCGTGTCTGAAGCCCCTCGCAGCGGGGTACAAGTGCACCACTAGCAGTATTCCTCAATGCACGAGGCTGGCTGAATACGATAGCCGCCAAGGCAGGTGAAATGTCTGTTGGGAACGAGATGTGACGAGGGAACGAATGAAGAGCTGTGCCTGCTCTAGCCTTACAACTTCAGCAGTTGACTTGCCACCACGGCTAGTACGCACTTGTCAGACGAGACGTCTAGACGGAGGAGGCGAAGGTTTCTAGAGAACCCGGGGATGTGGCATGGAAATGGCACATGATATCGGCAACTGGCAGCTTTTGCAACCACGCCGCTGCAATTTGCGGGCAACATGCCGCCCAAAGGTTGCCAAAGGCTGCTGCTCACCATGTCTTGTGGCGTCAACGGCGCACCCATATTTCCGGGTATAGCTGCGCGTGCTGCGGAGCTGGGGCAGAGAGACATGACTCTCTAGCAAAATTACTGAACGACTAACCCACCGGTTATGGGGGAGGCCTCGGCGCCAAAAAGACTGGATCGACACAGGAGGAGATATCCTGATACAGTGCAGGACCGCGGGTTGAATCCGTGGCTCTGGAGCTGGGGTCGTCTATATCGGCTGCTCTCGCATCACGACAATCTGCGCTGGCGCAGAGTGCAGGATGCTCTTATTTGGCATTACTCCGTTCCATTCTCGGTACTGCGCGCTTCGCATGGCATGAGGCCTGTGCCATCTTAGCCCTCCCCACTATCTGATATAATTCGGCTGCCAGTGCCCACATCGCAGCCGCTATAGATTCAGCGACTCCCCTTGGGGCAGCCTTGATGCTGGACGATCGGGTATTAAAATGGAGACTCTTTTTGCTCTTGGCTGGGATATCCTTACGCGACCCCAAAACAGCTACCTGTACGAAGCACAGAGTACACCGCTTGCGCATCGGGCAATCGCTTGCTACATCCATTGATTTCAGAGGGAGGGAGTCATGCCCGCTAGGACCGCAGATGATATGGATAGTGGGATTCATTGATCAAACAAGTCGTGACACACGCCGTGTTCTCCTGAACTGCGTAGAGCTCATACTACCCTGAGCTTTGCAGCAACGTTGGAATTGCTTTCTTCCCTCGCTTGGCGCCTCATTATTACACTAGCACAAGTACACCGGTGTATAGAAGACCAATGGGAGATGAACGGATACACGCTTGTCTTTCGAATAAATTACCTACGCATACTTGCACGAGTAGTTGTCTCGAGAACTGCAGTTGGCATGGAACGAGTCGTGGATAGGTCAGTGCCACCTGCTGCACGTCTACGGAGCACTGATCTGACCATACTAGCAACGCATTCTAATGGCGGCGGAGATCTGCCTCCATGTACTGTATATACTGTACAATCGGATCCGAGCCACAGTTCGGATACAGATAGTATCCTTTCCCACTCACTGGCCACCTTGCCTGTACATATTAGGGCTTGGAGTCTCCCAGTGTTCGGCCCTTTGAGAACTTCTATATCATGTTGTATACCGGAGACATATCTACGTGTTGAGCTTCACCTCCACACAGGAAGTTACTCTATCATACACAACAGGCCACCACAGCCACCGGGCCATTCCGTGCTTCAACCAACAAAAATTTTCTTTGCTATACAATACGAAAGGCTGCTGCCAACCCGTCATCCGAAAGGGTTGCAGTCAGTCTGTGTCGCTCGGTGACTGGCCATGTCAGAAATACCATTTTAAGTTAACAACACCCCCCCTTTGGCTTTCTTCTTACGCCTACACCACACACCCCGTCCAAACCCACTCACCCACTAGGCGCTTGCCTGCGTTTCTGTGACCATTCTATCTGGCTTCCCTAAATCGAAGGTTCATCAGAACAGGCTTTGGGTCCGTGGAGCCGGTGGCCCGCCAGGGCCTGTCGGGGCTTGACGAGTACTTTGGCCCCCCTGTCCTTGTCTGTGGCGACCGTGCTGTCCCTGGGCTTGCTTGCAACTCATGCACACTGACTGGACGGCCTGACGACTGCTTGACTGGAGGTACATTTGCTCTTTGTATGGCCAGTCACAGGGGATAGTGGGCTGTCAGACCAGCGCCACTTGGCCTGAGTCGCGACGTCCCTTTTTCATTTGGATCCAGCGCCGCTAATAACCCATGTTGCCGCTCCTATCGCAAAAGGCTGGGTCTATATTGCTGTCCATCCTCCCATGCTGTTACCACTCTATGATGCGACGAGCTCTTTTTAAGTTCCGCGAGCCCACTTTGCTACGTACTGCGTATTTCGACTCTGCTCTGCTACTGTTCGATTCTGCTACTTATTACTTGCATACCCAGGTCTACTCGTATATGACCAGCTGTTCTCTATAATCACGGGCACTTTTAATATCGACGAACCTTCTCCTCACGGCTTGTTATTCATAAAGTTTTTAATTTGTTGATATCTACCCATACGTTTTGGACCACGCTTCTCAACAATTCCCTTTTTTGGCAACCAGGCTAGCTTGGTGCATCTACCCGTTGACTCGACGATACGATACTGCTTTCTGGAGTACTGTGGTCTTGTGACTTATAATAGGTCAACTGGCTTTTTTGTTGTTGGATTAGCTTTGCATCACTTCGCGGAGGTTACGATATACCCCATCGATCAAACGTCATTATCTACGCCTTCGATCTTATCTCCGCAATCAAGTCGAACGTCAGGGCATATACTTGTAAGTTTGTGATGCTATAAAAGGAGGGGTTCAGCCCATTCACTGACACTGAAACTCGTATCAGCCATTGCCCCTCGACTTGAACCTTTTACTTTTCTGCCAGAGGGCTACCTTTATGGACCCTCGTTATTCTAGAATAGAGCCCCCGAGTTCCCAACCAAGGCCCCGGTCAACAGCATCGTCCGAGATGACTGTTCTCACTTCACAACCTTGGGCTTTGACTCGCAATACTGAACATTCCCGGGACTGGGAAATGTTTCAACCACGGACTGACGCTGACGCGCAGCTGATTCAACTGCCTCCTCTCAAACAGGTAGAGAGTCTTGTCTTGCGTGGGGGTGTAAACATGTTTACTGATCTGTATTAGGTTTTTCCAGACCTTGACTTGAGTTCAAGGGGGAATGATGATAGATCACAACGCTTTGGCAGCGGTGATTTCCGGTTCAGGTCTCCCGACTTTAACGCCTCACCTCACAAACGGAGAAGATATGAAGACGATGCAGAGGCGGAGGCGGCTCACCAAAGACACGTACCACGGGTGCATCGTAACCCTAGACACCGAGTCCCCATCTCTCCTCGCCAAAGTCCTTCTGCACCAAGGACCTCAGAAAGATGGCCCCCTGCTCATGAAACGACAGTCTCGCCTGGTTCATCCTATTCTCTCCCTACGCCAATGGAAGTACAAGACTTGTCAAGGCCACACATGCCTCTACCAAGCTTGCGAACAACAATGAATTTCGAAAATGAGTCCCGAAATAGCCTGGATAGCTCCCGGAGCAGCTCTCGAGAGTACCCGAGAACGTATAGCCAAGATTATACCCACTACAACACTCACAACCACTATCAGTCACAACCTCCAAGCCCTAGTCGACCTTATGATCGAGCACCCTACTCAGCAGGTGTATATCCCCACTACATGGAGCCAAATCATACAAGCCACTATGGAGAGTTGGGAGCCATGGCTGGTGAGAGCAAGCAGCGAAAACGCCGCGGCAACCTGCCCAAGGAGACGACCGATAAGCTACGGAGCTGGTTCCTTGCGCACCTGTCGCACCCGTACCCTACAGAGGATGAGAAGCAGGAGCTGGTGCGCCAGACTGGACTGCAGATGAGTAAGTATTCTGACAACTCTAATCGCCGATCCGAGGTTGGAGGCTAACGCCCCTTTTGCAGATCAGATTTCCAATTGGTTCATCAACGCAAGGCGACGCCAGCTACCTACCATGCTCAAGAACGAGGCCGATGCTGCAGGGCGAGGCATTGCCAGCAGGGAAGGCAAATCTACGGATCCCTCGTCTGTTGCCTCGTCGCCTATGAGCGAGGTTGCCCATTCGAGCGATGAGATTCTTCAGCGCCATCAGGGCGGCGGAAGCTTAAAGCGGGGCAGTGTATGAACCCGGAGGATCTAAAGGCCAAAAGGGAATAACGAAAAAAGCCACTTAAAAAAGAATTACTAAAAAAACGGGATACATTAAATAGGAGTATACACAGGGATAGGCAGGGTATAGCAGTTATAACAGGTTTAACAGGTATCAATACGGAGTTTGGGGCGCGAGAATCACTACAAAAGGGAGTTTCTATACGGATAATACTCAGTAGTAATTACTAAATGACATCACGAAATTCATCATGATTTGCGTTTTTGTTACGCCTCGTGGAAAGCTGTACGATCTTGCCTATTTTGACCCTCAAATGATAAGTGAGGCGTTCAATAACTCGTTATGTGGGCCCTTTTACGACGATCTACAGAGAGATCCGGGGAAAACAGCCAGAGGAGGGCGCAACAAGTACTGTGGCGACGATTCCACCCAAATGGGGGGGCATAGAGCGCCATCTACTCCATTTACACGTATCAAGATGCGCCGAGATGATGTCGCAATGTTAGGAAACCGGACCGGAGAATCCTCGGGGCGCTACTCAAGGGTCGTAAATTGAGGTTTTAAAGTTCAAAGATGCGACTTGACAGCAAAGTCGTTGGGTGGATAGGCACAATTCTCGGCGGGGGGCGAAACGCTGAATGACAAAAAACACAACACGGCTCTCTACTCTCACGGCTCTCTAATCTGCCGCCTCTGCTCGGGAGGGGAGTTTCACCTACGAAAAGAGCAAACTCTGAACTTGCGACTACGGTATAAGGTTAGCCAATGGGCGTGGACGAGTGATGAGCCAAGTACCTCGCCGGTACGGCACGGTCGCTGCCACCAGGCGCTTGGCGGAAGAAAAGATACATTTTTTTCCCTTGAGAAATAACCTCTGTCAGAAGTCAAACGGGCAGAAAGAGGCGAGTTGTGGCTTAAGCCTGAGGTCATCGCGGCGGGCACGCGCGCCAATGGGGGAAATTGCCTCGCACTGCCACATCGAGAAGTTGAGACGCAAGGCGTCTGGAAAAAAACTTGGGCGAGCGAGCGAGATAGGACCAAAATGGAGAAAAAAGCGTCGATGTGGCGGTCTGGCTGTCTGGGCATGATGCGTTGCTGCAAACCAAGTAGGCAATTGTTGGAGAATAACCGCCCTCTGTTGGTTGCTGTTAGTGTCCGAAGAGGGAAGAAGATTCAACCCTGGAACCGCCACACCCCCCTCGGCTTGGCACGGTCTTTCGGATGTTGGGTGTTGGCTAGGATTTTTGGGAATCCAGCCGCCAGCTGAGCAGATCCTGGCGCTCAATCTGTATAAGTGACATCTTCCAGAGCTTGCTGGCTGGCTGACCTCTCGTAGTTCGTATAGAGATCCGGCTAGGATCAAGGACTGCCTTGCGAGAGCCGGGCAGCCGGGCAATGCAAATAAGCCATTAACCGAGGATTTCAAAAAACAGACAGACCTGCTAGTCTAATCCGATGGAGCTTCTTGTGCAGTAGTGAAAATTAAATCAAAGGTTAATATAAGAGGAGGTGATACGGGGAGGTGCTCCGTAGCTTTGGCAGCGGTAGTTGGTGATTAATGAACAGCAAATAGTGTAAGAGATACTTTTGTATGCGGCCGCTGCATATAGTTCGGCTGGGGGTGAAGTGAGGGTGAGGGTGAGGGGGGGAAAGTGACAGACGCAAAGCGATGATCAGATTTTGCGTGCCAGGCTAGGACTTGTCTCGGCAAACCATGACATGTAACGTGCTATTGTGTTTGGCGAGAGGGTCTCTCGTACGAGAGAATAAAAACAAGACTTTATGCTCCGTGTTTTGGGTAGTGGACAACTGACAGGACACAAGATGCACAGCACTGAAACACCAAGGAACCAGCATCGCGTATGGACCACGAGCACGGGAGACGGTGACGGATGTGGAAGGTTCCCCCAAAGGACCAGGGGTTGTTCCTTGGTTGACTGGCCACAGGGCTGCCATTTCCCCCTCCAACTGCAGTGAAAGCCACGGAACTTACCAGTCCTCGGGTGGAGTCGTCGAAGCTATGTCTATGCAAAGCCTTGTGCATTGCCTTAGGTCCTGGATGGGCGATCCCAAGATTCATGGGTGTTCGATTCGGGTTATGCGATGAGGATTGGTGCCAGCTGAAACAAAATTTTCCATCTTTCTCACTTTTTAAGCTCGCCTGCTCGCGTATATCAGAGTCGCAATGTGATAGAGTTTAGGGCGCACATGAATATGCAAGGCGAAGTCAGACAGGCGAGACAGCATTGGAGGCATTTCGCAAGAACCATGCTCATGACGATTCTTGGTATGCCGTAGCGCATGCACTCGTCGACGATGGTCAATCTAACATGAGCGAAGCGAGCATTCGCCTCGCTGCAAGTGTACTAAAGTGGCCGGCACGAATGGGAGGTGAAGGATATTAACGGCATGATGAATCCTTGCGCGGATTTAGTCGTATTTCGTGAGGTCTCCCCCCCGTCTGTAACTTGTTGGTGCGTACGGCTGTATGAACATGACGCGAGGAGCTGAATAAAGGTTGATGAGATGGCTCTGGGAAGCGTGTGATTGATGTGATGGTGCAGGGGTCTGCAATCCTTGTCCCACCACAGCACAGGGTTTGGCACCCTTGTCATGCAGCACCAGGGAGTTGGTAAAAGTGTCAAAACAAGACTTGACGGAAATATGTACGAGTACGGTAGAGGCATAGCACGTACTAGCATCCTTCCGAAGAGCCGCCAGTATCATCTCGTCTCGTCTCGACTCGTTTCTTTTGTCCGATGCAAGCTTTACGGCAAGATATGAGTAGTATAACATAGCATGCGGTATGACTCGAACTGGGATGACAAATACCTACCTCGTTCCGTCTCGTGCCTGTCCCTGTGTGGCTGGCATCAACTTTGACTGACAGGCGGGCACAGACGGCGACGGGACAGGACAGGAACCAAAGAAAGAGCTGACCCTCTCCTTTTCTGTCTCCTCTCGCCTGGCTCCTTGACGTTGCTCGATGACCTGATGCGGCGGTGGCTGCTGGATGCGCCTCTGTGTGCGCGCGGGCAGTTTATCCCGGTTCCCCGAGCCGGCCAACCAGGCGGCTATCTTTAGCTTGCTGGGATGGTTTTGACATCTGCGGGTGTGGGACGAGGGCCGGGAAGTGGTTGGGGACGTCGATCCAATTGTCGCTGGTCCTCGTGCGGCTGATGGTGGAGGCTCGTTGCAAAAGTCGCACCGTTGTGGTTGCAGCTTATGCATGTATGCACGTTGTACATACGCGCGTTATGCATGTAAGTGTGCTAGAGCGAGGCTAGCGAAGCCTGATTCGATACGGAACACTCTGCAGAGGTCAATCGGCATAAGCGAATGCACCAGAGACAGCGGATGCAACATCGGTGAGAGAAGAATCCACGTGTTGGAGGCCGATTGCCAGGCCGCAGGGGGGGAAGGGGATCTGATAGGCAGACGCCATCCCTTCGGCGAACAATTGAACAAGCGTCGATGCCCGCTTAGCTGCATGTGATGTGAAGTTTGGTTTGGATATATTGGATATCGGCAAGTTGGATGTTGGATGTTAGTACTGTCCGTGCATGAGTAATGGCACCGAAAAATCACCATCTTTTGCACGGGACCCTCGCCTGGATAGCATTGATAGTGGAATGGAGCAGGAAAAAGAAGAGAGACAATCCCTGCTTGTTCTTGACTAAGCGAGCCGAGTAGCTGTACATCCCCCAAGAGCCAAGATGAACAGCAAAGCTTGGTACTCAGTACCCAGAGATCCGCTCGGTGGTCATTTCGCCGAACAAGCACGGCGCTCTGGTAAATGCGGTCCGAACTGCTGACTACGTCTCTCGTATACTGAGCATGATTTTCAAGGCTGCACTGGGTCTAGCCCGCCAATCCCTCGCCACTCCTTGTGCAGAAACCTGTTTGGGAAATGAGGCTTTCTTTCTTCAGCCTGTTGCGAGCGAATTGACTTTGTGCCCGTCGCTTGCCTGGCAAGCCTGTGCTTTGACTCGGCTCTGGCTGGCTGGACTCCTTCTGGCTGGGCCGCTTCGCAAACTCTTTCCCCCCGCTCGAGCCTCGAGGGGACCGTGCCCAGATCTCGAATCCACACGATGCCTCTTGATATGATATCGACACATGACAAGACACTGCCGGATCCCGCTGACAGGTGGTTTGCCAAGGCGTGCCGGGAGCACGGAGCTGTGTCTAGATATCGCAGGTCCTCAATGCTGCTATGCTTCCCCCTCGTTCATCCTCAGGTCATGCTGATGCAGCTTCTGCTGCTGCCACTGCTGCCTACTACTGCCGGCTACTGGTCCGGCTACTGATGCTGGCTACTGCTGGTGGGATGCTGTCAAAACCACTCCCGAGGTGGGGCCTGGAGCAACTTGCAAAGACCAAAATGCACCTCCTGTGATTCCCCGCTAGCTACTGCACAGGTTACTGCAAACGGAATCCTTGAAAAGATCCCGAAACCGGGGCGTATACTGTCGAAACGGTCCAACGTGGGGGGAAGTCAATGGGTCCTTGCTCCTCCATGAAGCATCTTGTGGGCTTTTATGGAGTGCCTGTGACAATCTAGGCCTCTGGTCTTTCTCCAGAAGCTGAGCTGCTCAGACCGTTATAAAGGTGGGGTTGACGAAGATGAAGTTTTCCAATCTCTTTTGATAAGGAGCCAGAGACTTTCCCCAGTCGATTACTCTATGACGGCCATGACAGGTACGGAATTTCCGATGGGAACACGTTTCTAAGCAAGGTGCTAGAAAGAGACCACTGACGGGCGCACATGGCTGGCTTACCATGACATGACAAAGTGGGTTTAATGGAGATCCTTTCGCCTCTCCTCGGATGGCTTGCACGGCAGGGACATACGCGTACGACTGACATGACACGAGCGTCCACCCTTCATTTAGACTATTGCCCCGAGATTTGTCGGGATGTGGATTCTAATGCGCAAATGGGCGCCATATCGTCGGCCAATATACTCATATCAGGCGTGGGCCGCGTCCGCCACTCCTCTCTAGCTCGCTTGATGGATGGATTCATTGTTGTCGAGATGAACTCCTCTGTTGCTCTGCTATATATCAGCCTTGTCAGGCAGCCCCTTTTCGCCCCTCAGCAAAGGTGCCCCCCCGAAAGCCCCTCATATCGTCGGTGTCATTTAGCGTCAGTGCAAGCGCTTCGTGCTACGGGAATACGGGTCCTCTACAAGCCAGTCGAAGAACAAATGAAATATGGAGTATCTACAGCTAGACCAGGCTCTAGTTTCTTTTGAGACTTGCACTATCTGCCACACAATTGCGGAGTACGCCTCCGATCCAATCAGTGACGGGTTTGCTTGGAGGACGGTTTATCCGACCTCTAGCTGATCTCGAGTTGTATTTTTTTTTAAAGTTGGATCTAGCAAACTGACGGCGCGGAGTCCTTCCGGGGGGCGTGAGCTGAGATATACGAGCGATGCGACGGCGGAATGATTTTTGACATCTTTCTCGAAAGTCTTCCCGAAACAAACATGATCAGCAAATCCACCCCGGGGAAGAAGATATACCCAGTGGCGGCCCTGGAGGTGGCGAAGATGTCGTTCCATCACCATGGAAGCTAGGGAAGCAACTTGACTTGCTTCTAGTGACTCGCCTAGTTTTGACAGGTAAGCAGTAAAAAATTTTGGGAATGCAGAACCCTCCAAAACGTGGAGAAAGAATGGAGTTGGCAGACGGCGAGTCAAGTGTCAAAATGTAGTTCGGAAGTTGACCTGAGTTATCTGGGGTTGAGAAAATTTGAGAGAGGAGACAGGAATAGCCTAAAAACTAGTGTCTCAAAGTAAGAATGACTTCTCTTCAGAGTGATGAAGCGTGGTGTGGTATTTGTATAGTGATTAATTTGCCAGGCCAATATCAAGTAGCTGATGACCGATAATGATTGAAGAAAAAAATTGATAAAGTAGAATTTGCCCTTGAAATAGATATCGACTTGGGGCATCTTTACCGTGAGTTGCCTGACCAAGAAGAAAATCTACATATGAATCATATGATTACAAGATGCGTAACGATTGTGAGTGCTTATAATCGTTTGCCTTTCGAAGTATATGAATTGTCTCATCAAATCTCAATGTGATCACCCGATAATTGAGTTTACCGTATCTTCAAATTCATTTTTACCCATGGGTATCGCACCTGTCTTGTCAATGGTTTTAGAGACACCTTTTCATGAAGACTGAATCTGACAATTCTTTCTGGATAGAATTCATTAAGCTGATTAAATGATATATTTATGATTGACATTTGTACTCATTTCATAATCCTGTTCTGGTATGGCTTCCTATAATGTCATTCACGATGTCCTGTATGAGATTCTCATCAAACACATCTCAACCGTTGCTACCTGTATTTAAGATAGCGGTTATGAAAATCGAAAAATGGTCAGTTGACATGAAAAGATGTATGAGTTGGACTGTTTGAGTAAGACAAGCCATTTTTGTCGACCAGATTTTACTTTGGGAGGTAATAAGACAGACCCCGGAAATAATTTCACCTGAGTAGAATGAAATGCCGTGAATAAAGCCTGTTGATCGTGAATGGCTGTGAATTTCAAGGTAGGCGAGATGCAATTATGAGTATTAACTGTGATGTAGAATGATCAATGCATTCATTCATTGTATCCCCCATGTATGTTGATCGCATCCTGCCTTACTTATTGCGATCATAATTCTTTCACTGGCAGTTAAAGTAGCACCAATCAACGCACATTATAAAATGCTGTGCCAGATGTATTGACGCTCAAAAAGTAGTGAGACATACGCCCTGCTTATGATCACGTGGAAAATCTCAATCATATGTCATATGTCATGATCGCTGAGGAGAAAATGTGAGAACCGATGCTTGGGCGATGACAAATTAATGAATGGGTGCTGTTTAATATGAACTCACTTCCTAAAGATGCCAGAGTGAGTTTCTGTGATCTCGTGGTCAATTGCCCGATGTGTGTTTCATAATTTAAATTGACATTTCTAATCGGATGATGTGCTGTACTCGGAGAGTCATGAGAGCAATTTGGGTTTGAACAGCTCGATGAGCGTGTAACTGCATCTTGGGGCCAAATGAAAGGCAGAATAACAGCTGTTCATCAACCGATAGTGTTTCGTACGCCCTTTGCATATTGCTACGAGATAGCAATAGAGACGTCTGACTCTATCTCAAATGAGCGGCTTATCATGCCAAGGATCGGTTCAATTTGGGCAGCAATTGCTATCACAGGGCTAACTATTCGTGTAGTGGTATGTATGAATGCATCGTCTACATTCAAATTACGTATACCACTGGGGGGATACTCCTGGTAAGTCATGTCGGTGAATAGTGAGTGAATGCAGGATGTGGGACAAGACAGATGATACATGCCTGTTCACATTCGCTTTATTTTCGCTGACCCAAGACGCACAATTACGTTAAATTTGATTGAGAGAGTATGTTTTGTCGCTCGCATTATCAACAGACTGCGATTGTGTGTTTATGTATGAGTGAGATTCTCACTTTGCAAACCAGGTGGCTTGCTTGATCCGATCAATTGGCGTGCATGTCTGTTAAGAGGTCAATAGGGCGTTGCAAAGTTTGAGTTGCCTTTGTATGCATTGTAATTGAGGATATACGTATGCGCTGCAGAATATTTTTGTGCTGTCTTTAATCTTTTCATCTATCTCATCGCCATGGGTCGACTTGTGCCAGCGCTGATCTCTTACAAAGGCAAGGGAATCAGCCACTGCACACGGTGGTATAACAAGTATGTAGCTTTGGTACATGTACATTTATGAAAGCTGTGATGGAAGGCTGGAATGTGAATGTGATATCACATCGCTTCAACTATGCATCCATTCAGATTCACGACTCGCGTCCTGATTAACGGCGCCACCAACAATGGCGCCCGTAGTGAGAAATGGGTATTTCAGATGGATCAAAAGCACTTTTATGGGTAGAGAAACCATGTACGATTTCTGAAAATCTCATTATAGCTGCCCTTTTGAGTTGTGGACAAAAACGAAGTAATGGATGAATGGACTGAGTATCAAGGGGGTAATGAATTGCAGAATCGGCTGTCTTCGTTGATGAGATGCCAACAATATTGGCTGCTAAGTTCGGCATTCAATACCTTTAATAATATAAATTGCACACTGTTGCACTGCTTGAGGTAAGTGCAATGTAGGAGTTATTTGCTTATGAGAGGTTGGTCCTATTTATTTTCGGACCTCACTGATAATCCGTGATGATCAACAGATGAGCATATACGTATGACCGGCTGTTACCATTCAATATGACCTATTCGATTCTGCTTCTTAACTCAAGAAATTTACGTATCAATTCAATAAGTCTTAGCCACCACAGCTTATTGAACCATAATGTAGATGCTGTTCACAAATACAGCCCCTATACATCATGGGCAACGGTTATGAGACGAGCAATACCTCGGTAAGAAGTAATCTTATTTAACTTCTAACAAACAAACCTAACGCGTGTGGTATTTAGTTCTGCAGCTAATTTTCAGGCAACAACGCGACGTGATGCCTTGTTATGCCTCTGTCTAGGAACGACCAGAGTTTCTATGTAATCAGGTGTCATCCCGGGCTACATTAAACACTCGTTTTTGCCGGTTTAGTATGCTGCTGATTACTCTCAAGTTGACAAAATTAGATGGCTTATTCATCATCTATTTTGGCAGAATTCAGTAAACTTTGCTCTATACCGCATTAAGCTTGTTTTAACGCTTCATTTTTGCTCGTGATTACTGTCGCTTCCACGAAAACCGCTTATTCATCGCACATCTTGGCAATGCATGTACTCGTACGACTCATATTTTTAAAATTTATCGCATGTCACTCATGCATTTGTGGTTTGGTGACTACTCGCGCATTCCTCTTCCTAACACGGAATTAGGGATTGGTTGCCGTTTAGCAAACATGCTCGTCCATGCACGTTCGCAGCCATCTTGCGGCTACCGGCTTCTGTCAGTGCCCTGTAGCTGAGAGCGATGACGTCGGCAGGATCCTGCCTGTGACTGTTCGGCGTGAATTAGCTGAATGTTGACGGCGGCGTGAAGGCGTGAACGCAAGCGCCGCGTTGAGGTGACGCAGTTCACAGAGCAATCTGGCCACGTTTCAAAAGAATAGGTAGAGTAGAATAGCCGATTCGCTTCGGATGGAACGTATGTTGCATGAATGGTTCTGACTGAAGCCCGTTATCTGATGAACGTGGCTGCCGGTGGCTTGATATCATTCTCTCCAGGACGCATCCATCGGTATTAACAACCCCCAGAGCCAACTTTAAATGCTGCCGTCTTTTGCTTTGTCAAGAAGCCCGTGATTGGCCAGTTTGCCCGTCAAGCTGGAATTACGGCTGGAAAAGTCCGTTGTGTCGGGATATCGGAGGTCGGACTTCGGCTCAAAATCGTGCCGGAGATTGGCATGGCCCCGACAAGTGCTGAAAACGTGACTTCGCGTACGGATGTGTCATAGCCTGGCAATTGGTAAGCCTGGATGCTGGACTGCCATTCACGCTTGCTGCCCGTATCAATCTCTCCGGCATATCGATATCGTACGGCGTCGCATCTTCATCATCGGGATCCTGCCTGGGCACCAGCGCTGTTATATAGAGGCCCTGGTGGCTGCTGTCGTCTGGTGTCTCATCACGTCGAGTCCAGGACATCTCCGAATTCGCCTGTGCATGTGATTTCGCCTCTCGCAAGTCATGTCGTCGACTGAAGCTCAACCCGACGCCTCCGCGGCGTCTTTGCAGGGGATGGAGCCCCTTGCCTGTGTCTCGTGCCGGGCCAGAAAACTCAAGTGTGATCGCACGAAGCCTGCCTGCACTCGCTGCGTCAAGGTCAAGAATGAATGTGTGTATCCCGAGTCACGGAGGAAACCGACTTTCAAGCGGCGGAACGTCAAGGAGCTAGAAGCTCGTCTGGGTAGGTATCTTTGCTAGTCACCTGTATTCTTATATATGCATTGGTTATCAGACCACAAGCTCATCCGCTCCCTCACAGCTCAGGTTGAAGAGTATCTTAAAGAAGTCAACAAGGGCAATGACGATGGAGCCATCCTTTTAGATGATGCCGACATTTCCCTGGGCGACTTTACTTTCGCCCCTGACAACATTAGCCAAGATGCCAACACCTCAAGCAGCGCATCAGACCCAACCTTGTCCTTTGACATTCCCAATTTCACTAGCCAAGAAGGCAGTGCTTTCAACATGAACAATCAGCTAATGGGCCTTGGAATGTCCGAGGCTCTACCTCCCTTTGAAATGATTGAAGAATTGTATGACAGACCTCGCTGCTTTGTATTAGTGTCTAGTAAGGAGAGAATTCTAACAGTTGCAGGCACAACGTCTACTTCACCACCCACTATCACTTTCTCCCCATCATTCATTCTGGCCGCTACTATCAGGCTTTCTATGGACCGCCAACCAGGAAACCGCCAATGTGTTTGCAGTATGGAATTTGGGCGTTATCTGCGAGTGGACACCTCAAATATGACCACTATGCCGAAGCTTTCTACAAAAGAGCGCGGCAGTACATGGAAGCAGATGAGATGAAGGTGAGTCTGCCTTTCTACCCCTTTGATATACCTGGTACGCTCTGTGTATTGATACTAATTCACCGGCACAGAGTGATGGCGAGCACTTTGTCACGGTAAATCACGCCCAAGCATGGGCCATCATTGCTAGCTACGAGGCGAAAGCCATGCTCTTCACCCGAGCATCTATGAGTGCTTCTCGCTATGTCCGGCTTGTTCAGATGCTGGGATTGGACAGACTTGATAGAGAAGGAGACGACATCCCTCCAACCCTTGGCCCCATTTCCAACTGGACCGAGTTAGAGGAGCGCAGGAGGGTCTTTTGGGGCGCGTTTGCAATCGATGCTCACGCAAACATGGCAACGGGCTGGGCCAATATGATTAAGTCTGAAGATGTAATGACGCGCCTTCCATCTTCCGAGGAAGCCTTCATGGCGGGGCGAGAAGAGAAAACAGTGTTTCTGGAGGATGTGTTTACAGGAGCTCCTTTCGAGAGCTTCTCCGGCGCCATCGTCATATGCGAGGTCTTCAAGACTATCTTGAGACACGTTCATGGAGCGAAACCCTCTGACCACCCCGAGGACTTGATGAACGGCGCCTATTGGAAGCGCCACCGCGATCTCGACAACAGGCTATCTAGCCTTTTCATGTTCCTGCCCGAGAAGTTTCGCCTACCTCAGAGGTCTCAAGACCCAGCAGCCGTGCATACAAATCTGAACTTGCACGCGTCTGTAATATGTCTACATCACGCCGCCATCGAGACAGTAGAAAAATTTGGACTCGACGACTCTATCAAGCAGAACAGCATATGTAGGCTGAGGACATCTGCTGAAGAAATTGTCAGCATTATTAAGATGACGTCGCATACGGCCTCAATATTTGTATGTTTGGGATTCTCTCCTACTAATTCTTAGACATCAAACTAACAGGGGCAACAGAAAACGCAGCTTTGCGCACTCTCATTGTATTGTGCTACGACAGTGTACGTCTATTTGGCCAAAGACGACCCTATCTCCGGCGTGACGCCCATCGATATTTCCAACCTGGAGATTATTATAAACGCAATGGAAGCCGTTGGCCGACTGCACCAAGTCACAACCGCTTTTCTCCAACAAGCTTGCCTCGATATTGAGCGTAATGGTCTGACAGGCTGCCTCCGGCTTCCATCTCTGTCAAAATACCGCGATCTCTTTGGCGGCCCAGCATCCAATATCCCCCGACTTGCTCGGAGTTCAATATCGAAACACACTGAGATGGCTTCACCATTGCCTGGGAGACTACCTCTTGGTGGCCCCAAAGGCCACAGGAGGCCATCTGGCTTAAGAATGAGTAAGCCACTTGCCTCTCTGACAGGCATCCAACCAGAGTTAAGCCATACAACAGATTGTTTCAATGCCATCCTCGGCGCAGTTACCCGAAACGTGGCTCCAAAGTCATTCGATCCTGTCAGCCATAAGAGAAAGCGGGTAGCTGTAAGCCCAGGCCCCGAAGTAAATATGGCGGCAACCCCCAGGACCTCCGGGATGACAGCAAAGGAGTTTCGCTTCACCCTCAGCAAGGGAGCTATGGAAACCCCCGCGAACAACGCTTGTGGGAATCTATTTCCTGGAGAGGTAGATTTGAGTATGAATACCCAAACCGTGGACCCGATTTTTGTGCTCCCGGACCGCACTAACTCATCAGCATCATCTCCAATACAACGAGGAGCTGCTACAGAAGTATTTTCAGCGAGCAGCCACACTTCACCCAGCTTAGGTCTTGGCAATACTCCCGAGGAGAACCGCATCGATCTTCGACAGTTCCAAGGCCGCATTACAACTCCACTTTGGCATAGCACAGAAGAAGGGCTGTTTAACCACATTACAGAGACAATTGCACAGTACTCAGGGGACGGCAACGACCCCTGGGCGTTATTAAATGGGGAGCACAATAATTGGAATACCGGCTCAACAAATTGATTGGTGCCCGGAGAAAAAAACAAATACGTCAAATTATAGCTGGACACATCTCAAAGACATTTTCCGGGGCGGTTGATTACGCGGCTGTGGACAAGGGATATTTTTCTCTTCTCGGCGCATTGCGGTTAGGTTAAGGCAGTGTACGATACCCCGTGCGTGAGAAGTTACGCAACTCTTGTAAAAACAATCATTTCGCTTTGGAGTACAGGACGGAAACAGGACGGAACAAGGATCAAACTGGTTGATCTCATCACCTCTCTTTTACAAACGGAACAGCATATAAAGACATCTATAGACTAAATGATATTAATGCCACACAAAATGGGCCATGAAAACGTCGTACCACTTACACTGCCACCATGACATGAGAGGTTCTCGGCTGTTGCGGCCAATAGTCGGTGGGCCAAGAGCCGGAATAGGGAATAACGTGGGGTGACGGGTGAGGACTTTTTAGGGGGTTTTAACTGAGAGAAAACAATACCAACGGCTTTAATCAGTGTTTCATGGGTGCTTCTGTCAGAGTTCTTCAATCGAAGGACAAAGTGCCAAGAGTCATTTGGTGAGAACTCGGTCAGGTGACAAGTCGATTGATATCCATATAACTGAGCCCCCACATCGCTCAAGATAGATTCGTATCTCCAAGTTCATGGCCTCATTCTCAAAAACCAATTGACGCATGTTAAACCCGATTTTCATCTCTAACCCCAGTCGCTCCTTTTCCCTCCTTCAACACCGATTTTCCTTGATCAAGCAGCGAATCAATTGAACTGAAAGGGGGGCGAAAAAGGGAAGAAATCGAAATCATGTTCGCCTACATCGTCGGCTTATTAGCAATCCTGCTCTTCGTCGCGAACCCCATCACCCAGTATTTCCTGCCACAAAGCTCTCGCTCGAGAAAATCTCTGTCGCCGCGGCCGCAGCTGAACGAGTCGCTGCTGGCGATTGATTTGCCGAATGCCACGGCGCCGAATTGCCTGGCTGACGCGTACGGGGCGCGGATTTTGAGCAGGGAGCCGCTGGTGGTGTATCTGGAGGGGTTTTTGAGTGAGAGCGAGAGGAAGCATTTGCTTGAGATTAGGTAGGTTTCGAATTTTGATATGTCAATTGGCGTCTTGTTCTTATTTTTGTCTTGTTTGATTTTACGTTTTCTTTTGTGATGGGACGTATTTTGGAGGTTATCAGGGTTGAGACTTGGAGAGTGCTAATCAAGTGTATATGCATGAAATGCAGCGAGCCTATTTTTGAGCCGTCAACCATCACTCATGACTCCAGTGCTACGCATCGTGACACTACAGTCCGAGACTCTTCTGTTGCCGTCTTGCCCCGAACAGATATCGTTCGCTGCATTGAGGCTCGCGCACTGGCTTTCCAAGGGTGGCGGCGAGACACTTGGATTGAGCGGCTGCGAACGCAACGATATGTCGCTGGTGGGCATTACAACCATCATTTCGACTGGAGCGGCAATGCGGATGGATGGGGTAGAGTGAGCAGCTTCATGGCTTGGGTTGATGCGGCTGATGAGATGGAAGGTGGAGGGACGGAGTTTCCGCTGCTGGAAACTACGATCGAGGGAAATGCGCTGAAATGGTGTGATTTGATCGAGTGCGAGAGTGAAAAGGTCGGAGATGGAGAGCAGAAGAAACTTGATGATGAGGGAGAAGTGGAAGAGAAAGGGACTACGTTCAAAGTAGTTCCTGGCAATGCAGTGTACTGGGAGAATTTCGCCCGGGATGGCAGGGGATATGACGAGACTTGGCATGCTGGCTTGCCTGTGAAGAAGGGGGTCAAGGTCGGGTTGAACATTTGGAGCTTTGGACGGATAGAGTGAGTAAAGTCTGGCTTTGCTTTTTTATTATTTATAAATCATTGGCCGAGCGATAAAACTGTTATTATATAGCGTCATCCACTCAAATTTGTAAGGGTATCGATCTGAAGAAGGGAAACAATAGAAACAGTACGCCATGTAAAAGCCGTTGCTTATTTCCACCTCCTCTCGCATTGGCCCATCCAACGGCCCCAAGCTATTACCTTGCCGTTGATTTCCTTGGCAATCTGGTCCCTCGTGGGCTTGGAGGCGATGGTGTTTGTATCTAGAGGCTCGTTCAGAGCAATGATGTCGAAGAAGTCTGTAAGAGCCGAGGAACAAATTGTCAGTTAAGTCGAGTAAGTGACCTTTTAAATGGTTTCCCGCAATGTATGTATATAAGGTTAGGGAATAAGGAGACGCTTACATCTGTGGATGCCGTGATTGAGAAGAGGCCGGGGAGGGATGTAGATGCTGTTGCGGCGGTTGACGCCGTAGTAAAACCCGCCGTTTAATCTACTCATCTTTTCGTTTTCTTGTTTAAAGTCACTGTTCGTAACGGACAGCTTGTCCTTGTCGATTCCAAGATATATCCTTTTCACAAACAACCTCAAAGTTAGATACACTCCGTTTTACTCGCGTGCTGCTCGAAATCAACTTACCCGTGGCAGATTGGCGTTGGCAGCGGCGCATCTGGATCTTCCGATATCAGCAGCCACTGCTTGACGCCCTCGACCGAATCCCACTTTAGCTCGGGGAAGCGGCCTTCTCCTCCAAACATGTACTCGGGCCCGAGAGTCGCGCCGTTCTCGCCGCAGTCTGGGGAGGTGATTTGGATGGTGGGCTCTGGGTGGGAGGCGAACGCGGGGCCTTTGGTGAAGGCTTTGGCGTCGCGGCCTTTGGCGTTGGAGAAGAGCCAGCTGGCTGTGATTTCGACGTAGTTCATTTTTATTTTATTTTGCTTGCTTTCTTTGGCTTGTCTTCTTTCGTTCTGTGCAGCTTGTGTGGGGAAGTGAAGCTGTAAGCCTGTTTATGGTGTTCTAAAAGCGTCACTCTCTGTTTTCAAGTCAAGATCGCAGAATTGGGTGATATTCAGATGAAAGCGTATATAGCACAGATTTATATTAAGATGAGAAAACTTCAATCGGAGAATCTTTACTGTTGCGATGCATCATACGTTTTATTAGAGACGCTGATTGCAAGCTCCGGCGGCCGGCGCCGAATCGGCTGCTTATATTTGGTTAGCTTTTGCCGAGATTCGCCGGTCGAATCTTAGTAGAGAGCATTAGTGAGGTGCCGAACTTCGCCTGATTGGATTGAGATGAGTAAATGGAAGCTCACAGAGTCCCTGCAAATTGACCCTAATGACGGTGAGTATTTTGTAAATCTTTGGGCTAGATAGCTGGAGTTGTACAACTTGTAGTGGATACATGCGAATTTTTGGTGTCGCCGGTTCCATGGAAGAATACTTGTAGCGTGCTGAAATCTATTCAATTCTATAAAACTGTAGCTATATATGTGAATTACTCGTTTGCTGTCAAGAGGAACTGCCGCAAATAGTGTTGCGGGAAACTTCCTTTCAAATAAGGAGAACGCGGATCTCCAGCTTGGGTGTGTTACTCATGGCGGCAATTAGCATAGGGTACCGCTGCCTCGAGAAGTTAACAAGTCCTGAGAAGTTCTCATGCAAATATAAGTGCAAGGTCAGTTCTTTAGTCGGCTGCGGCTTAGTATCAAGGTGTACATCGCCTCAGCCCTATACTACCAATTCGGATCCCCATATTCGTACCCAATGCGACAGCCTAATGTGACAGCTCAACATGAACTCGGCTGTGGCTTACTTCCACTATGAGCTTGGTTTGGCTTACTTCTACCATGAATTCGGCTTGGCTTACTTCCATTACAAATCCTTCAATCCTTCGTTGGTTTGTCGTCGGTTTGTCGTCTAAGTCCGTATATCTGATCTAGACAACAACACCGAAGCTTATGCGCGTCTGCATCGTTAGGAGCGGCTAGCTCGGGTATTGCGGAATGGATGTGCATGAGAGAGACTACATAGGTGTAACGAGACTATCGGTATTACGTGCAGGTGATTCAAGTAAAATGCCTACCAAGGCAATGTATCCGCGGGAAGGAGGCCAAGATTTGCATCAAACAGCGGCATATATCGAGATATACGAGTATACGCTTAATAAGCTCTCAGCCCATAAGATATTAAGATTCTACGCGGAGTAGTCGGTCTGCAGTAATCCCGGCCGACGGGGTTTTACTTCCAATCATCTTACAAATCGTTGTGGAAAGGCTACTCTATAATGCCACCAAATGGAAAAGGATATGGGAATTCGTCGAGTAAGCCCAGATATTCGGAGATGTTATATGTCATCCGCCACTAAATATCAACTGCCCAAATGTGGACAGACTTTATGCTTAGTTCGCCTCCATTTGCCGCGCGTGTGAGCATACGCAAAGGTACTATTGAGCTGGAACTACTCCCAAAGAATACATAGCTTTGTTTGTCGCCTTACGCCAAGAGACGTCGTCGAGAATCCAAGGAATCCAAGACACTTCTTCCTCACTGCCACCTAGGAAACTTACCGTGAATGGCAAGCTAATGCGACCAGCTGAAGCTAGTGTAGCAAGCTTGTTTGAATAACTGGAACTAACTGAGGCGGTTCCAGCCTGTAAGAATGATTAGCACCATCGCTTCAGTATGCTTTCCATAGTCCAGGATTTAGGCCAGACGTGAGCACAGCCCCATATCTCGGTACACTATTCCCTCGTCTGCTCGTCTAGAGCACCACTAACTTGGAAGTGGACAAGCTCTCTAGGCAACTGAACAATGGAATCAAATTACGCAGTAGAACATCCAACATCATATGCCGGTGTGCTTATGTGACGTAAGATCTATCGCTAGTACCAACGTATGAAATGCTGGAGCTTGCTCGCGCTGTCAGAGAGGTGGCTTGTATCTAAAAGCATGTTTGTTGCTATTACTCCGTACGCCGTATTACAATTGAGTACCTATATTCTAATCACATATAAATTCCGTCGTTACCTTTTCTCAATATTACTGAACATTCTCACATCCATCTTTATATCACTAATACCAAACCTCGATTATAAGTCAACATGAGACTCCCTATTACAGGAGATCAGATCAAGGATCTAGCCGCTCAGTTAGATCCGTCGACTAAACTTTTTACCCGCGCAGATGGCCAAGAGTATGAGAAGTTGATTGCTAGGTGGGCCGACAATGCCATTAGACAGGCTGTAAGTAGCCCTTTTCTTAACATCAATCAACAATGGCTCATTGCTATAGGGCGTGGTCGCTGTTCCTGTGACATACGAAGAGGTGTCCAAGCTAGTGAAATTCGCCTCCGATAACAAGATCGATATCGCCGTGAGGTGCGGTGGTCATTCTACCGGCGGTTGTAGTTCTTCAGAAGGCGGCCTTGTCATTGATCTCTCTGGCATGCGCAATGTCACGGTTGACAAAGACTCGAAATTGATCATTGCCCAAGGCGGTGCCTTGTGGGCAGATGTGGACAACGCTGCAATTGAAAAGGGCCTTGCCACAGTCGGCGGCACTGTTAACCATACTGGCATCGGCGGATTGACTCTTGGTGGCGGCCTTGGCTGGCTTACCGGCTTATATGGCACAGTGGTTGACAATCTCGTCGCAGCCAAGGTTGTCATCGCCGACGGAAGCCTCTTGAATGCCTCAGAAAAAGAGAATGCCGACTTATTCTGGGCGATCCGTGGTGCAGGCCACAACTTTGGTGTTGCCGTCGAGTTTACGATTAAGGGGCATGACCAGACCAATGAAGTGTATGCTGGAGGCTACGTGTTCACCCCAGACAAATTGATTGCCATTATCGATGCGCTCAACGCCAAGATGAAGAATCCGGATCCCAAGGCTTCAGCGATCGTCGTCTTCGCGAGCCCGCCAACAATGCCCGGCCCGGTTATTGTTACCAACCTGTTTTATAACGGTGATCAAGCCGCTGCAGAGAAATGTTTCGATTTTCTGCTCAAACTAGAGCCCGTCGCCAATATGGCCAAGATGATGCCCTATAACCTTGTCAATGGGCTGTTGAACCCGATGGCAGCTCACGGAGGCCGCAAATCTCTCAAAGCACTCACTCTTTCACACGACGTGGATGCTGCATTCGTACAGGAGTTATTCGAAGAGTACGCACGAAAGATGAAGGAGAATCCCGATTTGGCTAAGACGTTTATGGGCATTGAGTTCTACGACACGACTAAGCTCAACAGCGTTCCTATCGAATCAATGGCATTTGCCAATCGCGGTCTCTACAGAGCTGGCATTGTCGGTTTGGAGTGGTCAGATCCTGAGAAAGATATGGAAAACAGGAGTTGGGGTCGAGGTTTTCAGACCAAATGCCGACAACACGTCATCGATCAGAACCAATATTCCGAGGAGACTACTAAGACTGCATTAGAGTATGCCAATTATATTGAGCGTAAGTGTTTTATTATTCTTAGTATCTGAGATAGCTACTAATTTGCTGCAGCTGGCGATCTTATCGACAAAAAACCATTTGGCGTCAATCAGCAACGATTAGAGATGTTGAAACACAAGTTTGATCCAGATTGTCTGTTCAACAAAACAAGCCCACTTGTACCTTTGAAAAATTAAGAGCATATGATATCACCACGATAGCATTCTAAAATAAATCTCTTCAACTAATTTTCGGGTCTCTTTACCTTTTCACTATTCGGCACAAGACTGTCTTATATGGTGGTAGCCGTCATAGTTTAATATAGCGAGATAATGATTGATTCTGGATTTGAACTGGATATTCTATCATTCAAGATGATAATACAGACTGGAAGTGGTAACACAATAATGCGTGACTCATCAAGAAATATATATACCTACCAGTATCTAAAGATCGATCCACACAATCCCTTTTGTGAGATACTATATATGTATACTTGTGTTGTGTTATAGTCTTTATGTTCCCCGTATGTGCATGTAGAACTTGCCCTATTGAATTGTTTAGCGGAGGAACCAACCGAGGAGTCAGCATAATGCGGAAAATCCGACACAAAAATACATTATTATCCTCAAGATCGCATAAGCCGTTAGTAATCCAACTATCTAAACGACTTTCAAGTTTGTTAGGGCTGTTTATTCGGATAATAAGCAAACTGGTGCAGAGCACTTTCTCTCTCTATCTTACCGAGTCCCATTGTTTCATCTCTAGATTTCGTGGTGACAGTCTAGTGCCTTTCCTATGAGGACCGTTCCCTATTTCACCTTTTTTAAACAAGCAATCATTAAATAGTGTAAAAATAAGGAAAGCATTCTGCGCATGCTTAAAAATAGATATGTTTGTCCTTACTATTGGCTAACAGAGAGCCATACTAAGGATAGAGTAGCGCGTCTTACACGTGGATATGAGGCTAGAGCAATAGGAGCGAGATCGCCTGTTAGTGGTTCGTATTGCTTTAGATGCATCACGATTCATGCATATAATCGCTGAGAAACAGCCAATAATTATAGTAGGCGTGTTTTCGTCAACTAAAATTAGAATGTCAATTGTTTCACATACTTGCGCAAGGCAGATTGCTCTGAAGCATCATACCTTCTCAGGCAACGTTCTAATTATATCATGTAGATCTCTTGAGAACGCAGAGAGGTATATAAGGCTTCGCGAAGCCCCTGATAGATCTAGAGTCAGATAGCTTCAGCTTTAATCCTCAATTGACGCAGACTACTTAGATTACAACATGATTTTCCAACTCTCTCTCTTCGCGGCACTGGCATCCGTAGCTCTAGCTACACCAACGCCTACAAAGACTTCCAAGCCATCAATTCCCTTGGGGAAACGAGACTATTGCGGCGATCATGAGAATCAACTAGCAACTTGGTACGACCGCGGCACCGACCCGAACCAAATCACAGCTTGCGGCAACAAATACGATCCTTCGGCTATCGTTGTGGCCATTTCCACAGACGTACCAAACTACAAGTCATTCTGCGGCCGAGAGATTCTCATCTCCTCCAGAGAGCAGACTGCTGCGGTAATTGCCATCATTGACGATGCCAATGCTACTGGTACTCTCGGAGAGTTTGCTCTCGACCTTTCTCCTGCTGTCTTTGATATCCTTTCGCCAACCGACCACACTATTGATCAAGATGGAGAAGTCGCTATTGATTGGGTAGTGCTGGGTGGCGATCCATGCCCTTAAAGGATTTGGGAGAGAGCGGTTATAAATGGTATCAGTTGCGAATTCATGAGTACTAGATGAGAAGTTTGTGGATATACAGGGTACTTTACTGTATCCTGGGAGCGGGCAACTATTCTTAGAAAGAGAGGGTATATATACAATTGAAATAGCAAAAGGTCACAAGGATTGCCAAGGATTCAATACAGCCTGATGAGATCGTTTGAGGGAGTTGTTCCGCAACGGAGACTATTATAGATAGATGCAACATGGCTCGGTATAATCGGGTAATCCTGGGGGATGTATTTATAGCAATTAGATCCATGCTTACAGAAATACCAGATTTCATCGGAGACCATTAAGTAATGTTGTTTGTATTGCCTTTTCTTTGCCCAGCCCAATCTTTCAGTAGTTTCATAGAAGCAGAGGGGGGTTCTGAGGTAATAATCAGCGCATTCCCACAGCTTGCCTGGTTTCTATGAGTCTTAGGTAGACCGCTAAGGGAAGGTCAGGTATATTACATTAGAACGCTAAGCCATCATTGCACCGGGAGGAAGAACTCACTGGCAGCCCGCCATCTTTCGCCAATTACTTCCAAAATTGCCCGTAATGAATTGATGCCCTGGTTTGTATCGCAGAAGTCGGCCTCGGGACCGAGAGACATCAACGACGTGACAGACCGGTAGATCCACTCCAACACAAAGGGAGAAGTGTCATCGAGCGTCCCCCACTCACCGCTGCGAAATCTCTGAGCATTACGCAAAGTGTTTGCTAACGTTGCTTGAAGTGAGAGGTATGAAGTATCCTGGCTTTCCTTGGGCGAAGATTTGAGTGAATTGGCCAGGACTACTGTATGTATAAGTAATAGTGCGCTTCTTTCCCTGTCAGTCTTCGTCTTATATAATAGCTGGCACGGTGAGATTGACTTATAGCAAATAGCAATTCCACAGCAGAATATCATGCCTCTCTGCGCTTCTTCAATTTCAATCAAGCGCTCGAGTGCAAATAGAGTCCTGTCTAATGGCATCATATCGCTCGGAGTAAGCTGCATTTTATCCTCCTTGTTTGGGATTTGTCGTAGTACTTGGCTTAGAAGATTGATGGCTTGAGCGAGGCGTGCGAATCGACCTGTTTTCAAGGTTGGTGGAGAAGACAAGGTTCGATATATGTCTATTGAGAGCACCTAAATAGCGTGTCCGTGGTCATTAGTTCATGCTCAGTGTCTAGAAGATCTGGTTGTGCAAGCAAAAGTCTTACCCCTCGATCCCAATCATCGTCGTCTACAGGTAAGATTGATTCAGAATCTGGGTCTGGGGTGCACAAATGATTTCCATTTAGAGGCATATTCGTAGTACTGTATAGGTCGTTAGTCCTGATTTTATAGTTGAGGGGATAATAGAGTCACTTACCGATCTAACATCAATATTGCCCACCATATACGATTCCGCTCCTCTTGCTCAATCCATCTACTCCCCTGAACTGGATATGCTTGAGTTATTCCCAAAGAAACTGCGTGACGAGCACATGATGAGATAGTGGTCAGAGCTGCAGGATAGATTGCGTGCCCTATCTCATACACGGCGGTTAAAATTGCTGATTGAATCGTATGGATGCTAACGTAACCCATCATCTCTGCGTGCAACAAGGTCTCTTTCACGAGAGTGTAAAGTTCGGAAGACAAACTGTAATTCTTCGGGCGACTGGTAATCAACTTAATTCCTAGAAGAACAATAGCCACATCGGGATCAGTGTGGTGTGATGGATCCATGAGCGACCCATACAGCCGCGTCCGAGAGATGATTGGTATCCATCGGTGAACAGTACGGAAATATTCATCAGCTAGAGCTCTTCTGTGAATGTGATCGCCTAGAATATGGTGAACAGCGGGAGAAAGTGATATACAAGGGCGAGGGATTGTCAGTTCGCAGTGGGTGGAAAGTAGTGGGTCGAGAAGAACGGCAACCGGAAAGCTATTTCTCAATAATGATGAATCATTTCGCAGAATATCCGCTTCTTTAGGTGGTAATGATGATTGGGTTTCCGCTTGTTCAGCTGGCTGGTATAGACATTTTCGGCGCCGCCTTATAGTCCAGACATTAGCACCGAGACTGTCTATAGTCTAGAGTAAGGCATGAGGTTATACCATACCGAAGGCACAGGCTACATGCTGGTAGCTCCCGTGTACAACGCCGCTTTTTCAGCTTGCATGCCTGACAAGACCGTCTTGCCGTCCCAGGAGTGGGTTGTATGAGAATCTTGCCTCGGTGGCTCATTGCGACCACGCGTAGCTTTGTGCGGGATTGCGGACAGAGTCCGCTTGAGAAGATGATGCAAGACGATGGGGTTGACTGCACCCTGTGTTGTACTCAATACCACCGACGATCACTGATGGTCAAGGTAACTTGAAAAGGAGTAGACTTAGTATATGCCGGCTAACTGAAAACGTTCAGGTTGCTCGATTGACGTGACTTGGGGAACGAGATATGAGGCGCCACCTTTGTGAGTAATCGTGTAAGAAGTTGCCATTCGGTGGATGTCGGAAGTACACGATTATCAAATGCCCCTAGTTTAAATAGCAGAAGTCAATGGATTACTCATACACATGCGTGATCACAGACGACTGCTTTGTCGTTGCCAGAACCCTTAGTTACGAACTTACAAGTCGGACGGTTTGTTTGAAACAGAGTGACAAGTCAAGAATTGAGTAGCGGTACGGCCGTGTCGTGCCAAGATATCTTCAATGTTAAAAGCCGTGCTTCTGCATAATGTCGTTTATTGTTGATGGTATCGTGCAATTAACTTGAACCAAAATTTGATTTACAATTATCACTGGTAGAAATCTCCCACGTAAAAAATTCTTAACCATCCAAGGAAAGACAGGCGACACATGGTTTACAACGCATTGTTGGAGGCAACATCGGGATCTTCCGTCCCTTTGGAATCATAATCAACCACCTAGGCTATTAGCTCCCGCCCATGGTTTAAGTCCGAAATTAACGAGCCAATCAACTTGTAACAAAACGCGGCCGCGTTTCCCGCAAGATTTGCGGACGACCGACGCTATGTCACAGAACGGACTTGTTAAACGAAGCACGTTCATACGAGTCGTCCTTTAGGATAACGGTTAATGGAACGATACTTTCTATCACGAATCTTGAACCGAGATGATAATTAATACTGAAGAATTGTTGATATGTAATCCCTCATCTTTAGTCGAAGCCAAAGTAAGAATTGCTCATTGTAGCTGCAAGTATAAATCACGGCTCAAGCCATCGTAGTAAACCACATTGCTTCAAATCCAACATTCCTCGTATCCCAATAAGAAAATAATCACAATGTCGTCCCCTAAGCCAATCGCCCAAAATGACTCCATCCAAGCATACGTCTACGTCCTATCCCCCCATAAAGTCGACTTCCCAGGCCAACCCGACACAGAATCCTTCGAATTCTCTCCCACCGCATTCACCCTAATCACCACACAAGACGGAGCAGTCCTAGTCGATTCGCCAACTACACCTAGTCAAGGAGAAGAAGTAGCGAAATGGGTCAAGTCAATCATTGCGGACAAGAAGCTCGCCTACATTTACATCACTCACGGTCACGGCGATCACTTCTTCGCCGCGGAAGTCATCCAGAAATATTATCCGGAGGCCCGCCTTCTGGCAACTCCGCAGACATACGCCCAGATGCAAGAGAATCTTGATAAGAAGACTTATGAGGGATTATGGGTTGCGACGACTCCGGAGTTGAGAAATAAAGCTCCTCCGGAAGTACAAGTGGATATACTAAAGGGCGACAATACTTTTGTTGTTGGAGGTCACCGGTTTCACGTCTTGAGTCTTCCTGGTGGTGATATTGGCGAATCGACTGTGCTGCATGTACCTGATCTCGAACTCGTCGTGGCGGGAGACGTCGTTTACGGGAGCTGTTATCAATTCTTTGGCCAGGCACGAACTACTGAATTGCGGAATAATTGGCTACAGTCTATTGATCAAGTTACTCAGCTGAAGCCAAAGGTTGTGGTGCCATCTCACATGCAATCGCATGAAGGGTTCAGCGCAGACCACATTGAAGAAACGATAAAGTACATTAAAGCATGGGAAGAGCTTGATGCTGCGACAAATACCTCGCAGGAGCTGGAAGAGGCTGTGAGCCAGAAATACTCTAATAGAATCGGGAGCTTTATTCTCCGATTCTCGTCTCTGGTTGCAAAGGGGGATATGCCAGGTCCGTAAGCGTAGCAAGAATGAATAGTATTACTTCAGAAATCTTTGTTATCATCATAAATGCCAGGATACTTTTTATATAAATCTATTAAAATATGTGATAGGGTGGAAGGGGAGTCTATAAGTGCCTGCCAAGACTGCTTTCTATGTCGGCACCTCTAGTCTCAATATGTTTTTATTATACATGGCTCATTTTGCATTGCGCTTCCTTCTTATGTGTGATAAAGTAATGATGCAGCTTCATGTGGACTGCTAAACTCCGTGGGAACTTCGTGAACGTTTTCAACTCATCGCTAGTACAAGTCCTCGTCGTCGCTCGCCGTTCCATCTTGGAATCCCATCACCGCTTTGCCTTTTCCTTTGCCATTGACTTGTTCGTCCTCATCGCTGCTAACGGCAATGGCCTTGCCTTTTCCTTTGCCCTTGCTCGAGGATGATCTACCGCCCCTCGATCCTCCAGAAGAGCCGGGTCTTTTCGCGTGGTCTTGTGATTGCTGCTTCTTGTCGCTTCCTCCTTCAAACTGCGCCCTTACTCTTTCGTAGTGTGCCAGTTCTCCTGCGCTGACACTGGGAATCAACTCCTCGTGCGCAGCGATAAAGTCCTCCTCTTGCACCATGACGGCGATATCTGCGGGCGTGGCGTAGTGGTCGAAGAAGTACGCCGTCGAGACCTCGTGCTTGTTGGCCGGGTCAGCGTTGAGGGCACGAACTTTGGCATCCACCGCGGCGGCCTGGCGGGTGACGGCCTTGAGCATGGCGTCACTGCACAGCGCATAGAAATCGGCACCTGTGTAGGTGAATGGGAGGCGCTGAGAGACTGATGCGAGAGAGACAGAGGGATGGAGGGTGAATCTATGCAAATAGGGATTAGTACAAGTTGTTTCTTCAAAAGGGGAGAGACTACCGAAATAGACTTAAAGGAGAAAACGTACTTTCGAGTGAGAGCCTCCAGAATGGTTTGCTGCTTCTCATGAGTGTCAGAAACACCAAGATAGAGCATCTTGTCAAATCGACCAGGACGCAGCAGCGCAGGATCCAACAAGTCAGGTCTGTTAGTAGCTCCAATGACAAAGACGCCTCCCGCATCCTCGCCGCCAGACATGCCGTCCAGCTCAGCCAACAGCTGCGACACGATACGGTCCATGACACCGCCGGAATCTCCCTGGTTACCTCTCTTGGGCGCAACGGAATCCAGTTCGTCGAAGAAGACGACGCAGGGGCGAGCGTCACGGGCTCTCTGGAAGACACGTCGCACGTTGGCTTCTGATTCACCAATGTACATGTTGAGCAGCTCTGGACCCTTGACACTGAAAAAGTTGAGGCTGTATTCGGTGGCAATGGCCTTTGCGAGGAGCGTCTTTCCAGTACCCGGAGGACCGTAGAAGAGGATACCGGAACGCTTCTTCATGCCCTTGGCAAACAATTCGGGGCGTTCCAGCGGTAGCTGAATCGTCTCCGTGATAGCCTCCTTAACGTTGCTAAGACCACCGACATCGTCCCATGTGACATTGGGGATCTTGGGAGCACCAATAGAATCGGAAAAGTTCTTGCGGGCGGCTTCAACGGCAACATCAAAGTCGGCCGCTGTCAGGCACCGGGCCGATGAGCCACCAGCAACCAGCACATCACGCACCGTCATTGGCAGGTGGCCGTTGCTAGACTTGGTAGATAGCGACTCGAGGCGAGATCGCTGGGCTATCGAGGCTCGTTCTACGACATCAAGTAGGTCACCGGCAACCAACGCAGCTGTCTTGAGAGCAATGGCATTGAGATCAATGGCCGGCTCGAGAAACACACCGCGGTCTTCAATGACGGCCCTCAGGATGGCCTCTCGCTCGGCTTCATCAGGAGCGCCCATTTCGAGCTCATGGGTGAAGAGGGCGCGGACTCCATCAGGGACTTTGTCAACCTCATTTGTCGTGGCAATAAGGACACGAACATCCTCGAGGATCTCCTTGATTGAAGACTCTATCCGATCGGCTGTCAGCGCTTCGATGTGCTGAATGAGGAGAGCGCAGCATTCTGGACCACAGCTAATGGCTCGCTCAGCGCGTGTCCTCAGGAAGCCTTCTGTCTTGACGTCGCTGCCACTGCCTCCACCCTCACTGATAATATCATAGGCATCAATGGTGAATGTGTGCAGGCCCATATCGCTACAAGCATCCTTTGCCATGGTCGTCTTTCCGATGTTTCGATGCGATGATGTCAGTAGGATAGCGACAGGAGGCATCTTCAGATGCACAGCCCTTAAGCTTGTTGCAGCAGCTAGGAGTTCCCGTAGCTGGCGCCTCAGAGGGGGAACATGCTGCTGGTCACGATCTGCCAACTGCGGCGGACCACCGTCTGCTGCTCGTTGCGGCGTCTTCTTCAGGCCAAGATAGTAAGGCCAAGTGCTGTCCTTGATACCCGGTATCCGGCTCGTCTCAAATCCAGACCCATGCATGGCAACAGTGGTGCTGTCGATGCATGCAACAGTCCCCCACAGGGATTCCGCAGTTCCGTCTTCGTCCTCGTCCGACTTTTGCACCTGGATATGACCAACTTTGAACCAAGCAACGCTGTCGAGATGTGACAGAGTCTCCCCGCCAGACTCAGTAGACCGTGCTGTCAGTGCTACTACGTCGTCGACCTCGGAACCGCCTGCACCGGGAGCTTCTTGGAGTGCCCGGCCCAGCTGCGCATCCACTGGCACGGCGATCAAGTCACCCTGCCGGACGAGGCGCAATTTATGCGCAAAGTAGCGTTTCAGTCCACCAAGCACGGCGGTTTGGTACGCCCTTTCGGCAGAGATGGGGGTTCTAATGTGGTGAATGGCGATATCCTTTGCGTACGGAGGCTGCGAGGCGCTCGCGAATCTCGGCAGCGTCCCTTTACCTTGATATGAGGACTTCTTGAGCACAGAGATGCGCAAGTGTGTGGCTCCATCAATGTTTGCGATCAAGATGGGCGAAGCATAAGCTGCTGGGCTAGATGGTCGCTGGACTTGCGACTCGAAGAATGATTGCCGTCGATCGCCCAGCCTGGAACTCGGTATCCGAGTGACGGGGCGTTGGGAGTAGCCCTCGGGCAAGCCATATACGCGAACAGGCCGCCAATTGGACACTTCAAAGTCTGGGTGGTTGAAGCTGCCCAGCCCAAACGCGCCAAATCCATTCAGGGGAGGCTCTTCGGCAGCCTCAATCCGGACCCAGTCTCCGGAGAAACACCCAATCTTGGAGAGAGAGGCCACATCAACATAGATTCGCGCCTCTTCATCGTCCTCGGGAGATGGCTTGGGATGCAGCAGGTCGGATGGTATCTGTCTTCTCAGACCGTGCACTTTGAAGAGCCTCCCGCGAGCTCGATCGGGACGTGCAGTAGTGGATGTAAAGTTGGAAAAGACGGAACCAGGAGTAGCAAAGCCATTGGTTTTTCTGCCACGAAGCGTACCGGCAGTCATTGGCGTTCCAGGGCCCATGGAATTCATCGAGTTCGTCGTCGGCAGCGTAGGGACCTCCAAAGATATCACCTCGTCCATGGAATCATCCGAAAGTTCCTCCTCTTGTTCTGATCCCGAGAAATCCGTCTCCGTCTCGGTAGCCGCCACCGCGTCGTCGGTAACAGCGCCGGCTCGATCGCGCTCTTCGGCGGCTGAGAAGAACTGGTCGTTTGTGCCATCCTCATCGTCATCGTTACCGTTGAGCCGCTGACCGTCGGTCATTGATGCGGCGGGACGGGCCTGTCGTCGGTTGATTCCTCTCCCTCTCATCAGGATGATCTTTGTAGATTCCGTCAGGACGCCCTGAGCAACGGGCTCACAGAGCATGATCTTGCCTGGGTTCGGTGGCAGGTGGGTGACGGGGTGAGGCGGAAGAGGCAGCGGAAACAAATCGCCCGAGTGAACGACCTTGAGGCTGCCAAGGGCCGCTCTGAGCGCCATGGCCACGCGCTCCTCGGCCGTCAAGTTGGCGACCCCCTTGGGGTTTGTCGGATGGTCCTTGTAAAACGTGCCCTCGCCATTCTCCAGCCGTTTTGTTAAATCGCTTTCGAGGTTGACGAAAACCGTCTCCAGCGGTACAGGGGCAACATCGAGGACAAGGATTTCGATGCCGCTGCGGCTATGGCTGGACAGCTTGGACGGAGCTACTTGCTGCAGAGTAACTGCAAAGCTCTGGAGAGCTGAAGATGAGGGCGAGAACTGAATGGTCGAATGGGACAGGTCGCTCGATCGCAGAACGGGAACAACGGACCAGGCAATTTCAACGGGGTTCGCATTGGGTGCCCATGGCGCGACTGCGATGTGGTGGATTTCGTCGGCGAGCTCATCGTTGGCATCTTTGTACTTCTTGTCAGCGTCTCTTCAGCGTGCAGCAGTAGCATTTCAGCGCTCTGGCGCATTGCCATTCGCTATGAATGACTTACCGTTTGCATGGTGCGGGAAGAGGTCGGCGAAGAGATCGTCAGACACGATGCCAACGTCTCCCTTGGTACGGTCGTCGAGCACGAGTCGGGCGGTGATGGCCGGTTTGTCCTGGCGCCGCCTGCGGTTCCGTCTCTTGTGTGACACGACAGGCGCTCCGTCTGAGACAGCCATCTCGGTTGGTTTCTAGAGCTTTTGAGGGAAAGGTATGGCGAGATCGGGCGCAAGGAGCCGTTGTAGCTGGGAAAGGAGTCGGCGGACAGAGCTGTTTCAATAGTTGACAAGACCCCGCAGCCGCTGGATCATGGCGCAGGCAGAGATCAGGAGAAGATGGAAATAAAAACAATCACAGTCAAGCACCAAGAACGGAAACAAAGCTGACCGGGAATCCGGGGCAATTGGATTCGGCGCGTGCTGGGCGCGATGCGTTGCGATGAAGATCAAAAGCCTGCCGGTGCGTGTCGTGTCGCTGCAGATTCCACTATAAGCAGCAGTGGCTCGGCTGTAGCCGTGGCAGCCTCGGCATAGGGAGTCGCTGGACCCCAGATTTCGGGGCCTCAGCTTCAATCTTACAAGCGCAGCTCAGCTCCACCAACGGCTGCTGCTGTAGTTACCACGGCAAAGGCGAGGAGCTGAAGCGGATGTTATATGTGGTAACAGGTATGTAGCTATGTGTATTAATCTACAGAGAAATGGGGGTGGTTATGGAATTTGATGATTATGGCGACGATGGAGCAAGTGCACATCCTGTATTAGCATGCAGTGTGGCTTGTATGGAGCACGAAGTAGCAGAATTGAGTTCTAAGGTTTCGATATTCCCACTGCGGCACAATCATCGCAATTGAACTTACCCGGGACTCGGTAAACTATATATGTACGAGAAAGGGGTAAAAGAGCTGGAGGCCAATAGGTGCCTGGTTTGCACGCTTTACATTCTGTAGGTGGGCGTCTAAACTCATGCAGAGTAAAGAAACAAAGTCACCTTCCTGCTAGCCAATGAATGAATGCGCTTTAGCGGCTTACACTTGATTATTTCGTCATGCCTTGCAGCAATGGTCTCCAGTCACTCAAGAAAAAAACCCCTTCTAATTGACCAGAATTTCACATGTATTTTTAGCAGATACACGTATCTCAAAAAACCAGCCATTCAAATCTCCACTCCTCCAACTCCGTCAGCACTGCCATCAAGGAGGCAAATATCACAGCCAATTTCACAAGCTAAAAACCCGGATTGATCAACGGAGAATTACAAGTACAGAAACGGATGGAAAATTAATATGGAGCCAACTAACAGGGATCGACTCTTGAATGATTCGCGACTCGATTGCGTCACACCTAACACATAGGCCTACAATGCAGCATTTTATTCTGGAAATGTGGAAAGCCCTTCTGCAGGGTTTCTGGATTTAGATGCAGCTTCTCCCCTCCACTCACCGCATTTACCAATTGTCTCATGATGTTTGGTTAGAGGTCACTCCTTTATATGCAAATGCTCCAATTTACGATACATGAGAATTGCTTGTTCCTGGGCTTTCACAACTTTCATTATTCTGATACCCGTCTAGAGAATTGACTGCGAAGTGGCTTGATCATTGATGTCATTGCCGTACCTGGTTGATGCCCACCCGTGAGCGATTACCACGACATACAGCAGCGACAGTCCATCGTATGGCTTGAATAAAGAAATTCGAAAAGACATAAGACAGTATAGATAAATAAATCTCACCACGGCCAACTCTCAATTGGTCAAAATGGGTCACAACGAAGATCCCCCGACCTCGGTTCAACACGACATGCCGCCTCGATCGACGTTTGAGGTTGCACAGCAGGCGGTTGAATTTACCAAACAGTCTGAGAAACTCTCACACCAACGGTTGGAGGACGACTCTGCAGCAATAGCTGTGCAGGCCGATTTTGTCACACCACAGGATCCCGTCATTGTCACATTGGACGGCAACCGGTTGCCAGGCGTGCCATTAGATGAAGCACACAAGCTCAACGTGCTGCGCGAAGACCTACAAGGACAGACGACGGAAGTAGAGATTAAGAAGGGAAGCAAGATTCAAGAAAAGATCTCGAATCCGGCCGCGCATCATCACAATGGAGAGGAAGAGCGGAAGATCATACAACTACCCGAACCTGAAAAAGATGAGGGAAATGGACAGTCTTGGCAGCAGGACTCACAAGGAACCTTGAGGCATACTATGCCTCCATCACATACGAACCCATTGTTCCCACCTCTACCACTATACGGACCGCCGTCTTTGCTACGCAATATCCAATGCTGGTTTTTCAGGTCGACGTCGTTTGTGCTGAGCATGGAGTTTCTTGGTGTGATTGTACTTGGCTCGCTGTTTACAAGCATTCCGAAATGGTGCAAGGCACTATTTCTGCCGAATGAGGAGAAAAAGCGGCCGTTTTATGAGCAGGAGCAGCAGAACGCTGCAATTAGAGAAGAGAAGGAAAAGGATTGGGACCCGTCGGGAGCTCAGAGACGTTTGGATGTTGACGAAACCATAGTGGATGAATACCCGCCAACTGAGGGCGGTAAGGACCCCATTATCTGTGATGTTGGCTATTACGCCCGCAGGGTTGGCCTTGACGTGGAGACTTTCAAGGTCGAGACTGAAGATGGCTTCATCATCGAGCTTTGGCACGTCTATGACCCTAAAGAGCATACACCCCTAGACGAGACAAGCAGAGAGAAACTTGGGCCAACCGTCTTTCAGGAGCCAACCCAGCAGCCAGGGAATCTGGGCAAGAAGCGAAAGTTCCCCGTGTTGCTGATGCATGGCTTGCTGCAGAGTTCGGGAGCGTATTGCTGCAACGATGAGCAGAGCCTGGCATTTTGGTTATGCAAATCAGGATACGATGTTTGGCTGGGCAACAACCGTTGCGGCTTCAAGCCCCAGCACGTACTACTCGATTACGGCGACCCGCGCATGTGGTGCTGGAATATTCGGCAGATGGGTGTCTTTGACCTGCCGGCGCTCATATCGCGCGTCTTGCACGAGACGGGATTCGAGAAAATCAGCCTCATCTGTCACTCACAGGGAACGACTCAGACGCTGGTGGCCTTAGCAAAAGAGCAACGACCTGACCTGGGCGAGAAACTGACCGTCTTCTGCGCTCTGGCCCCTGCGGCATATGCTGGGCCGCTCATTGGCAAGATGTACTTCAAGTTCATGCGCATCATCTCGCCCGGCATGTTCAGGCTCATGTTTGGGATCCACGCCTTCATCCCCTTGATGATGCAGATGCACGCGCTGCTGGATCCCCGGCTGTACGGATGGCTGGGCTACAAGGTCTTTTCGTTCCTCTTTGACTGGACCGACGAGAGATGGGACCGAGGCCTGCGCAACCGCATGTTTCAGTTTGCGCCCGTGTATGTAAGTGCCGAGTCGATGAGGTGGTGGCTCGGTCGTGAGTGTTTTGCCCACCACAAGTGTATCCTGGCGACGAGGGATGTCTTGAGAGAAGAAGAAAGCACGGATGAAAGCGGCAGCAACGAAGACGACTCAGAAACCAGTGACGAAAACCTCCAAACTGGAGAACAGATTCACAAGTCTAATCATCGGCACCACATCAAGGGCTCCACGGCATGGTACAATCACCAAGTGCCCCCATTTGCGCTGTGGGTTTGCGGCGACGATCATCTTGTAGACGGGAAGAGGCTTCTCAAGCGCTTCGAAGCAGGGCGCGAGCCGCATGTTAAAGTAGTGCACAGCAAAGTGATTCCCGAGTACCAGCACCTGGATGTGATCTGGGCCATGGATGCGCCAGACCAGGTATTTCGAGAAATCCGCGAGGTGCTGTGGAAGACGTGCGACGTCCGGGACTCTTGCAGAATCCCGGAAGGATGCGATACGGTGCCCAAGTGGGAACCAGCCGAGGTTGTGGCGATGGAGGCGAGCGAATAGGGGACTATGGATATATACGGTACGGAGTAGTTTTATTTTGTTTTCCTTTCCTAGGCCTATTTCTTGTTTGCTTGGATCCGAATGCGACCTAAAAGCTCGGAGTCTAGGGTGGCACCTGTAACGATAGATGTGGAGTTGTAGATGGAGTCGGCTCAAATACATGAGCATCTTTTTGCCATTGTCGGCAGATTGATTGCCAGGAAATGCAACAGAATTGAAGCTCCATAAAAGTCGGATGAATTACCGATTTCCCAGAAACTTGTGATTATTAATCTTTCTCACACTGCTGCCATCTGACGTGAAGCTATCGACACTTGATTCGCCAGCAGCCGCCAGAGCACAAGGTCAGATCCCTAAGCAAACTCTCCCCTTACTGCTGCTCCCCCGCATTCATTCTCTCCGCAAACGCCATCCAAAAGGGCTTGAACTCCATTTTCTGTCTTCAGTCTACGGTGACCCACACGCCCCGTTCGCGGCACCGAGGTTAAAGATCCATGGATTGCCCAGAGACTCCGCTTTTACCGCCCTTGAAGTCTCCGTCGTACCGAGAAGCCCCAGAGCGGTCCAGGGCCCATGTATGATGTGTGTGTGACTTTATGTGACTGTTCTGCAAATGTACTATTACGGCAGGGCGTTGCTGTGGGATTACCTGTACCCCCGAGTCAGAAAAGTCCCGGGGTTAGGCTCTATCTTGAGCCTGGCAAGCTCGGAGTTTTGCTGGCGGACAAAGACTGGAGTCCCGACGGGCATCAAAGCATCAGGGAACCGCATATTCGTAACAGATTGCCCAGGACACGGTAGCTCGGACTTGGGGCCGACGACGCGAAACCAACAAAGGTATGGTTCTGTGTGCTAGATGCCTTTCCTAGTGCCTAGGTTGAGCGTGGAGACGGAGGTTGATCGTACTAAAAGCAATGAGGTGACACTACCATTATCAAGCATGGACACGATGTTGTACCAGGGTCAGCCTCTGGCTTATCCCACCTCATAATACCCTCCGCGTGCCCATTTCTATTTCTCGAGACGATCTTGGATTTCCTAGTGTTGCCATTCTACATATACCCATAGCAGGCCGGCCCCAGTTTCCGTATTGTATCTTCACTCTTGTTCATCCTTGACTGCTTCTGTTGGGATAGAAAGCTTCGACTGGTATAGGATTGCCTCTCGAAACTTTGTGATTACCAATCTATAGAGACCTTCATACACACCTTACACACATACAACATAGCGAATTGACCGCGATCATGCCTATCGCGTCACTCCAAATCCCGGTCGAGATTCCTCCCGTCGACATCTGGTCATATTACCTAGAGCAGCCCAAACACTATCCCGGCGACAAACGTCAGTACACCATACACAATCATTTTCTCACTTTCTTTCTTGTCTCATTGTTGTCTCGAAAAACAATACTCATTTCATGACAAAAAGCGTCATAATGTCTCATGGCTAACTCTTTGTTCTAGCCCTCTTCGTCGACTGCGACACCGGCAGGTCTCACTCATTCAACGACATCAAGCGTCTCGCCCTCGAATTCGGCAAGGGCCTGCGCCATGTCTTCAATTGGCAAAGGGGCGACGTCATGGGCCTTTTCACGCCCAACAACATTGACGTCCCCGTCGTGAACTTTGCCATTCACTGGGCCGGCGGCATCGCCAGTCCTGCCAACCCGACGTACACGCCCGAGGACCTTGCTCAGCAGCTAAAGGACTCTGGCGCAAAGGCCCTTCTTACGCAGAAGATGTTCTTGCAGGCTGCCCGCAAGGCCGCGGCGCTTGCGGGGTTGCCTGAGGACCGGATTCTGCTGATGGGTGATGGTCGGGATGAGACCGGGGTGCATAGGCATTGGTCTGACATCACTGCCCAGGGCGCCAAGGTCCAGCCTCAGAAGGCCAATATTGATCCCAGGAAGGACCTCGCGTATCTCGTGTACAGCTCTGTGAGTGTGCCCATACCATGGATATCTTGCATATTGGCGACTAATAAGCCCAACTAGGGAACAACCGGTCTGCCCAAGGGTGTGATGCTCAGTCACCAGAACATTGTAGCTCAAGCGGTCCAGGGCGAGAAACAAGGCGACATCAAAGGCCTCTTATGGGAAGTAGACGCTCAGCTGGGCGTTCTTCCATTCTTCCACATCTATGTACGTTTGTCCCAGAGAGAAGAAAGCGAGCTGCCATATTCCAGACCATAAGCTAACATCGATGTCTTCATTCACCTAGGGCCTGGTCGTTGTCTTGGCTACCACCATCGCTACCGGCGTCAAATGTGTCGTCCTGCCCAAGTTCGACCTTGAAAAGGCCTGCAAGCTGATCCAAGACCATCACATCACCTTCATGTATGTGCCACCGCCCATTGTTCTCGCTCTGGGCAAGCACCCCGTCATCTCAAAGTACGATTTGTCATCACTGCGATGGATAAACTCGGCCGCTGCTCCATTGAGCAGAGAACTGGCAGTTTCGGTATGGGACCGGCTCAAGATTGGCGTGAAGCAGGGCTATGGACTGTCTGAGACATCCCCCGGTGTCATGATACAGCTGGCAGAAGAGTGGTGGAAGTATCAAGGCTCCGTTGGAAGGCTGTATCCGAATATGGAGGCCAAGATTGTGGACGAGGATGGCAAGGAACTGGGCTATGACAAGGTGAGAGGCAAACTGACGGAGATTTCCACTTATTGAAGTGTGTACTAACTACCATGGAAATCTAGTCCGGAGAACTTCTCCTCAAGGGGCCAAACGTCTTCTCAGGCTACTGGAAGAGGCCTGAACTCAACAAAGAAACCTTCACTGAGGATGGTTGGTATAGGACTGGAGACATCTTCTACTGCTGTCCCAAGGGCAACTTTTACATCACCGACCGCAAGAAGGAGCTCATCAAATACAGTAAGTCCAACGACACATATTCATCCCCTTATAAAAACCCATACCATTCGCACTCCATCCCTGCTCGTCTCTTGTATGTGACGCTGACTCGACTCCCACAACAGAGGGCTTCCAAGTCCCTCCCGCCGAACTCGAGGCCAAACTCATCGGCCGTGACGATATCGCTGACGTCTGCGTCATCGGTGTCTGGGACAAGGAGCAACACACCGAGATCCCGCGCGCCTATGTCGTGCTCAAGCCCGGTGTCGAGGAGACCGAGGCCAAGGCCACGGAAATCACCGAGTGGCTCAACGCAAAGGTCGCACCCTCCAAGAAGCTGCGCGGTGGCGTTCGCTTCATCAAAGAGGTCCCTAAATCTCAAGCAGGCAAGATTTTGCGGAGAGTGCTGAGAGACCAGGTCAAGAAAGAGGAGGAAGCGGAGGCAGCAGCACCAAAGTCGAAGTTGTAAGTAGAAGAGAACGGGCGTTTTGGGTTGGTGGTAAAGAAGGCGTGTAATTTTAGCCGTTGTTTAATTGTACAATTCGAGGTTGTGGATGACCTCGTCTAATGCCTATATAACAAATACAAATGAACGGGTCTGCTGCCGTTTCATCTATCCTAGTGCTCGTAAAGTCGTCTATTTTCCAAGACGCCAAATCATCCCAATCTTTCCGCCTCTTCTAGCAGCTTCTCGACGCTGAATCTCGGATCGCCTTTTGTAAACCACTCAAGCAGTTTCTTTCTTTCTTTGGCCCTCTCTTTTCTCTGTCCATCTAGTTCATCGCCCTTTTGCTCCCATCCGCCGTAGAATCGCTGCAAGCACATAACCAGCCATCTTGCGTGGTCTGGCTGTACGCCCCTCCCTTCCATGACCTGGCCCTGCATAAGAACCAGACCCTTGTCCTTAATCAGATCGAGGTGATGCGTCACTGTGGTATGTGGTTGCGCAAACTCCCCTCTGGTCTTATACTCGACCAGCTGGGTGAACAGAACAGTGCTGGTCTTGGATGCTGCATCAAAGGTCCATTGCAACAGGTGCATTTCTGCGCCCTGATCCTCGTGCGGCACCGGAAGGACAAAGAAGGGACTGCTGCGTGCCAGATCCTCCATCGCTTTGTATGTTGGCGCAGGGATGACGGCGCAGAGCGTCTGCGGAGACGATGCGTGGCGAAGGCGCCAGATGGCTGTGAGTTCCTTTTCGGGCAAGTCGGCGGCTTTTTCGAGATCGAGGATATCGCCAAGGGGTTTGATGGCGGGCTTTTCGCTTGAGGAAGCCTTTGAAGCGGGCTTGGAGGAAGAAGATGGCACAGGCCCGCGATTCGGCTGGGAGACTGGCGTGCCCTCGGTCTGCGGGATGGATGCCGAGGACAGATCCTCTATTGAAGGAACGTCTACGGCGTCATTCTTGCGCTGTTCTTGAATCTTGTCCGCATACGCTGCTTTGAGGTCTTCGATGCTTCCATGACCCTCCTGCGACGCCTTTTTGGTGAGTTTCTCGCGGTACTTCTCGAGGATCACTTGCGAAGGCTGCGTTGTGTGGAATCGGACGTCGACGACTTGCGCCCAGCGACGCTGCTGGGTTGTGCGAGCGGCGAAGCGCGCCGAACTGGTCGCCAGATGTCGCAGCGTCGGTATTCGAATCATGGCTACGACGAAGAGGTTGGTGAAGCTGGAATTGGCTGTTGCAAATGCCGGCCCAAAGCAAAGAAACTTGAAGCATCGAGCGCGGGATTCTTCCGTCATGACCAAAAAGTGGGGACCGAATCTCCCAGAAAAAAACACCCCACCATGGCCGATGTTCGTCCCGGCGGAATTGCGATTTTGTCTGCTCGTCAATGTTTACAAATACATCTTTGCCCTGCTCCTGAGCGGCCGAAAACACCTAGAACGGCGCTGTACAGAAGGGGAAACTCATCCAACAGCCTCAATTCACGCTCCTAGGGACGTAAGAAGCGGTGAACTCTTCGGGAGTGGGCGGTTGGTCATACAAAAGTTACCCCGCGATAGTGACTGGGATTGGACGCTCAGACTCACCGAGACTTGCACTGATAACGTTGCATTCGACTATTACGAGGGCATTCGCTGCGAGAGAGTTGATATAAAAGAGTATCTTTTGCCTTTTTTGGATCCTCCTGAATCACCTGGAAGTCGCCTGGATACCGGTTTAGCATTTACGCAAGCGCATAGAAGCCATGGCCGATTTTCGGCAGCTGGCACTCGACTTTGTCCTCGAGGAAGATGAAGCCAAACTGACAGAATTGGCCCAGAGAGCGGCCAAAGGTATGATCTATTTGAAGATTTGAGATGTGGGCTAGTCTAACATGAGATTTTCTATAGAGCTTGAGACAGGTCCGGCCAATTCCAACCCTGTTGCACGTTGGGTAGAGGCCGTTCAGCCATGGATGCCGGGTAACAACGAGACTGAAGATGCACAAGAAACTCCAGACTGGACATCAAGAGCAAAAGGTGAGAATATGGCTCTCATTCTATAGTCACCTTGATGCTGTGCTAACATAAATGTGGCTCAGCTTTGGAGTTTTTATCTCATACACTGGATTTTGTGAAACCGGATCTCCTGAAATTGAGCCAAGGTAAATCCATGGTTCTTACAAGCTGCCACAGGGTCAATTCGACTTACACTGTTTTCTAGTGAAGCTCTTGATTGCCTTCTTCGGCGCCATGCTCGACATTGATCACAAAGCCGGCATCCTAGCTTCGGCCTCGGCCTTGTCTCGGATTATCGCCATGAAGGCCTTTCAATCACAGAGTGGCTACGACATCATCGGTAAAGTGTGCGGTATGAAGGAAGACTTCCAAAGACAGACTATCAAGACTCGCCTGGCAGTGTATGAGTTGCTGAGAACACTCATCTCCACCCCTGAAGTTGCGAGCAATCTCCAGCAACGGGACGGACCTTCCTCTGCATTCATGACCAACCTGTTGGAGCTGTGCCGGAATGAGAGAGACCCGGATTGCTTGATTGTGTGGTTTGACATTCTGAGAATTTTTCTCCAACAATATGAGCCTACCCAAGAGGTCCTCGAGGCCGTCTTTGCTGCGTTCAAGGCATACTATCCCATCACCCTACCGCGCCTGTCGCAGAGCGGCCTTACTCCAGAGGACCTTAAATCTCAGCTTCGGAAATGCTTCTCATCAACATACCGCCTCGCATCCCTTGCACTACCATTCTTGATAGGTAAACTTGACCAAGGAGACGGTGTTACTGTCAACGTCAAGGTAAGCTGGTTCTGCTCCTTTCGTCTGTATTCAGTGAATCTCATTTATTCTAGGTCGATGTTTTGAAAACTATCAAAGAGTGTCTTGAAGAGTACACACACCCAGAAGAATCAATTATCCCATACGTTAGCCGGACTTGGGGCAGTCTCAAGTATGAAGTACGAAACGGGGAAATCGAAGATGCCATTTGGGCTACTCTCGAAGTGTTGAAAACGCTCGCAACAAAGCTCAAGGGCGACGATCTCCGCAACTACACGCTGGATGTGACGCGCGACTGCGTTAACGACCTGTCGAATCCCATGTACACTACTCCAGCTGGCCGTCTCATCGTCAGTGTCCTCAGCGCAAACCCGAGTGCATTCGTACTCATGGTGGCGCCAACAATCACGCACCTCAAGGACAACCTACGACACCGGAAATCAGTGACACATAGTCAAGATTTGCTGAAAATCCTTAACGTCATCTTGGAAACTCGACTTCTCCTGTCGCAGACGCAGATGACTGATGAACAAAAGAGCGATTTTGTGTCCATTGATGGCATCTTCAAGAATCTTTACCACGACGTTTACAAAAGCCCTGTCGCACTTGGAAGCAACGAAAACGCCAATGTGGATGATATTAAAATTGCAACGGAGGCAGTCCAGGGAGCGGGTGCGTTGGTCTCCCAAGGAACCGTGCCGCTCGGATTCGAGAAAGAAAGTGGGCTGCTTCTTCCTGAAGCAACGTGCTCTGAAGTCTGCCAAGCACTGTTCGCCATTGCATTAAATGGGTTTGGTGGCCATTCTTCAAACTCGACTTCAGATGATCTTCTGAACGAGACAGCAAAGGCTCTACACAGATCCGTCCAGGCCTACGCACCGGGCTTCCGACCTTTGGTTGATCAGTTTGTGTCAGTCGCTCAGAGCAGTCGTAATGACCAGAGTGACGAAGCTGCCGAGAAAATCCAAAAGATTGGCTCTCTGTTGGCTTATATCGGATGCTCTGAATTGCCCAAGTCTCTTATCGCTGGGAGAAATAACTTCTTGGCCCTGATTCATGTCATAACTACCGAGTTAATAGCGGCGATGAACGCAAAAGCTAGCCCAAAGATTTGGTGTGCGTTGGTTGTCGGTATTCAGACTGTCTCACGTTACTTCAATGACGCTTGCTTGAAGCATAACCCAGAGAAAGACCAGGCTTTTGATGGTTCCATGTGGCTGTATCGGGTCACTTACAAGTATCCGGAGCTAAGAGTCATTGCAGAAGAGGAAGATGATGGCTCTGCACCGAGTTACAACAGCGCAACACCGCCGAAAGGAACAACCGTTACTGAGCTTCGCAATGACTTTTTGCTCGTTGCCCTGGTGGTTGTTCGGAGCCTTTATCGCCGCGCAACCGCCGCTGTAGGTCTCATCTCGGGCACCAAGACTCCGGCTCTTCAGCTCAGCAGGGACTTTGATGGCTCTGATAAGACATCTGAATACCAGTACCTCCATCTCGTCTCTGATTTTGCTGGGTTCGTTGTTCGTGAGATGGGCGAGGCTCAGCAGGCTTCACTAAAAATCGATCACTACTTTTTGAATCTTTTCCAAGAAGAACTAATACCCGTCCCTGCTTCCGCTACAGAGGAACAGAGAAAGGCTCAGCTGGAGAACTACACAGATGAGCAAGGATCATCATGGGGTTGGTTGACAGAAAAGACAGTCAATACTCTTTCTTTCGGACTCCTAGAGGCTATGAGGCCCTCTATTGTTGCAAAACTCGTGAGTTGTTCCCTTATTCCTTTCCAATCTTTATAGCACTTCTAACTGTCCGAATAGTTTGACTCTGGAGTTGCGCAAGAACTTTTAATCAGTGGCCCTTTGAGTGCCTCTCTCACCCAAAACTCTGTCACCAGACCTGTAACCAGATCCATCCTGACCATTCTGGCGAACAAGTACAAGGTCGAAAGCCTCGGATATCTGATGTCCAAGTTGGAAGGCCGATTAGAAGCCTCCTTGAAAAATGCCCAAAACGCTTCTGACAGTGATGATGCTTCGCGCTACCTAGAACAAGTATCTTCCATCTACGCAATTGTCAGTGGGCTGATCCGTCGCCCAGGCGGCACGCAAGCTCGAGCCCTGATCCAGCGGTTACGCGATGTCCCTGGAAACGAAACTACTGGCCATCTCCTGGCTCGAAGACTCGAGATGATTGTTGCACCGCAAAAGTTCTTGGCAAAGGAGAACTTTGCCGTTGTGAAGCCCCTTTGGACACAGAAGATTTACTTTGAGTTAGTCAAGCCCATGCTTGACATTGCAACAAGTCAAGACGCCGAAGCTGGAAGTCAGCTTGTCAAGACCAATTATAGAATTGGCGTTTTGTCAATGGTGAAGCACATGCCATTTTCCATTTGGGAAGACGATTGTGTCGAGATTCTACGCGTATCAATGGCACTCTCGCAAAGCTTGGGCCCCGGCCCAGATACCCTGCCCGCACTCGAGATTCTCAAGAAGATCCTAGCAGAGTCACCAGACAAGGCCCAAGAATACGCCAAGAGCCTGATCAACATCGCACTGCCTTGCTTCTCACTCAAGGCCGCAGCACAGCTGACGCGGCCAGACTGGCTGCCCTCGGGCTACGTCCCTGCAAAGATGCGTCCCGAGGTCGAGGCCGAATGCGGAAAGCTGGCCCTGGAAGTTGTCGGTGCGCTGCCGAGGTTGTTCGAGTCGAAACACGTCGTGCCGTTCGTTCCACAGGTGCGGAGAGAGCTTTCTCTGGCATGCGGGCACCCGGTTCGGGATCTGCGGAGACTGGCGAGAATGGCCCGGGCCGCGTGGACGGAAATCAAATAAGGTAGGAATGAAAGTGGGACAAAGAACTTTAGAGCATTTATAGAAATTTCAAGGAGAATCTGGAGGAAGATGTTGGGCGTTAGATCGGGCTGAAAATGGATAGAATTTGTGTGCTTTGTTGTAATGACACTAAATTGTTCCAGCCATGAACTACACAATATGGTAGCATAGCATAGGTCTTCAATATTACAGGGCTGCTATTACATATTACCTCTTCTACAAGACTGTTGTCATTATCAAGACTTGTATCACTTTGTAATCATCATAATGGATGTGCTCGGAAGTATCAACAAGTTTTCTGCATGATAACAAAGCAGCAATAGCTCTTGATAAGGAGTCGCAGCCCTCACAACAATGGATTAGGGGCAAAACAAAAAAAGAGAACAAAAATCATAACCAAAGTTATATGTGCGTCGTTTAGTCATTCATCAGTTTAAATCTTGCCACCCTCGCTCTATCCTTATGGTGTATCAATCTTCACATCATCCAGGCCCCGCGAAATGATTTCTCCAGCCAGCTCAATCTCAAGCTCAATATCCGGCTGAGCCTCCTCATACAACCAATGCTTCTCACCCGCCATCTTGTAATTATTCATCGCCAACTCATGCGGAATAATACTCTTCTTCAAGCTCGGATTACCCGCACACGCAGCCTCAACCTTGAGCTGGATCTCACAGCTGCGCTCCACCAAGCCCAGCAAAAACGCAGCCTCATCAACAGTCTGTCCAACAGTGATGATGCCGTGGTTAATAAGCAAGGCAGCTTTCCCCTTGGGACCAAGCGCCTTTGCAATCTGTCTGCCCTCCTGCTCGGCCGTCACGATGCCGGCATACTCGGTGTCCACGGCGAGAACCCCGTAGAGATCACACACGTCTTGGGTGATCATGTCAAGAGGCTTGCCAAAGGCGCACCAGGCACGCCCGGCGATGGTGTGAGCGTGGCAGATGGCGTGGATGTTGTGGCGCGCCTTGTGGACTTCGGAGTGAATGTAGTAGCCCGGGTTATTCACAGGGTGAGTCTACAACAACAAAAGTCAGCTTTGTGCCCCCTCAAGCGATTGATACAAACTAGATTGGGAGATTTATCATACCCGGTTACCGCCGACAATCTCACCATCGCTGATCCTCAAGCAGACCATGTCACTGCCGTTGAGGAGGGCAAAGTGCTTGCCGATGGGGTTCATCCAGATCAGGTCCGGGAACTCGGGGTCACGGACGGAGATGTGGCCGGAGATGCCCTCGGTGTAGCCGTGGCGAGCCCAGTTGCGGAAGACGGCGGCCATGTGCAGGACAATGTGCTTGCGGTGCTCGTGAAAGGAGGGGAAAGTTGGGATGCCTGATGGAGCGGGTGGTTAGCTTAAGGTCTTGGATGAGGCATTGCAGAGTGGGAGGATTCTCATCGAGATGGATTGGATATGAATGGATAGGTAGTGGCCATCAAGTGGGATGTGAGAGTAATGGGTATGAATGTTTATGAATGTGAGAATGATGAACGGGGATGGTTGTACCTCGCAGGGGATTGGGGCCGCGGCTGAGGCTGTCCAGCTGGGATTCCAACTCCTCCTCTTCGACAGCAGGAGCAACGTTCATCTTGATGATGGACTGCTGGTGGGTGTGTTCCTCCTCGGTGGCGGTGGCAGTGGGTGGTGCCATTGTGATGAGTGTAGTGAGTGATGCTTTATAGTTTATATCTAAGATAAGAGGCTAGATATTGTTCCTGTGCTACAGACAGTATCGAGAGTATAGAGAAGAAGTATTAGATCCGGCTCAATGCCCGGCGGCCATCTCACGGGTGTTTATACTCTCTGGCACTCTCAGACAACCCGCTGCAAGGGGTGGAGAGGCTTCCGATGACGGCCAATGGCAAACCTCATGTTTGGTCTGATGTGAAGCCTGACGTAAGTTGGGTTGGCCGAACGCTGTAGTCAGCCGTTAGTTCGTCGTGGATTTCCTATTCCAGGCCTGTGAGTTGCTCGCTGGTGCTTCTCATACTTGCATGTCTGCGTCGGTTGTTGGGCGCTTGCATGCAGTTAAGCGGCCGCTATATGGCTATATGCAGTGTTACCCCACTTGTCGGGCCGACATGCATGTATGCGGTACGGATAGCTTCGATTGTCTCTATTCTAGTCGGTCCATGGATTGGATTATTGGCTTTGGGTATCCACGGCTTTGGAAGACGAGGGGTAGTTTGTGATTTTATATTGACGCTTAAATGGTCCGGGGAAGGCGTCGAAATGTTGTTTCATAACTCGGAGGGCGTTCTAATCATGATCGGTCCGTGTCTAAAGGATTACCTTGAAGTATTACTAGATGATATGATATTAGGACTAAGGATAGCTGCGATGGAATATATGCATTTCCCCCACGCTCAATGTTATATCCGAAAGGCAATCGATACTTGTATCGAATTCGTCGCGCCCTCTGAAGACATTGTCACGGCGACGCTTGATTATTCAGGCGATGAAAATGTCTCTATTAAACGGCCATCGCTTCCAGGGTACTAGCAGCGAATTAATGTAAGCAGCCGGCCAGTCTGCATGAAGCCACCGCCGTAACACGAGCACAAGCACAGCATGAAGCACAAATGTAAGCGTCAACCCGCAACAGAACCAACCACACAGCCAAAATGCCAACTGCATTGCTCCACGGATCGCAATTGATGAATGGAATAAAGATGAAATTGTCGTAGAATACACCTACTTGATGTTTATATAGTTGAAAATGTCCATTTCTCTTCGTTGACACTCATTTTCCCCTCATCCCAATTCGGCCACTTACACGCCCCATAACTGGTGCTACGCCTCACCTCACCTCATCTCTATGACATTTGATGACATCCACGACAGCCACTCTCTTATCCTCATCCTCAGTCCCTCTCAAACACCAAGCATCCATATTCACATTCACACCCACATTCACATACCACCAAAATGGTCAACCGAGAAGAAGCCCTCAAGCTCTGCGTCAGCCTCGCCCGTGAATCCCTCGAAGCAGGCGACTCCCCCTTCGGCTCCGTCCTAGTCGACGCAGACGGCAACATCCTCCACAAGGACCGCAACCGCATCGTCACAGGCGAAGCAGGAAACTTCCAGGCCGACGCGACGCTGCACCCGGAACTGACGCTGGCCCGGTGGGCGCAGCTCAACCTCACGCCCGAGGCCCGCGCCTCCGCCGTCGTCTACACGTCCGGCGAGCACTGCGCCATGTGTGCGGCTGCCCACGCGTATGTCGGGCTGGGCCGGATCGTGTATGTTACTTCCACGGCGCAGTATCAGAGCTGGATGGAAGAGGCTGGAGTCGAAAAGGGCCCTGTGGCGGCGCTTCCGATTAATGCTGTTGCGCCGCACATTCAGGTTGAAGGACCGGTTCCGGGGTTAGACTTGGAGGTTAAGGCGCTGCATCAACAGAGATGGCAGAAGCGATAGCTGAGGGTGGAGGCATCTGTTCGGTGGACTTGAGAGGAGAATCTGTTGAATGTATCCATGACTTCCGGGAGAAATGTTGTGGCTGGGTCATAAATGAGTCTTAATCAAGTTTTGATACGAACAGCCCGACTTTGTTTCTCAAATCTGTGTATCCGTCGCGCTCTGTTCCAAGGATATTGCTCTATTTTAATGACAAACGGCCAACTGCAGGCATCCGATGTCCATGCTTTGGGAAACGCCGTTTGGTCTTCATCACTGTTTACGGGAGCATTGTCTAAGAAGTCTAGAGTGGGACTTTGAGGCCTGAGAGAGCATTCCTACCCGAGTTTGCATGTGGATGGCATCTTACATGAACTTGCATTATACCTACCTCCCTAGGAGCGTTCATGTACGCACATCTTATTAATACATGGGACGCGGACATGTATGTGAACTGGAGACTGGTGTATTTGTGCTTCTTTGTTTGAACATGGCAGCATCCGTCACCGCACAGGGCAGCATCCCCATGTACGTTAATATGGATTACCTTTGTTCGTATTTCTGGCCAGCATCACAGCCGCGTTCGAGTAACACAACACGTTCAAACGGAACTGGGCGTATATAAGGAGTCTGTGTAACATGAGTGCCTGGCATGTCTTTTAATGCCTCTGATGAAGAAGAAACTCATTCGAACCGTTCTCAGAGGCGATCCATAATAGCAGAAGTAATAGCAGTCTTCATACTTGTACTAACTCGAAGAAGCCCGGATGTTGGTGAATGGCAACGAACATTCACCCCTTTCCTGCTCCCGTTTCCCGCTTCTAATTCTGTTTCCTCATCTTAGGCCACGTCTCAATCTCTGATCGCCGCCTTAACGCAACCAGTAAAGCAGTGACTGCCTCACGGATAAGAACAGGAAAAGTTGACCAACGCCGGAAATCCTGTTAACGGCTGTTCGCAGTAACAATGAAGAAGAACAGATGTATTTATACCATGTAATTTTGACATGAAACACCCGATAAACTGCCTCATTGTACCGTGTTCTAGAAGGCTGCCGTATCTGGGACGTTTCAGTACAATCTCGCGCTAAGGAAATGGATCGTTGTATGATAGGAGATGGAAATAGACTAGATGCTTGTATAAAGCTGGGGTTTGAGGAGTATTTCACCTTGTGAGCTTCAAACTGGCCGGTAGCTCTCCCATTGTTGCCCGTTGGCAGACAGTATGCAAACGCTTTGGCAGACAAATCTGAAGCATCGGATACATGTATCTCCCCCCACGAGCTTCCGTGAGCCAGGTGGATGTCTGGAGGCAGAAACAGAAGAATTATTGATGCATTCCATATCCATCTTGGTTTTCTGGGCTCATATCTTGGATTTGCCGTCCGCCTCTTGTTTCAACATAGTTTTAGCAACACGGGAGGAACGGGTACTGGCAACTGTAGTGACTGACGCGGCATCGTGAACATTGGTCGTCTGGGTTGCGCCATGGCTCTTCAGATGTATATAGGAAGATGCCCTTTAACCCGAGCGAAGCATCTTGTTCATCCCGTGATTGTCAAAATATTGTAACGTTTAGTGCTTTCCCATTCTGCTGACGACTGCGAAGAGGGCGGGGGAAAAAACCGATGACAAGATGCAGGAAATGACCGAAGAGCCCATCAAATGCCCATTCCCATGTTGGCGGAAGCCCGTTGCCAGCATCCTCCCTACGGTTACCACGCCCGTCTCGTCTGAGCAAAGCGCTACCATAGCCACGCCCGAACAGGACATTATTCCAACGGCAATCGAATCGCCAGAAGAAGATGCTGCTCCAGCCACGGCCGCCACGTCTGATGACAAAGTTGATGCATCGGCCACCCGGAAGAAGTTCCGGAGAAGGCTATTAGAGAATTTCCGGCTCCCAGGACTAAGAGACACACCCACGTCTACTCCGTCTACCGAAGAAGTTGGCGCAGGGCTGACCCTGGATGAGCTCTGGAAGAAGCTATTGAAGAATGGCCTTAAAAAAGAGAAATCAGGACGCCTTTCCGATCTTTTAAAGTATAAATCTTGCAAGGATGATATTCTTAAACTGTACAAGGCGTACGAAGAAAGAGCGGACACCAAGTTTCTGACAGCCATGAAGCCCGTTGTGGAGGGCCTGCTTGCCTTCAGTCCAGGGATCACCTCCTTGGCCAAGGCTAACAAATTGTTACCCTTGGTATGGGGAAGCATCCAGATCTTCCTAGAGGTGAGCGTTGTCCTTATCGCTCTCACATGAGTAACTGCCATTTTCGCTGACTTTTTTGAAGAGCGCAAAAAGTATCTACAGTGTCTCCTCCAGCATTCAAGCTTTGCTTGATAGCCTTGAAACAATGCTACCGCGGTTAAAAGAATACGTCAACCTATACCCTGACAACGAGCGTCTGCGCAAAATATCTTGCGATGTTTATGTAGTTTACGTGGACGCATGTATACAGACGGCCCTCTATCTTGAAAGGCGAGCTTGCAGTGAGTAGACCCGTAACGCACCGACCAGCCTTTGCTTTGCTAACCAGTCTGAAAGAGAATCTCCTCCGGGAGTTGTGTCTTGCCTGCCGCGACGGTCGACGCTTTGCTGATGCAATTGACAAATTGGAAAAGCACGAAAGGGCTTTTCACCATGAGGCGGACCTGGCTTCTGCCAGGCATGTGAAGGACATCCACACGGCCGTGAGCGAAAGAGCGCCTGATTTGATGGCACCAGCCAATTCACAGAGCAGCATTCGTGAGCAGCATACATAGTGGATGTGACTTTGTATCGTGACAGGCGCCGGATGGAGAGGACTTGTAAGGAGGCGGAAGGGGAGGAGCATGTTGCTCGGCACACAATCTGGTTCTTCTGGTCATTTGGGTTCAATCTTGTGCTTCTTCGTGTGAGCGACGAGGTTGTTGGGTTTCCGTGCTATTTTTGGTTTCTTTTGGTTCGTGCTATTTTTGACTTGACTTGACCTGGTTTTGTATTCAAGTTGTTTTGTTTGTTTTTGGTTTATTTTTGGTTTGTTCCGGATTGGACATCACACTTGGTTCTTTCTTGTTCTAGACTGGGCATTGTCAGGCCTTCTTTCTTCTTTCTAGACCGGGTGTTGCTGCGGGGTGGTTGAGCGGATCTATTGCTTATAGACTCTCTACTCTTTCTTTGTTCTTCACCTCAAATTAGAACAGAACAATGCAAGTCTTTTCTTCTCGACTTCCACTTTCCTTGCCACGTTGTGGCAAAGCCAAACAATTGAACCAAGTGAAACACCAAAGACGGGATGGTGTCTTGCAAGCATTGGAGTTTCGAGACGGCATCTCGACGGCGCAAAAGACAAAAAAAGGGGGGACTGCAAAGATGAGCTGGGGACGCATGTGCCACTGCGGTTCCTTTGCAGGCCGTTCAGATTTACAACACTCTTGAGCCAATGGACTGGACAAGCTGCGATATTCATTTGAAAGGCGTTTGTTCACATCATGTCGAATCGCATCACACATACCTAGGTATAAATATTGCCTCGAATTTCCAGTTGCATTGGCTCATCAAAATCACCAATATGCCCATTAGCGGCCTTTCTACTTCGCAACACTTGGAGACAAGATTCAAGACACAATGCAAGTCGACCCTTTCCTTATTTTGCCCACCCCCTCTGTGAGTGATTATGATGTTGACCCAGGAACCAATAGGGCAGAAACCATCGCCGGGTCCCCGGGTGAAATAGTCCAACGTCTCGACAAGGCCCGCGATGCGATTGCCGAAATATTAAAGGAGAATCACATCGTTGGCCTAGCCAGTCACGTCATATTCAAGGGCGAAATCATATGGACGGCAAACATGGGTTACCGCGACATGGACCAAAAAAAGCCCGTGGATTCAGACACCATTTTCCCCATCGGCGCTCTGAGCCAAGGCTTCACGGCAGCTTGCGTGGCTCAGCAGGTGTACAGAAAGGGGTTGAGCTATGACAACAAGATTTCAGACTTTCTTCCCCAAGTAAACAACAGTGATGCGACAGTCGGCGATCTTCTCGGCCATCGCACAGGACTTCAAACGTCTGATCACTGGCCACACATATTCGACGTTGGCGACTTCCCCTGCAAGGTAAACGACAGGACGATTATTCCGACATACAATAACCTTGGGCCTCGGGCGACTCTGAGATCTCAATTCCTACACAATGGTATCGGTTACGCCCTTCTTGGGAAGATTGTCAGTCCAAAGTATGCAGACTACCTCAAAGAGAATGTCCTGAAGCCTCTCCAGATGTCCCGTACTCGAGTGGCCCTGGATGAAACATCTGACATAGAACATAACACGTCTCGGAGATACAGCGTTGGAGTCAATGGCCGACTGTTCGTACATGCCCGAAATTGCGGCAGTTCTGCCTATGAGCACAACTTGATGCCATCAGTGGCCGTTGGAAGTATGATGAGCACCACAAATGATTTGGCCAAGTACTGCATCGCCCTCAATCGGGCATGGAAACGTCAACGTCACACAAAGGATGTGGAAATCCAGACTCTCAGACGCAAGCAAGTATTTCCAGATGTAGACTTGCTGTTCAATCCGCTCCAAGCTATAGGAACGGGTGAAAAAGCAAATAAGAGTCACGCTGCTGGCTGGGCGACCTGCACGCTACCCGCTGTCATTGGAGATATTGGAGCCAACCCGGAGCTGATGAAGACGCAAATGCCCGAGCTCGGAACGGGCATCGCCCCGGTCACGTTGATTTGGAACCAGAGCAGATATCACGGCACCCACGGCTTTGTCGGCCTGCTGCCGGGATACGAAGCCGCGGTGATAGTGCTGAGCAACACGACGACGGGCGACGACACGCCCGACTGGATCGGGCAGCTCCTGATCCAGGCGACTCTGGGCAACCCGTACAAGAACAACTATGCTTTCCTCGCTGGAATAAGCGCACGCAACGCGCGCCAAGAGTATTCTGAGCTCGCTGAAAAATTACAACAAGGCCGACAAACCAAAGGACCCACGAGGCCTCTGAGCGACTATTGTGGAGAATATGAGAGCGCTGTTTCAGGTGAGAGCATCACTATCCGGAAGCAGTCATTTTTCTCGAGGCACCTGGGCAAAGAACAGAGAGATGAGGACGAAAGGGGGCAAAGACGAATAAAGAGCCCCCTCGTAATGACTATTTGGGGTGCCAGCCTCGGAGGTATTCCACTACATCATCATCATGGAGATGTCTTTACATGGTTCCTGTCGTGGAATCAAATGGCCGAACAACAATTTCCCCTCGTCCACGATGCACAGTTTTACACGATCCAGTTCCAGCCAAACAAGAGCGGCACACTCATTGAGTCTCTGATTTGGGTCAACGATTCGGCGAAACCTGAGGGAGAAGTCTTTGCGCGCATTTGACCGCCAATAGAAGAGTTTTAGAGTAGTTTTGTAGTTTAGATGGTAGTGATGACAATATTGATGCTTAACCCCCCTTGGCTCGTGGAAATGTCTGAGAGGTGACGATTCGTTTGAAGTGTATGCTCCAGTGACTATAACTAACTGGGCAATAATTCATTGCCATTATCACCTTGCCAAAGCCAACGAGAGGGGAACAGGAAGCCCGTGTTGCTAATCTATTCAACATGGAAGGAGTTTCCAGTTCATTTCGATATTCAGCTGGAAATGGTCATTCACCAGTTTCCTAAAATTATCACAGTCTTGGCATATCATGTTGCTGCTCAGTATGACGGCACTCTTTAACGAGATGGGGGGCTCATTCTCGCTCAGTTCCATCAGATCCGAATGTGCCTTTTCTTTCTTCGACAACTTGCTTTCCTTCTTCTGTTGAGTTCTCATTGTAGCCACGAAAGTGTCCGACTCAAGTCTTGACAGTTCTTCGTCGATTGTGTGAATCTTATGTTTCAGCCTATCGACCTCTTGCTCATCATAAGAGTCACCAAGCAATCGATCATCTGCACTGAAGAGCTGGCGGTCCAAGTCAATTTTCTTCTCTTCCAGATCACACACCCTGGCCCAGGCAATGGACAATTGTTTTCCCTCTTGCAAGGAAGTTTCCACTTCAAGGATTGAGTCTTCCAACGTCTGGTCAGGTTGTCTGTCTTTAGGCAAGAATACGTGCTTGTCTAAGAAGTAGGCGATGAGCTTTTTCTCTGAATGGCAAGCATAATACTGGCCTGGTTTGCCCTGATCCCAGCTTAGATATTGCGGTTCTTCGAACCTATGGCCGATTATAGATGCGATGTAATAGACCTGCTCGGTCCAGGATGGCATATCCTTATCGTTTGGGGGTAGAGAACCAACACCCCATCCACTAGTTGCCGATATTCGAGCAAACTGATCTCCCCGGTCGAGAACGGCAGCAGTTTTCTTGATCTGCGGGACGGGGTAGCGTTCAATGGGACCATGAAGAGTTATTACCATCTCTAACTCAGATTTCCTGAAGAAATAGTTGTTCCTCTCACTCTCTGAAAGTGGCCTAGTGTATGCATGACGCTTCTCACCGTTCGAGTCGCCAAGTAAGATAGCGATATGTCGCCTATCGCTGTTACGTTCGGGGACGTTATCTGCAGCCGCACGGCTAGAGCGACTATATCTCTCTTTTTCATTTCGGCCAGTTGGCTGTGCTAAATCCATCGCACTGCGACCGTGACGGTCCTTGGCGGATTTGGAGGCATTGGACTCGAGCAAAGCTTTCACACTCCTCAGGCGACCCCAAAGGGCGGCCTCCATGAGCGCACTTCGTCCGTTATTATTGGTAGCGTCGACATCCGCACCTTTCTGTAAAAGGAGCGACACCATCTCGTCGCTCTTTTCTGCTGCAGCCATAATCAAGGTTGTGTTTCCAGTCTCGTCTTTTCCGTGCAGAAAAAGTTTCGCCTCCGTAGAAGTCTCCAGGTACTGGCTTACTGCACCCAATTTGCCGAATATACAGTCTGAAACAGCGAACCGAATTTTCTTTTCCTCAAAGGTGTCGCCATTTGGAAGAGTAAAAGTAATAACTTCTCTCGCATCATCGTAGAGATCCAAAATTGGCGCCGACTTTGGTTCTGTACCAGAAATTCTCATTGCAGAGCGAAAAGAATCCGCCAGCTCGCACTCATCACTCTCTGAAGAATATGGGTTGCCATCAGTGTGAGCTGCTTGCAAGCTGGGATTCACAAAACAGGCTCTTCTCTTGTCAATTTCATAGCCGACAAGTCCACTTTTCTCATCGATGGGGAATATGAACTCATATTGGCCACCGGGGGCGCAGTGCGAAACGCGCTTTCCCGGATTCGCGACTCCATGTCGATGCAATTCATCGCAGTAGGGGCATTTAACGGTAACCTGGGATGAATCCCAGCGAATTACATTAATTTTTGGACATGGGGATAGATTGGTAGACATACTGTCACATGCTGTCCTTGAATAGAAATGGAATGGAATAGTTCTTGATAAAAAAAGGAAAGAGCACCTGCAACTATTTTGATACACAAAAGCCGTTTCCCTCCCCGCACTTTTGACGTTGGCCGAAGTCATTGAGACAGGTGTGCCTGGTCACATGCTGTCGACGCCTCTTTTGGAAACATGCTGCATTCCAGCACTGGCTGAACACAGTAGGACTTGGATTGGATCCGAAGGGGGATTGTTGGGCAGAGGCCAGGACTTGGGTCGGGCATAACTATGGAGCACATATAGCAGATGGAATCCCCGATTACCTGGTGCTATTTCGTACATGTACTCAGCGTATGTGTACTCGGCAAACCGTCAGCAGTCAGTGTAATGGGACCTTTTGAAATCCTTCTTCGTGGTCAAAGTACTCGACATAGATTGTAGCACACTACCCATGAGTTATACCTATACCATTGCTTCCACTTTGAAATCTTATTACTACCTAATGATGCCCGGTTCATTGAACATCTGCTACTCTCACTGTCTTCAACGAGTACTAGGTATGTACCACAAGGTTTGTACCGTCTGCAGGCAAGCAGCTTGGCCAAAAGTTTAAGCGCATCTGGGCCGCTCACGAGACGCCACGCGGACCAGGAACGCGAGGGGGGCCAAAGGGGGAGGGATTCTGCTGTGGTTGGCTGGACGTTGATGCATAGCTGACCTCCGTGGTAAGCCCAAGTGGTTCCAAGATGAACATGTTGCCTTTGGGTATTGGTACACGTGCGCCAATGGGCGGCGTTGAAGATTGATGTCCATGTTTATCTATTTTACACGAAGTGCTTGTGTTGCCGAGCACCGACAGGGTTCTGCCTGATTTAGTATGGATGTACGGAGTACGGAGTACGGAGCTCTTCGCATGCACGAGTATATTGAAATGCGGGGAGGAGAGACAAGAGTCAAAACATGCATTGTCACATGTCAAGATGGATGGATGCTCGAGTCGCCGCGTTCCGTGTCCCGTGGCTCCGTCTAGATTTGAGTTTCATGAAATGCGGCACGGCCAGCTTCTGACTCGCCTCTTGGTTCCTGGCCCGAAACACGCCTTATCCCTTAGGCTGGGCGATGAAGCGAGGAAGAAAAGAAAATGCCATGGCGAAAGACGAGAGGGCCAATGGGAGGAGAGGGAATGTCACCCCGGGCGGCAACTTAAACTTCTCCCCCTCTCGTATCTCGTACATATACCAGTCTTTGTATGTATTAGTAGGTATATACGAGTATTAGTAGTACTCGTAGTAGTAGTAAGGGTGTAACAGAAGGGAGGGGGGATGAGGAAGCGTGGTGATTTGACGATGCTGGGGAAAATGGGGTGGGATAGAGTTGTGCCGGGGGTCGCTTATGCGGTTGCTTTTGAGTGTGCGGAGAAATTGCAGCCCAGCTGACTGATTTACTTTTTACTTTTTACCTTTTTTATATTATTTTTGTCTGCTTTGGCGTCTACCGTATTGGTCTCGTTTTTCAATAGGTTGAGTTTTAATTCCGCGTGCATGAGCAACATGAGGTACAACTTTGGCACAGTATTTGCTGCTTAGCATGGGTCCTATACCCAAGTACCAGAGCCGACTCGTTCTCTATCCCCCCTGGTTCAAGAGCCCCAGCTGTAATAAATGAAACAGCTTGATAATTCAAAAAGTGACAAACGAATCCGCCCCCTTTGTCTCTACAATATTGGCGTATCCCTTGAAGAAGGGGTTCCGTTAAATAGACCCGTGATGAGCAGCGAAAACGGACATTTGCAGCTTTTGACATGCGGAGCAAGCGCCTGAAGAGCTGCCCTAAAAAGGGGCTCCATCGCACAGTGTGGAAAATCCGGGGCTACAAAGCACTGGCAGTACCGGATACTGCGGTTAGTACTGGGTAAGGGATCTGCGCTGTCGGTGATGGTCCCGTGCGTGCCATCTTTTGCAGGTGAGGAGGCCGACGATCTGTATGACATGCAGTTATTATGCATTGGAACTAGGCATGTGAGTTGTTCATATAGTTTGAATAACCTGAGAGTTGTGGCGCTTTTCTTCAACGGTCCGTTCAGTTGATGGTGACTAGCGCTGAGCTATTGCTACACCATTGTGCAATGAGGGATGGATGAAGGGCACGGGCCGGGGTAAGTCACGGAGTCGTCAATGCCATTGAAGTATCAAATCAAGTCAGTTGGGCTACGGGCGCTGAAACCCGGGCTCTTGGTTCGGAAACCATCTTGGCCGTCGGAAATGGGCTGAAGCTGAGAGTTGCCGCTGTCAAAAGAGGCTGAATGCATCTTGTGCGAGGCGGCTCCATGTACATCATCTGTGCTGCTGCGTGTTGCCTCTTTTGTGTCTGGTGCATGTATAACATTAGCCGCCGGCTAGTTATATAGACATATGTAGATCCTTGAGTATTGATGGACGATCTATTCAAGCTCTCGGTGCTTAATCACAACGACAATGAGTGCGTATTATAAATATATACGAGTATGCAATTCTCAATGAAGATCCAGGCTGATTATGTTGAATCTACGCATACCGCCTTCTACAAGTTACGCGTGCAGAATTCACACTGTCCAGACAGGGTGTCTTTGAAAGGGGGCCAATATTGCCCGCCTAGGCCTAGTCATGTGCAGCTTTTGGGCCTGTTCGGGTATTTTTGTTGAGGGGCGCGCTGCATGCATAAGAGCCAAAGAGCATTCGACGAATGCGCTGCGTTCCTTTTGCCTGTGTTGTGTGTATAAAGACGAGAGAGAAGAGTGTGTACAGTACATACAGTCGAGGGCAAGATTGGGCCGAGACGAGTTTCATTCGCAGCCATTGAAACACACCGGACGCCATTTAAAGCAGCCCGACGCCCCTCCCATCCTTCTCGTGATTGCTATTGACGATATTTCTCTCTGCATTCGACTCTCTCATTCTCTCACTCTCTCCTTTGCATCGGTTCGGTCGGGTTCTGCCGAAACGGCCATCTCCGCTTGTCCCCAGCAAAACAGCTGCAATCCATCTGCAGCAACCCGGAATCTAGCCGCCCCCCTGGTTTGCAGGCTGTGTATGTCAGGTACCTTTTGAGCTGTAGTGCAAACGCACAGCCAACAGCAACAAGAAGCAACATCCTTTGATCACCGGCACAAAAGAAGAGGTATGTAAATCAAGAGAAAAAAGAAGAAGAAAGAGAGTGAACAGAAAGAAAAGACAAGACATGAACAAGTCCCACATTCCCCATTTCTCCGTCTTCGTCCTTCGTCTTCGTTCTTTTTTTGGTGGCCCGATCCACCCTCTCTGTTGGGGCCCTGACACATGATGCATAAAGCAAAAACTTACCACCCGAGCATCATGGCAGGGCCACTTTTGCCATGTGATAATGCAACACAACGCTGACTCTTGTTTCTTGTTTTTTGTTTTGACTCGCAGCATCCCGAACTACATCATTCCATCTCCTTTTTCCTTCGCCCTCAGTCGTCAGCGGATCCACCGGCCCCGAAGCTTAATCAGACCATCAATTCGCTTTCGGAAGCTCAAGATCCCAGCCTTAGCGGTGGAGCTGCCACGCCGTCATCGCAAGCATTGCAAGCATTATCCAAGGCATCCTTTTACGTTTTAAAACACGGGCTTTCGTCTCCCCTGCAGCTCGGAACTCTTGACTTGCGCACGCGTCATACCGGCATTGAAACACTCGCTCTACTCCAAGACATTGTCGACATCGGTTGATATTTCAGCGGGAAAACACACACACACAAAGAAAAAAAAAAAGAAGAGACGCAGCGCAAACATGAACGATAATACAGCAGCAGACGGTCCTCCCTTGTTCCGCCCCATTCCTCGCCGGCCCTTCGTCTTCGACCTCAAGTGTTCCACGCCTCAGCCTCAGAGCCTCACGCCTCCCAAGGACGACGAAAGCGACAGCGAAGAGCAGCGCCTCGAAGACGAGATCCTCCTCGCCCGCTTCCGCCGCGACCTGCTCAAGTCTGGCTTCCTCGGTTCACGGCCGTCCGACGACTCTCCGCCCGACTCTCCCACGCTGCTCACACAGTCGCGATCCACCGCAGACCTCAATACCTCGACGCTGGCGGGCATTTACGACTGTTCAGACCAGGACGAGGTCTTCAATGGCGCAGGCGACGATGACGAGGAACTGCACAACCCCTGGGGGACAGGCGCCGGATCGCCGGTGAAGCGGCGTGATAGCCTCAGCCGCGCTACATACGAGCTCATGCGCGATCGGTCGAGACGCCAATCACACGCCAGCACCGAGACAAACCGTCCGAAACAGCCCACAACCCCCGGATCCAGGGCGCTATGGCTGGCTTCACGAGCTCTAGTACTGTTCGTGCTGGGAGCTGGCTACGGTGTGCTCGTCACCCACTTGCACCAAGAGCAGGGTCTGCTTCAGCTATCCGACGCCGGCAGCGGGATGCCACGATACAACGGATCATACACTGCCATGTGGGGGTTTGCGCTCGCCGGCGTTGGCATGGGCGCGCTGCAGCCGTGGGTTGACGGCGAGTGGGACGGCATGTTTGGCTGCGACAGTGGCGAGACAGAAGTCGATTCGGTCGAGTCTACATACGATGATGACGAGAGACAGCCCCTGCCAGAGACAGACTGGGCGCTGGTGATGAGAGCAATCGGCGTTTTCGTAGGCGTTGCCTTTGCAGTTGTGAGTTGAACCCCAGTGTCACCCTCTATGTAGCTTGCGTAACGTAACGTGGTGTAACTAACATAACATTCTCCAACGCAGCGTCGTCTCTCATGGACATCAAGCTCACAGGTCTCATTGGCCGTGGCACTGGCCAACTTGTTCCTCTGGTGGCTGATTGATAGAACCATGCCCGCCCTCGTCGTGTCCACCGTCGTTGGCCTCGCCGGAACCGTCTTCCTGCTGAGCGTCAGCCCCGACATTATCCGTGCGCCCTCGACCACGTTTGCGCAGGCCAACAGCAGCTTCTACGCAGAGCCCCAGGCCGAGCCGGCGATGATGCTGGGCGGAATCGCCAGCCAGGAAACCGTCGAGGCGGGCATCTGGATCCTCAGCGTGCTGTTCTGCACGTGCCTCTGCTTTGGCAACATTGGCCGAAGACTGGCCAGGGGCAGATCAAAGGGTCGCTGGGCTGGACAGCATCTTTACGGCCGATAATGATTAAACGCCATTTTGACATGAACCCCTTTTTTCTCAAACTTTCTTATTGGGTCCTTCTTTTTTGGAATAACCTCGTGGAAATGGAAAACTGGTAGAAAGGTTTCAAAGCGGGATTTCGGACAAAGCATAACTTTGCTTGTTTTTTTGTTTCTTTCTTTTGAGCTGTACTTTCCGGAGCAGCGATATGCATGCATCATCATAGCGGATACCATGGATAGGTATTTTTTATGTTTGGGGAACAATTGGGTATTGACGGCGCTTTCAACAGGGCAATTGGGCAACAGGTATTTGGTGACAATGTCTACTATGACGGAATCTTTTATAGAAGGGGCATTTTGGTATTACAGAAATATCACGACAACATGAGTTTTGGACTGGAGTTTTTCTTACACGGGGGGACTGCCTACGAAGTAGTGCCCTGCAGTAACACAAATTCTCAGATGACTAATTGCCGCTACAAAATGGTGTTTTGTGTTGATTGAACTTGTGAAAGAGTGTATGTAGTGCCGAGGTAAATCAGCTCTTCTAAATGATCTCCGTCAATATACCCGCACGTCGTGCTAGCTTCACCCAACCTCCTCATCATTTTTACCCTTACCATAGAATCAGCTACCACTAGCAACCACATAATATTACTCCTCCACAATATCACACATTTCCCATCACCACGCTAATAACACAACAACCCCCTCTCCCACCAACACACACACAAAACTCACAATCTCAATCACACGCTACATCTCAACAACAATGCGCCGCCTCCCCGCCTGGTTCGTCCGCAGCGGCACCTCCACCGGCCTCCTCTTCAGCCGCGCCTCCCTCCCCCCCGTCCCCTGCCAGTGGCAGCCCATCCTCGCCCCCGCAATGGGCTCCCCGGATCCCCTGTACGCCCGCCAGCTCGACGGCATGGGCTCCGGCATCTCCTCCACCTCCAAGGTCGTCGTCGTCGGGCCCCCGTCATCATTATCCTCTTCTTCTAGCTCCGGCGCCAGCTCCGGGTCCGGGTCCGATGTGGGGCCGACTGTAGACGCCGAGTTCACGTTCGTCCAAGTCGGCATCCGCGACGGCACTCTCGACCTCGCGGGGACCTGCGGCAACATGTCCGCCATAGTCGGTCCCGCGGCATGGGACATGGGTTTCGTCCCGCCTTCTCGGATCGCTTCCCGCGTCTCGTACGACGCAGCCACGCGGTCTCGCTGGGCGACGCTGCGCATTCTCAACACGAATACCAACAAGGTCGTCGTATCACGGTTCCAGCTTGACGGAAGCCCGCTCACGTACTCTCCGCACGGGGACTACGCCATGGACGGCGTGCCGGGGACGCAATCCCCCATCACGCTCAGCTTCTTAGATCCCGCCGGCGCAAAGACCGGTCGGGCTCTTCCCACGGGTAATCCCATTGACGAACTCCATCTTCCCGATGGGAGCACTGTCAAGGCATCACTCGTCGATGTCAGCAATCCAGGCGTATTCATCACCACATCCAGCCTCGGCATCGACGACGCCACAGCAACAACCCTCACCCCCTCCCTCGTCGAAGCAAATGCCCCCCTAAAAGCACGCCTCGAGCAAATCCGCCAAGCCGGCGCCTCCGCAATGCATCTAGACCCCAAGATCGAGAGCGTGCCCAAAGTAGTCATGCTACTACCCCCAACCGCGAAAAAGTCCGCCGAGACGGACATTCAGTGCCTCGCCATGTCCATGGGCCAGGCGCACAAGGCGGCGCCCCTGACGCTCTCGCTGTGTCTGGGCGCTGCGTCGCAGATTGACGGGACGATTGCGGCGGAGATGATGGGGGGCGAGAAGAAGTCTGTGATTAGGATTGGGCATCCGAGTGGTGTGGTGGATGTTGGTACGACGATGAAGGATGGGAGGATTGAGGAAGCTAAGCTGTTGAGGACGGCGAGGGTGTTGATGAAGGGGGATGTATACTATTGAGTGTCATATCATGCATGCATGGTTTTGGAAAGGAACACTTTTGGAGAGTAGAGTAGGACTTCTCTTTGTTTTCATCACTTATAAAGTAGTAGCGTTGCGGCTCAAGCGAAATTGCATTGCGAACCGCATTTATTATATTTAACAGACATATCATCATCTAAGAGTCTAATCTTTCTTTCAACTCGAATTATTCATGTATACATTAACTCATGGAAGGCTTTACTGAAGCGCAACAGGGCAGTTATCAACGTTCTCTTGCCACGCGAGCTTCGCATAAGGAAGCATAAAGTCTACTACAAGTTAGCTTCAAGGGTCACAAAACAACAATTGTCATAGGAGATGGACATACCCTGCGAGGTAAAGCTGCAGTCAATGTAGCAGCTTACCATGTCGGCCGTGTAGTTGGCACCAAGATCCGACAGGATTAACGACTCGATACTACACAAACATTAGTTTCGCATTGCCAATTATCACGCAAAAGGTGGCTTACAAGTCGAAAAAGACCAGGTCAACAACTTCGGGGTCCTTGCCCTCAGGGAAGTTGGCCTGAGCTTGGAAGTAGCCGGGCAGGCTGTAGTTGGGAATGCCAGTGTGCTCTGTGTCGTCACCATCGGTGCCCCAGTCATCAGTGGTGGCATAGCCCGAAGTAACAATCTCCTGACGACGGACGACGCCATGGCTCTGGCGCATCTCGCGTCGGGTGAGGTAGCCCAGAGAGGGATCAGTGCAGGAGTCGCGGGGGATGGGCATCGTGGCGAGATCACGCTTGGCGACGGGACCCTTGTTAAGCCTAAAGTCGTGTTAACATCTCACAATCATGTCTAGATGAGAATAAAGGATGAGCTTACTTGGGCAAAACACTCTTGGCCAGGTCATATGGCACATCGGGGATGTAGAGGAAGACATCACGGAAAGGAGAAACGATAAAATTGTCGTCATAAGTAAACGGTCCCTGGTGCAGATCGAAGCGGATCGCTCCCGTATTGCCAATAATCAGACGCGACTTGTCCTCACGAGTCGTATTAACAACAACAGCAGTGACGGCGGGCACAACAACGCCGGGGAAGATGTTGCTCGAGTTGTCAAAGGGCACGCAGGAGATGCAATAAGTCTGGGGAGCACAGCCATACACATCGCCCAGCTTGAGATCCTCGCGCACCTTGGTAACCTCCCCAGTGACACGCAGGCCAGAGCCATAGTCAAACGCCTGCTCGGTCTGCTTGGTGTGGTAGATGAACGTCTGGCGGTTCCAGTCAAGATATCGGCGCGAATACACAAAGGGGGACTTTGCGCCTGCTTTCGCGGGACGGGTTGGGTTGGCGACGCCGTGGGGGTTCTTGACTCCGTTGTAGCCGCTGTTGGAGGAGCTGAAGCCCGTCATGGACATCCAGCCAAGCGTCTCGCAGTAGCGGCCGGACTCAATGGCCACCGAGTTGTCGTCGTAGACGGCAAAGTCACGGATGTGGCTGTGGCCGCCGAGGATCTGGATAGGGGTGGTGGGATGGACCTTGCGGATCTCGTTGAAAACCGTCTTGAGCGTGTTGGACGAGTCTGTCTGGCGCACGGGGTTGTGGCCAAAGAGAATAAAGACGTCGATGGGGTCGCAGGTATTGACGGCATCGGTGAACCACTCCTCCTTGACCATGTCCGCGGCCTTGAGCACCTGCGAGGCGTTGGAGTTTCCGGTAAAGTCGAACAGGACGCCAAAGGCCATGACACGCAGCCCCTTTTCTGTGGTGAAGTAGCGATGGGTGGCTCCAATGTACTCGTACTGGCCTGACGTCTGGTTGAAGGCCTTGACGTTGGATGTGACATATCGGTCGCCCCATTTGCGCGCCCAATTGTTGAACATTTGGTACGCCACCTCGGACACGTACAGCTCATGGTTGCCAATCGTCAGCAGATCGTAGGCAATCTCGTCAAAGATGGGCATTGACTCGGTGCCGTCGATAGTAGTGGCATCTGAGACGCCATTGCCGTCGTGCAGATCGCCAGTGTCCACCAGGAGCAGGTCGACGCCCATGTTGCCGGCCGTCTGCTTCATACGGCGTGAAAAGGTGACAAAATCACCCCAGTCGGCGCCATAGTTTTGCTCCTTGAGATGGCCCTCCAGCCAGCCATGCGTGTCGGTCCAGTCACAAGATGCAAGTCAGAATGCATGTAGATAGTCAACCAAACCTACGACAACAGCAGTATCGGCATACATACCGTATGGAGAAAGTTGAGCTGACCCCATTCAAGAGGCGCCTTGGGTCCGTATGCCGCATTGGGCACTCCAGGCTGGATGCGCTTGACATGGCGAACATGCTCGACCGTGTTAGTAGGGCCGTAGCACGACGAGTCGCTCCCACAGGCCAGCGCCGTGGGGAGCAGAGCGGCGAGCCCGCTGGCAACGGCGAGAGTCTTCATCTCTTCAAGCGGTGGGCCAATTGACAAGATCTCTGGGCAAACGGGCAGAACAGAGAGACGGAAGGTGGACTGGCACAGAGAGAGAGAGACACTGTCTTATACTATCCGTCATCGGCCACCTCCGGACCCTCGCAATCTTGCCGATCTGCCTCTCCGCAAGTCAGCACAGAGCTCGCCGAAGAACTTGTGTAGCTTGGCATTCACCTCTTTTTTCCCAGCTCTGCAGTGGCCATTTGTCGACCTTCCTAAAGCAGTATCACGGCCTGCGGAATCCAGCGACTGAGCCGATGCAGTGCCACCCCGATCCAGGGCCCGGCAAATCCGCTGTCAGATAGGCCAAGCAGCGTTCCTGGCTGGCCCATGTGGGCTTGCATCGACGCTTGCCGACAAGCATATCGGAGAAGGTTGTTGGGGGTTGGCGCAAGAGGCGTCTCGAACGGGTCACCGAGGCTATTTGAGTTTGGGTTTACGAACGCAATATTAGTCAAGTCACAGCTAGAATAAAATGGTTTGCAGCGGGATATGTTGTTGGTAGGGACTTTTGAAAGAGTCAAAGCTCTGCGAGTGAGCTGATGGTATGGATCTTTTGCTATCCACGTGGGCCTTATCAATCGGCATTAGCCGGTCAATATTCAGACGAAGCAGCATACAGTAAGATCAAAACTCATGATGCAATTGACAATTTTCAAAGTAATTGATCAGTCTAGAAGAAGAAAAAGAAGGAAAATCGAGCTAAAAAAATATATATCAACCAACGAACCATTGCTTCAATGCAGTGTTTCCTAGCAATTCTATCACCCATCTGTTAGCAACCGCTATCTTTGAATACACCGCTTCCATCAAACCATGTCCACCGAAGCTCCACAAGCCTCCGAAAAACCTCGTCCCTTCAACCAACCGCCCTTCTCTACACCCTCGTCACTTGATATGACTTGTACTACTATTCATCGCAATGGACCATCCCTACTACCCTCTCGGCGTCGCCATCCCCAATTACCGCCCAAATGACCTCCCGCTCTCCCGCTCCCTCCCCGTCTTCGGGGCCCTCATCGGCGCCGTTGTAGTTTCGGCCTACCTCCTCGCCGGCTCCGGTTCCGGCTCCGGGCGCCGTGTCCGGCCCATCGACCGGTTTGCCGCTTCGTGGTTTGCCTTGTGTAAGTTGTTTTCATTCATGTGCGCTGAATTTAGTCTAGACACATGGCTAATTGCAGAGACTCTGGGAACAGGTGGCTTCTTACATATCGCCTTTGAAGGTTGGTGCTCATATTGCCGTGAAAACATCATCTCACTTCATCACATAAGCGTCGTGTCTAACTCATCTCATATAGGGTACTACATCCTTTACCGCACAAGCATCTCCAGCAAAAACACGCTCTTCGCCCAGCTCTGGAAGGAATACACCCTCTCCGACTCACGCTACCTCACCTCCGATATCTTCACCGTCTGTGTCGAAACCATCACCGTTGTAAGTCATTTCTTCTACCCTTGAAAATTCTTCACAGAATCATCTAACGCGCGTATTCAGTTCGCCTGGGGACCATTGAGCCTCATCACCATCCTCTGCATCTGCACCAACCACCCGTCCAGACACCTCTTCCAAGTCGTCGTCTGTGTCGCCCACCTCTACGGAGTGGCCTTGTACTACGCTACCAACTGGGCTGAGCAACGCTTCCACGGCGTGTCGTACAGTCGACCCGAGTTTCTCTATTTCTGGATCTATTACGTTGGATTCAACGCCCCGTGGGCCATCGTCCCCTTCTGTGAGTGGCCAGCGCCTGGCGGAGAGGCTTCAAAATCTGACCGTCCGTGATAGTCTTATTGGCGGATAGCTACAGACGGATAGTGACGGCATTCCGAGCATTGCATGAGAAGGAGTCTCAACAAAAGAATGAGTAGAGGGTAGTCGTTATGCATAACTTGCTTGTACAGATTGAGGGGCATCACTGCTGTGACTCTTCTCTCACATTGGCGCTCCATCTCTTCCACTTCCAGCAGATTGACCAACGCACTCTGCGCATTGCTTTGAGCTTGGCTCCTCTACCAATCTAGCCTCACACTTGTACGAGTACGAGTATCATACATGCACAAGCATTAAGCAGGGAACATGCCTCATAGCGGAACAACCTTCAGAGTTCAATTTCTGGCTCGTCCAATCGCGGAACGTCCATCTGGCGCACTAGCTCACCCCCTTGCTTCTCATCCTCAGCCTCACTCTCGTCCAATTCCGCGCCAAGCTTCACGCTTTTATGCAGGCGAATGTCAGTACGCAAGATGGAATAACCCCTCTTCTCCTCAGCCAAGGCCAGATCTACACGGGCGTGCCGCTCCGTCCCGGTATACTAGAGCCAACTTTTCTCCTAGTAACCTTGAAAGCAGCTAGTACCTGTTTTACGAGCTGTTGAGCTCTGTACAAGGATCCTACACAATACGGATATTGTGATGCATACAGATAGTTTCCAATAAAGGAAACCTAAGGCGAGCACGAGAAGCCTATATCCCATTTCCTACTCTGCTGTATAACTCAGCCGCAGGTGGCGTCAAGACTCGTATGATACTGCACATGCGTGCATTTGATTCATCCAGATTATTCCTCTCGAATCATCGGCTGCATGCCCATACATGTAATATTCGGCACTACAAAAGAACCCAACATACTACAGTAGTCTCGCAAAACATACCGTGTTTATGGAAGCCCTCTCTCCTTTGCATCTGGCTTCAGCCCGTAGCAAGCCGATACAGTATTTGATCACCGGTCCGTATGCTATTGGCTTGCGCTCGTACGGCTGAGTATCCCATCAGAAATGACAACTCAGACCGGTCTTGCCTATGCATAATACTACATAGCTGCTTCCAAATCGATCTAGACCCCAATAAGTCATGCAAGGGGGGCCGGATGTCGCTGTGCAGGCATGACTGCGCAGGCTACAAGGATCTGATGCTTTCTTTTTTTCTTTTCTTTTTTCACAGCATTCTTAGCGGAGTTTGTATTCTTGCAGCCCGCTGTAGTAAATGTTATTTTGTAAGGCAACCTTGGCTACACAAGAGCAATCTCTACGGCAGCAACATGGATGTGTAGTATAACTTATGTCCTACACACAGTTTATAATCACAAGAAAAGGCAAATATAGAGTACTTTATGCAGTCAATTGTGAACCCTAAAGAAAAGTAACCAGTGCACTTTGTAAACCTCCGTGCCTATAGCCAACACACTACAAAGACCCGCATGGCAGAATAGAGAATCGTCAACTAGAAGCACAATATCCAAAGAATATGCTCTGGCTAAACCGTTCTCTCTTCCGCCAGCAATACATGTATCTAATAATGACTGCTTTTTCCAATCTTGTCAAACCGCCTCTTGGTTTGACTCCCATGTTTCAAGGAGCAAAACGCTCTACAGCAGAGTACCTCCCATACCTGTCAAAGGAAACTTCAACTCAACCTCAATCTTAATGGACTTGCAATTGTCCGAGTCCTTGGAAACCTTGGTCAAATCATCTCCAACCTTGGGCCCCAGCATGAACCTCTGGTCATCAAAACTGATGGCCTTGAGAGCGATGGTAAAGTTGTCCAGCTGTCCAGTCATAAACATAAGAGCGTTGGCAGGTCTTGTAAGAGTAAACAGGTTCGCGCCATGAGCTTTCAGCATGTCTCGTATGTGGCTCTGCACCCCTCGAACGCTGAGCTGGCACTCATCAGCCACCACCGCGTCGCCGAAATCGGGCCACCGGATGTACACAATCACGTTTCTGAGGGCTGGCTTAGCTTCAACGCGCTGTTTCTTGCCGGGATGTTGCATCGTCAAGCGTTCAAAGTCGTTGACCACCTGCGGTTCGGCTTCGAAAGTGACTGGAGGTCGAACCTGGTCGAAAGAGACCAGAGGTCGAACCTGATCCTTGATAGCCTCAGGCGCAACAGCTGGAGCAACAGCTGGAGCAGAAGCCGTCTTTGCAGCCTCAGCCTCGCGCTTCTCTGCCGCCCTCCTTTCACGATCGGCCTTGAGAATGTTACGAATAAAACCCTCGTCAAGCGGCTCCGGACGACCACTGGGAGTTACGCGGTAGAAGGCGCTCGCCGGTCCATAGTTGGGACAAACGTAGCTCCTCGAGCGAAGGCTGGGATCGGCCTTGATAGAAATAATCTCGTCACACAGGTTCCTGCCACGCCAGAGGCTCTGCGCCCTGCGGCCCCTCGCAAAGGAGCTCACACTAATGCTATCTGAGCTAAAATCGTCCGAACTGTCATAATCTGAGTTGTTCGAGATACGAGGATCGTGAGTAGGTTCAACTGTCGCCTGGGAAACTGGAGTTTTGGACGGCGTCTTCTCCTTCATCTCGTCTTTGCCAGACGCAGCCCTGGCAGCCTTCATCGCTTCAACCGCCTTGCGCTTCGCGAACGGATGGGCGTCAGCGGTTTTGTCTGCCATGTACTTGCTCAGCTTCTCAGCCGACTTGCGGTGCAGCTTCTCCAGCACATTGAGAAACCCGACGCCCGAATCGAAGAAGAGGGTGGACCGGTGGCCGCCCTCTGTCTTGAGGATGTTGACTTTCCACTGGTCAGGGGCCTTGACCTGCGAGAGAACCTCGAAGCTGCAATCCTTGCCATGGATGTACTGGAGGTTGGCTACATTGTCGAAGAGGTTAATATGTCATCCGTATGAAGTAAGGTAGAAAAGTGTTTCAAACTCACATTTGATCAGCTCAATGTAGTACAAGCCGCCATGGTCAGAGGTAGTTGCAGTTCCAGTCATGTTGGTTGCGTTCGGCGGGCACATTGTCAATTGCATGAGTAAACAAACAAGTGAAAGATAAAAGCCAACGTAAAAGAGACAAAGAAGGTTAAAAGACGTATAAACTAAGGTGTCCGTATAATCGTGTATCTAACGGTTGAAAGAAAGAAGAGAAAGAGAGAGAGAGAGTCCCAAGATGGCAGGAGGGTAAACACTACGACTTATATACTCGGAAGAGCACACCTCGATCTCGATCTCGATCTTGATAGGTAATACAAACATCTATCCCGCATTTACTCATCTTACTTCTATTACTATGCATATCTTTCTTATGCCAGCCGCACTCTCTGGTTTCTGTTCATTTCCACGCTTTCACCCCCTTACATGAAAACCCATGCAAGCCAGCCCGCCACTTTGTAAGTGGTCTGCTCTCCCCAAACTCCATACCTTGTACTACCACCATAACAAGCCACCGAGAAGCACATCATCCCATCCTCAGACTAGCTGAGGGCAGAAGAAAAAGCAAAGAAAAACAGGCACGATCCGTCCAGTCCATCCCTAGTCACCGCCAACCTTTCTCTTCCCGAAGGCCAAGCCATATAAAGCAAGCATCAAGCATAACCCCCTAGAAAAAGAAAAGAAAAGGTGAGAAAGCCAAAGCCGAAATCCGTACGGCCGCCGCTCACATGCATATCTAAAGCGTAATACAGCACTCACCGAAAAAAAATTCAGGCTGAGACCTCAACTCGACAGGGGGTAGGCAAGAAAAAAGCAAAGAAAAGGCTGTGAGCTGCATCCTTAGCATCCCCAACTATTGATCATTGCTTTTTGTCTGCTCCCCCAAGTCCCCCAAGGCAGTCTTGTGACTATCTGTGCTCACCATGTCGCAAACAAATCACAGACAGGACCCTTGCTCTCACTCCAACTCAAGATGCTCATTTGTCCGTATCCGAGGCAGGTCTCAGCAAGAGGGCACGTCTGTTCTGCCTACCATTCCTCTCTCTATCTCTCTTTTATCTCTCCGTCTGTCTGTCTGTCGTTATCTCTCTCACCTCTGTGTTCTATTCAAGCTGCATCTCCGGAGATGCAAGATTGTGGCCCCCAATCACTGCCTCGTCTGTCTCTCATTCATCCCACCTGCCCATCCTCTCCTATTCTCTCTGCCGCACTGTCGTCACAGCGCATAGAGGAATGACTTCACAGCCGTACTCGTATGTCTCCGAGACCAATTGCCCGGTCGAGATGAAACGTGCCTGACCAGCATCACGGCCCAAAGCTGTCTCAATCCCTTCGCCCTGCCTTTCCCATCCCGCCCGCCCCCCTCCACTGAACAGCCTCACTCTTTCACTTGTAATCAATCACAAACGTACTTAGAACTCTCTTATCAGCATGAGATCAGCATGAGAGAAGAGCTAGACCAGGTAAAAGGAGAGTCAACGACCAATCACGATATTGCATGTTCATGAAAATAAGACCTGTTGTCTCATGTATACATCACATTCCGTACTTCGTCCGCATAGAGCCTCCCGCGTCCCATCCACCAGGACGTCGTAGGCCGCCATTGTGGCGTTCACATCGCCGACTGATTCGAGATGGGCGGTGGAGATGGACAGAGACATTGGCAGGGATGTGGCACTCCTCTCTATATCCACGTACCTGGATTGGACAGATTGACCACCCAGCCTCTGACTCTTGTATGCCAATCGTAAAATCTCAAGTGTTAGTCAAGCCATCTACTGTGCCGTGTCATAGTCTGAATGGGAAGCGTCGTCACAGCAAGCCATGTGACAGAACAAGCGTTCATCCATTTAGAGGTCAAAAATTGTATTGGTCCAATGTTCGTTCACCGCAGATGTAAATCCATTACCCTCAAAGCTCATTAACAACACAGCCTTATTGGCAGTGTTCCCTGCCCTAGCCATCATAACCCGTTCTAGTCCCATCAGTGTCCAACCTCTTCCCAAGTCGAGTCCGGGGGCATTTTATTTTACAAGCTGGCCTGAAGCCGCTCTAGTCGTGACGTTACGGCTTCAACTAGCGCAGACTCGCGGGACAGTAGTCCTTGCACTTGCTGCAGTTTGCTGCGTCGTATGTCTTGAGGAATACGCAGCTCCACGCTGCTAGCCGGGGATGCGGTGCCGCTCGCCGTCTTCAGGGCCTCGGCCTCGGCCACCAGCTCAGTCTGTAACCTCTTGACCTCCTCCAGCCGCCTCCATACCTGTTTGGCCTGGTTCCTAGGCCCAGCTTCAGCTCCAGCCGGTCCAGATACGCTAGTGTCCATTGCTTTGACCTCCTCTACAAACGCCCGCTCTTTGGTACTGAGTTCACGCGAGGTAGTCTTACTGACCATCTTTCGCAGGTCCTCCATCCGTTGCGTCAGTCGTTCCTGTCGCTCCCTTGCCTCATTGATCCGCCTCTCGTACATTGCACTATCCGGTTCATTGTCCTCTCTTTGAGATCCGTTGATGGTGTCAATCTTGCTCTTGACCTCGTTTGCCTTCCTGACCTGCTGCCGTAGCTCCGCTTGTAGCAGTTCGCATCGGCGAAAGACTTCGGCCGCCGCCACGCCCAGCCGGTATGTCTCATCACTGAGTATCTTATGTGCGTCGGTGAAGAGGGACAGCGTGAGCGGGCTTAGTCTCACCTCCTGGTTAACAATGGTCTTGTGGCGAGATGTGCGAAGGCGTTCTAGCAGCTCTGACACGGCAGACGACTCGCTAAAGGTATGTGGAATACTGTACACTGGTCGGGGTTCGTAAAAGTCCAAAGGTGCCATGCTCATCTCACGCTCACGGGCGGGACTCTCCTGTTGTACGGTGATTGGTTCGTCATCAGGCGTTTCAAAGGTCAGTGCGATGGGCTCATAAGGCGTCGCAGAGAGGAGAAAGTAGCCAAGATCAGGGTCTCGGATGGCAACACAGGCTGCCAGGGGGATTCCGACATCTGCCGCCTGCTGTGCGTATACCCTGTCTCTGGTGGACTGTGAGTTGGCCAAAAGGCCAAGACGGAAGTCTGTGCCAGCCTCAACCTCTCCCCGCAGCTCGCTTTCGAGCCTGAAGATCCAAGGGGCAAGGGAAATGTATGTAATGGCCGCATGGTGAGTGACAAAAAAGTTGTACCGCGACACGACGTCAGTACTAAACACTGGCCAGCTACCCTCGTTGACCTCAACTGGGGTCATGGTATCAATGGCTTGGAATGCCAGAAGCGTGGGGGGCTCCGTATCAGCAGCGCTCAACACATGGCTAAACCTGCTTTTGCCTTTGGGAGGTAGCCACTGGGCCTGGACTCCGTCTGTGTCCAAGTAGACGCGGACCTGACCACTTGTAGATAGCAAGCAAATAAGAGCCAGGGAGAGGCCTTCCTGGTCTCCGTTATCAAAGTCCAGCTCGTCTTCCTCGCCCAGAATAAGATCCTCCGTCTCGGTCTTCTTTCCAATCACCAGGATGTCTGTGATGGAGCTATCCAAGTCATCTCCTGTTTCCGGGCTTGCCTGTAAGTCAAAAGGTCCTTGGAGGCGAGGGATGGCACCGGGCCGCGAGGGTCTGGTGTAGACTTCGAGCGCTGGTTCTCCTGGGATAATAGACTCTATGATCTGAGGCTCCTGGGAATCAATCTCACTCATCCATTGACGTTGTTGTTGCGTTAGAAGTTGCTCTTTGGCGTCCACACTGGGGTCGTCCTCGATAGCAGCCTCGGCGGTAACAATGGAGACCGAAAGAGAAGGAATCAGTGTAGGCGGAGGTGCCCATCGCTGTGGTAGAAGGGGGCTCAGCGCATACACATCGCCTTCGCGCATCGCAATCCACAGTGTCATCGGATTCCAGCCGCCGGAGCCCTTAGTCGCGAAGCTTGCTGCTGCCACCTCCATCTCCAACTCATCGGGCGAGAAGGCTTTGCTGGTGGCCGATACAGACGCAGAAAAATCCTGATCAACGCTGGTGCCATCCACCAACTTCTTGAGGTCTATCGACGTCGTCGGAGAGTCAAACGACCAGCGGTCCTGCGTCGAAAGCTCCCACAGGCGGACCGTTGCGTCGGCCGTGATGGTCACAATGCAAGAGCCGTTAACTCCCAGAGGGTGCCATAGAGCGGACACAACGGCAGAGCGGGAAGTGACGTGGGTCGTAGGCCCGAGTGTGTATGTTTTGGGCTTCAGCGGGCTGGTGTCTTCGCTCGTAAGGTGAGATGAGTCGGGCAGTGCGCAGATGTGTACGGTGTGTGTCGTGAGAATAGCCAGCAGGTTTGTATTGGGCGAGATGATGAGCTGTCGAATATCGTCGGCCACTGGCGTCTTGATTATCTATAGATTGTCGAGTTAGCATGCTCGTCGTGGTCACGCCACGACATATTGATTCCGTTTGTCTTCTCTCTAGAGAACCAATCATCCACTTACCCTCCATCCGCCCGCCGTGTCAGTGCCATCCGTATCAATCGACTGTAAAGTGTCGTCCTCGCGCTTGATCCGAACACCCACGCTGCTCCTCCTCCGCGATTGTTTGTCCGTCCATTCTTCCTTGAGGTAGACCAGATCGCCCCATCGGATCTCCCTGCCCGCAGCAACAAACACTTCCGTTCCGCGTCGGGCAATCGTCCTCCGAGGCCCGGGAAACTGCTTCTTCTTTCCCGGTGACAGGGCCCTGGATCGAAGGGATTCGGCTGAAGGCTCAAAGAGCTGGTTGCCGGGGGCATTTTTCGACAGCCAAGCTGCCGAGTAGCACTTGACCTTTGGCATGGCTGGCTGTTTGTTTGCTGGAGAATCAGATTGACTTCTCTCTTCCCTCTTCCCGTAGATATTCTCTCCTCTCCTGACTCAGCGAAAAATAACCGGCGGAAGCTGTGTTCGTCCTGACGGCTCAAAAGAGAGCGGCGTCTTGCCGGATCCCAAAAAACAATTCAATTCCAAGGCTGGCTTTCGAAGCTTTTGCAAAAAAGCGCGGCTGTCAGCGAAGCAGGAAAGCTTTAGCGCGTTATCTGGGGCAACCTGGTGGCAGGGGATCCACCCGCAATCGCTGTACCCGCCTATGAGATCCGTTAGTGTGCTGTTTCTACAGGTGCCTTGCATCAGCGAACAGGCTCAGCCTTTTTTTTGCTTGTGCTTGTAATACTTGGGCTTGAAGCTTTTAGTCGTCTACCTGCATCAGACTTCATTCACATCAATTGACTTTCTCAGCATCATCTCGGCTTTTGTTATTCTCCCATTTACGCAATCCTCGACAATCAGTCTTACGACACTACTTTGATTTACCGTCGATCCCAATCCTTCCCTCCCAATTCGAAGCTTGCACACCGGTCACACGATGCGCGGCGAAGTTCGAAGCACCGTCGAGCGTCTCGACAGACCGAGTGCATACTATCTCAGCAGAGTGCGTGCAAGCCCGAGCATCAACATCAAACTGAACGTGTACTGAGCGTGAACACTCACCGGCTACTAGAACAAGCGCAGACGCGACCGAGACGACAATGCAGAGGAGCCTGTAGAACCCGCCGTTGATCCCCTCGCAAACGCGACGACTCTCTACGTCGGCAACCTGTACGTTTCAACCTCCCCTGCCTCCAGTACATACTCTAACACGACACTCTCAATAGCTCCTTTTACACCACAGAAGAGCAAGTCTACGAGCTCTTTTCCAAGTGCGGCGAAATCAAGCGCCTCGTTATGGGCCTCGACCGATTCAACAAGACCCCCTGCGGCTTCTGCTTCGTCGAATACTACACCCACCAGGACGCCCTGGACTGCATGAAGTACATTGGCGGCACAAAGCTAGACGAGCGCATCATCCGAACAGACCTGGACCCGGGATTCGAGGAGGGCAGACAGTACGGCCGAGGCAAGTCGGGCGGCCAGGTCCGAGACGAGTACCGGGAGGACTTTGACGAGGGCCGAGGAGGCGTGGGTAGAGCGCTGCAAGGCGAGAAGTCGAGATATGACGATTAGGGTGGAGGAACTGCATTGTTTGTGAAAATCTTATTTTTTGGAATGATACCTTTTACGGGAATAGTTATGGAATTTTTTCTCAGCGCAAGTTTCTATCTTGATTTAATCCATCGCGCCATTTCAGATTGAGCACCACCATCCGGGTATTCCTACAGTCATCCGCTGATCCATGCAACCAAATCGCAGTTTTCTTTCTTTTTCCTCTTCGTCATAACTCCCATACAGCCGTAGTTCCAAAGTACTCCGTCGTAGTGTGCAAAGGTAGTAGTAGTAGGTAATGTACAATAAGTCTCTACTTATATCGTCACAACTGTCGTCCCCATCCTTCTTCAGGTCCTTCTTTTCAATTGCAATTCGCTCGTTGTATAGTCGTCTCAGTTCCATCCCGCATTTAGTATCCAGGAGGGTTGACTCTCTGCGAAACTCTCGTCCACTTTGGCAATTCTAGCAAATCCCCCAGCGTCAGCACTCGTACAACAAAAAAAAATCAAGAAGGGCCACGGCCATACTGTGAATGCCCTTGCGGTACTTCTTCTCCTTCCGGTCAAACATGGTGTACTTGTCCCTCGGCAGCATCTCCTCCTCCACCGGCATCTCGGCCTTCCACCGCTCAATGGCCTCGAGCGTCTGGCCTTTCTTCGCCAGCGCTGCGTCCAGCGTGGCCACGACGCTGTCCACGGCCCGCAGCCGCAGCCTGTGCCGCCTCTTCTGGAATTTCGACAGTCGCCATGGGATCTTCCACAAAAGGCCTCCCGACAGCGGGTTCGTAGCGCGGAATGGGCCAAACATTGTTGTGGCTGCTGTTTTCCCCTTCGTGCTGTGTTGAATGCTAGATTTAGAAGCTTTTCTCTCAAAATGCAGTTATTCCGGGCCTGGCCGCACCGGATTGACCCCTCCGGGATTTGGGGGGCGTGCGGTCCCGGACGGAACAATGATGCGCCATAGCGGTCGCACACACCCTCTCTTCCCAGCTACGTATCTCATCTACTCCAAACAGGCGCAATCCGATAAGCTTGCTTCGACTTGTTATTCCGGCATCACGATACCACAAAACAACAAAAGAACGGACTTCTGAACCAGCTGGGCCCCGCGCATTCGCCCGATGGTTGGCGCTGCAGCACAATGAGCTACTACTTTGCCATTGTCGGCACCCAGGACAATCCCCTGTTCGAGTATGAGTTCGGCACTTCCAAGCAGGGCGGCGACGGCCAGTCTCGCTTCACCGAACAAGTGCGACACTTGAACCAGTTCATTCTTCACTCGAGCCTGGACATTGCCGAGGAGGTGCAGTGGTCGAGCGGTCAGATGTGAGTCTCTATTGCCATTCATTTGGCTACGAAAAGCCCTGTTGCCTAGCCTGCGACCTCTTTCGTTGTGAAAGCTCGTTGTAAGAGAGGTGAGAGATGGAGACAAACGAGGCTGACGTCCTACCGCCCACGGATATCACAGGTACCTCAAATGCATCGACAAGTTCTTCAACAACTACATCTCCTGCTTCGTTACCGGCGGCAACGTCAAGTTCCTGCTGCTGCACCAACCCACCACCCCGACCTCGACGGCAACATCTAGATCGTCGACCGCTATTGGCGCCAACCCGACGAGTCCGGCCACCGAAGAGGCAATCAAGATGTTCTTCACGGAAGTGTACGACAACTGGGTCAAGGCCATCATGAATCCGTTTTACAAGGCAAACATGGAGGTTCGGAGTCCCATCTTTAGAGCAAGGGTAGCAGCTGCTGGACGGAAATACCTATAGATTTCAAAGTTACACGTAAAGAATGAATGGAAATTATAATGATCATGCCAAACATCGCAACTGCACGCACAAACGGAAATTCTTTGAGATGGACGCGTTTCACGGAAATGATTATCGTATTTGTATTCATGTGGTATTCTCATTTATAAGGTCGTCTACCATGACGCCTCCTCGTAAGCCCATTCCCCCCAACGCCAATCGATCAAAGTACAGAAGAGTCCATGTTATTTGCACAGATAACCCCAGCTCCACATCGCCACCGCGCAGACAGCAGAAAACAACGCGTCCAACGCTCTAACCACCGAAACCGTAGAGGGTGCGGCCCTGTCGCTTGAGAGCGTAGACAACGTCCAGCGAGGTGACAGTCTTGCGCTTGGCGTGCTCAGTGTAGGTGACGGCATCGCGGATGACGCCCTCGAGGAAGGACTTGAGAACACCGCGGGTCTCCTCGTAGATCACTAGTAGCCAGACGCGTTAGCCTCTCATTGCCATGATGATGATAGCCGAAGAGATGCAAGGGGATGATGAAAACTTACTGGCAGAGATACGCTTGACACCACCACGACGAGCGAGACGTCGGATAGCAGGCTTGGTAATGCCCTGAATGTTGTCACGAAGAATCTTTCGGTGACGCTTAGCACCGCCCTTGCCAAGGCCCTTGCCACCCTTTCCACCTAAAAACCAACGACAGTCAGCATCGCCATCTCTGAAGTTTCCATCTCGGCTTCACACAACGCGCTTCACGCAATGCAGACAAGTTTGCACAACATCCACGCAGCGCACATGATGATAAAGCAGAGGATCAATGAAAGAATACTTACGGCCAGTCATGATGAATGTATTATAATGTGAAGAAGTTGGGATATATAGAAATCCGTTATAAACGCGTCACTTTGAAAATGACGTTTTTCGCACCAGTTACAGAAAGGGACGAAGTGTTGCGAGAGCGAAGATGCGGGGGGGCGGGCGCCTCGAGCAATAAATACGCGCAGGGAATCAGCGCCGGATCAGTAAAAACCGCGCTTTCTTTTTGCCTTGTGTGCCTTTTTTTTCCTCTTTTTTTTGCGCGCGCTGAAAGCTGCCCCTATTCCCTTTTCGGGGGTGGGGTGGCAGCAGACTTTTGGGTGCAGAGGTACTTGCTCGTTTGCTTTATTTTACTTGTGGTGCAGGTACCACCTGCTAGGAATTATTTTAGTGGTGTTAGTGCTGCTCTTTTTTTTGCTCCTGTGCACCTATTTTTTTTCTTAGTTATCCTGCTTCGGAAGGGCGGGATGCAACAACACGCGACTAATTATTTTGGCCATTGGCGGGGCTCCCTTTTTTCCCTCCATTATTCTGAGCTGACCAAGCCAGAAACTGCTCTGATTTGCCCCCCAGAGCTACCCAGCTCGGAGAAACATCGGCTAGGGAGCCAAGCGCGTTCTCTAGCACATCAAAACGGTGATCCTCGCAGCAAACGGAGCTTCTAGCGCGCAGGTACCTTGCGTTCCGGCACAGTGCAAACGTGCCCTGTAAACAAACGCGATGGTGCAGCATCCCTTCTGTGAAACGGTTGGTACTTTGCTGGTACGCGTCAAGTGCCGGAACACAGAGCAGAGCAGAGCAGTGCATCTCCTTGCGTAGATCCTTGTTTATGCCCGTCAGAAGGAGACTTGTAGCTGCAAACTGCAAGAGTTACAAGTACAGCATATGAGGATGAATCACAAGAAACTCAACTAAACGTATCAAGCTTGTAATAGATAACTTCCATTGCTTTCATGATAACATACTCTTTAGGTCATTGGAGAAGAGGCTCGTAGGGAAACAGGTAGGAATAGTACACTTGTAGGTAGCCGTCACTTTCCATCGCCCTTAAAACACCACATCACAGCACATCATGATACAAACGCCCGCAAAAAAAGGTATACAGCCAATACACCCCTCCTCTCCTCTGCTATAGTATTCAATACATAGAGCAAGGCAAAACCCAAACCCATTGCTCTCAAATTCGATTCGACCCTAGTCCAAGCCATCCAAGTAGCTTCCCAAGGCCCCCAAAGAACGCCAATGCCATGCCAAAAGACTCATCACCCTGCCCCGTGTCGTGATCATGTCTTTCCAGCCAAAAGACTCGTCACCTACCCCTTCCCATGTCGTGATCGTGTCTTTCCAGCCCAAGTTTTGCCCCTCATTCCAGCCTTTTGCAAGTCGCCGCCGAGCTTTCAAAGCTCGTGCCCAAGCAAACGAGTACCAGAAATGAAAAGTTTTTTCTTCTTAAAGGGGAAAAAAAAAGAGAAAAAAAGAAACCCCGAACCTCACCCTCTTTGTTGTTCATATTACACATGGCGGCTATTATGTGCCCCTATTATCAAATGCCCAAGAAAAACAAACCATCCAAAGCCTCTCCTAAAAAAAGAATTACTCATGAGCATCGTCAAATCAGTGAGTCGTCCATTGGTATATCGTCCTCAAAACTCTCAATCGCCTCCTTAATCTGCGGACCAGCCTGTAAAAAGTCGTGTTAGTCAATCTTGCAAGTGAAACCTTCTTGAATAGAGCTTCCTCGTACCTTTGGATCCAATGCCAAAGCAATAGTAAAGTGGCGGACCGCCTCCTGCTTCTCATTCATACTCCTGTACAGCGTCGCAAGAAGAAAGTGCACCGTGCCTTCGTCAGGGGCCAGATCCTTCAAGATAACAAGCTCCTTCTGTGCCTCCTCAATCTGCCCAACCGCAAGGAGAGTCCGTGCTTTCTTGTATCGTGTCGAAGCAGCGCGAGGGGCAAGCTCAACAGCCTTGCAGTAAGCACGCAGGGCGGGTAAGATCTGCTTCTGCTTCTCAAGTGCTGTTCCAATACACGTTACTAGAACTGCGTTGTTGGGGTTGATGAGATGGGCGGCCTGGAAATGCGTGAGGGCCTTGTCGTAAGCGCCTAGGCGCTGCTGGACTCTCCCGATGCCGTAGTAAGCGTTGTAATGCCTCTTGTCTGCCGAGATCGCCTGCCGATAGGTCGTGAGGGCCTTGTCGTATTCTTCGTTGGTTACATGCTCGTGTCCCTGCAGCGTGAAGCCATATGCAAACTTTGGGTCCAGTTGCGTGGCCCTCTTGAAGCACTTGAGCGCCTGTTCAGGGTCTCGTGCCAGAGACCAGGCGTTGCCCAGGGCACACCATGCCTGAGGAGAGTGCCATGAGGCATCCACGAGTTCGTGAGCCAAGAAGGAGAGCTCCGTCTCCCGCTTCAGGTGCCAGAGAATGGTAGAGTATACTTCCATGTCTTCCAGCCGTGACGGAGCCTGTGCTCGCATTCTCCGGAAGTACTTCTCGGCCTCGGCGTATGATGCCTGCTCGTAGTGAGCACGTCCCATCAGCGCCAGAACCCCGGGTGAGCTTTGATGAACTGCAGGCAGTGAACTCAGAGCCTGTATGGCCTCTTGGCATTGAAATTGGGACAGGTAATAGTACCCGCTCCCCAGCTTCTTCATCAGATCCATTACCCATCTCAAAGCCTCTTCGAGCCTTGCCGTATCAGGCTCTGCAATCTTGGGGACCGGATGAGGCGGGGCCTCCTGAACCTTGCCCATCTCTCCGTATTCTCCGTCACCATTGTGGTCTTCCATCCTGTTTCGGTTGCCGCTAATAACCTTTCCGACGTTATTGGGGCCACTAGAACCCGGCCGAACGATTCGAGAGACCGGGGGTCTAGCCTTTTTCAACTCTCGTCCAGCAGGGGGCCCTGTAGGAGCTGGCGTTGCCAAGTTCGTCTTGTTGGCCGACGGCTTTATCAATCGGGCACTTCGTCTGGTTGCATGCTCCTCGTTGTTGGTTGATCGTGATACCGGATGGCCGGCAAGCGTTCGTTTCCTATCAGTTGTCGAAATGACGCTGGATCGCGAGTTTCCGGTAGGAGCGCTAGGGGCATCTGAGATGGGCTCCATCGGCTGTTCTTGGCTGTTGCTCTTCTCCCGCGTGGCAGCGTTTCGTTTCGACCCCATTCGATAGTTCATTCGTGGCGGTGCCTCGAGCGTCTGGTCCATGTGCTGGACATTTCGGGTCCTCCTCGTGGGCGCATGGGGTGGTTCCTGCAGATTATTAGACCGGGACATCATTGCCTCTGCCGGTGGCCCTGTTGGGGTCTCAAGTCCTTCCATTTCAGACTGGTGATTGCTAGCCGAATTCGCAACCCTAAGCTTCGAATTGTGCATCTTGGTAATAAAGTCGCTCTCTGAATTTACCACCATGTTCTCAGACATGGGAGTCATGTCCCCGGCGGTAAAGCTGACGCCGAACGGATCAGCGGTCGTGTCAGATACCATAGATCTCATAGATGACTTTTTCGGAGGAGGCTGTTCAAAAGAGGCCAAGGTGGCGGTAGTGCTCTGGCTCAGCTCGACATGGACCAACGTAGTCAAGTCCTGGCCAAGATTCTGCAACAAGCTGTCGCTGGCTTTGAAGACATTTGGCACTCGAATCATCTTGACGCCCATGTCGCATAAAGCCTTGAAGGCATCCCATTGGAAGGCGTTCAACTTTAACGCCTCCTCGAAAGAGCTCACGGCTCTCTTTTTATCATCGTAGCCGCGGTACAGCTTCCCCAGCAGGCAAAGAACTGCAGGAGCGTCGGGATACGCAGATCGAGTGGTCGCGCTGTGCTTGCCCATGGTGTTTTTCTGCGACCACAAGCTTTTAGCCTTATCCAAAGCTGTGATGCCGTCCTTGAATCGCTCTAGCGCCAAGCAGGCTTGGGCAAAAACCCAACTGCAGCCCAAATTCACGCCGCGATATCCTGCCGGCTTACTGACGTCGTAGGCGGATCGGTTGTCTCCAAGTCGGAGATGACATAGTGACAGGAGGTAGGCGGCTTCACTGGATCGAGAATCTTGCGCGGCATATCGTTCGGCAAAGAAGAGGGCGTTATCGTATGAGCCATTGTCGAGATGATAATGAACCACCTGCCCCAAGAGGCCCCCGACGGCAGTCGGACTTGGCGCCATCCTGGTGGTGATGGTATAAGTCGCTGAAGACTGGCAAGGGTGTCACCGATGTACCGGGGCCATGAGACGCTTGTCGACTTTAGAATACCAAAATGACGAGGGGCAACACCGGGCCGTTATAATTCTCGGACAGGTCGTGCCGCACCGTCGTGATAGTAACCGTTGCTATAGGATCTCGAGAAAGAAGGCGAAATAGTAGACAAGATATGTTGCGTATGAAATGCTCGAGACAGAGGCAGCCAGTCGGCGCAAGTCGAAGAGGTTTGAATAAACAACGATATTATCGGCGGTAGTGAAGCATATACACGGCTCTGAGCGCTCCGTCCGCAGTCCCGAGTCACTCGTCCTCCTTCTCCTATATCGATACAGGAAAGACAAGAGCGCTGCAAGCGGCCGTGCGTCACAAGGCGGCAGAGACGTCCCGCGGGCGGAATGGAATGGCGGGTCTTAGCGAGCGTGAATGGGATGAACAGCGGCTTCGAGGAGAAACAGACTCCTGAACCGGTGCGAGTTTTGCCTGCCTCTGCGCTGAAGCAGTTCTGACAGGCGATTCTCGGTGCCTGGCAGCGGACAGCGTCTTGGATTCGGGTTCGAGTGGGCAGGTAAAAGGGAAGGGAGCGTGAAGGTTTGTGACTTTTGGCCGAGTCGCGGCGCGCAAGGTTCAGATGTTGTGGTGGTTTAGGTTGGCCCCAGGCGCGACGTACTGCCCATTGCCTAGCAACAGGGGCCACCAGTGAAGGGATAGCGGGCAGCCCGCTAAAGAACCAGGCGACCAGCCCACTGTATCCCGCCTGCGTCGTGCCACTGCATCGTTGGCGGGTGATGTCAGCCCCCACTAACGAGCATGTTGACAACATACCGCCACACGAGGGCGCCACAACCAAACCCCAGCCTTCTTTGCACCAAGCTTGGAGCTGGTGCAACCTTGTAAACTCTCCACCAGTCGAAGAAACCAGATTTCACCAAAGCTTTCAGTTGCAAAATCCTGCGCCATTCAACAGCAGATTGAACAATTCGAACAATGGCCCAAAAAGCGAAAAAGGACCGCGCAAAGTCCAACGCGGCGTCTCTAAACAACCTGCACATCGGATCCCTCGTCGTCCACGTGCTGTTCCTGCTCTCCCACTTCCTGCTCCGGTCTCGCTCTCTCCTCGTCTACGGTCTCCTCTCGGTCCCGAGCTTCATCTGCGAATACATCTTGGAATCTTCCGGTCGACCCAAATACGACGCTGCGACGGGGGCTCTTAAGACGTCGGGAGAAGACCTGGCGGCTGCCGGCTTGACGGAGTACATGTTTGATGTCATCTGGGTGACATGGGCATCGATCATTTCCGTCATCCTCTTTGGAAAATGGGGCTGGCTCTTATTTGCCGTGGTCCCTGCCTACGGCGCCTACCTGGCTTATGGTCTCTTCGGCATGGGCAAGAATGCAATGGCCCAGATGCAAAATCCTGGCGACGCCGGCAATGCTGCGCCGCAGGGGAACCGTCGATCACGAAGGACAGCTTAGATACTATATACGGATCTATTCGGGGTGGTCTATTCGAATGACTGGGGAATTATGCGAAAACAGGTGTCTAGGGTCTATCAAACCATTGTTCACCCACGTTGGGGTCGCTCTCCCGTCCAGCGTTCCAGCATATCATCGTCAACATCGCGGACCAGCACGTGAAAATGCTCCAGAGTCCTCACGCTCTGCAGGGCAACCCAGTTCTTGAACCATAGCACCTGATGCTCTCCTCCAAGTCCGAGTTTCTTAATGAAGTAATCGTTAACAAACGCCTCGACTTGGGCTCTGCTCTCAACCGTCAAGTCTCCCGACTCAGGGTCAGTGGGAATCTGGGTGCGAGTCCACACAACAATGTGCGTGATTCCAGGCGCCAACCCATAAGGCCAATCATTCAGCAGGACCTTGTAGTCCGACGCAGCAGCAAAGGGAATTTGGGATTCGGGCGTGAACGGCGGTAACCCCCATGCCTTGGGCAGACGGTTCTGGAGGATGTATTCAGTTATGGTGCCATACTTGGCCTTGGTCTCTGCAGTCCAAGAAATGTAACGGCGAAGATCCGAGGGCTTTCTTTTCAAGATTTCAAGTTGATTTGTGTCTTTTCAGCACGTGTTAGCGTGAATGAGCAATGCCATCGCCACCTTCTTGATAGACAAATTGAAGCCCAAAGGAGCGTGAATCCACACACCGATAATGTGCTTGAGGTCGTCCCAATCGTGAAGCTTGTAGTCCTCGTCCGACTGCGACAGCACCCATTTATCCACCTCGGTCAAGGGGAACGGCGCGTCCGCAATGGCCTGCAGGGTGCTCTGATCCCCCATCGTTTCCAGATTGAGATGCTCAGCTTAAACTGATCCGAAGCCACGGCGATGGTGAGAGCCTAAAAGGGCCCAGTCTGATTGACAGGGGAAGGCCGAGCGCTCAAGCAGCCCAGCTTCGTGTCCGTATTATGTAATGGCCACCAGACCACCTCGCAATCTCGTACTCGCAATAGAGCCTTGTATCCCAACACAATTACCCAAACACACCCCATATCCATCCCAAAGTCGCACGCCTCAAGCAGAATCCTTCGTTCGCGCCTCTTACAAGACGAAAATGTACTGAACGAGTCACCCTTCTGAAATACAACCCTAAGCCACCGACGTCTTGCAAGCAAATTAAAGCAACAACCTTGCCAAAACATTCCCAAATAGTTGCCGTTATAGGACGCCCGATCCGGGGCTTTCTCAAATCGGGGCGGGGGGGGGGGGGCCTTTGTGAGCCACTCGGAGGATTTGATTGACCCTTAATATTAGAGGCATCACCCCAGATTTTACTGTAATCTGCGCTGCCGGCGCCCCCCATCCCCTCTAGAGCCCTGGCAAGGCGGTGTTTTTTTGTTGAATATTACCTAAAGTTGTCGGTGTCCTTGTCTCGAATTTTTGCTTCCTTTAATTGCTGTTACTTCGTTCTTTCATATTCATTTTCTTCACATACTCTCTCACTCACTCACTCTCTTTATTTCTTTTCCTCATTTTCTTGTATACTATCGTCTTCGAATACTGAATTATCTTTCTTCCTTTTGTTCCTATTATTCTCTATTATTCTCTTTTCTTTTTTTTCTTTGTCCAACACCTACAGAGCACTCGGGGCAGTTTCTAGCCTCATTCGTTCATTCACTCACTACTCCTTATGATTTGAATCCGACCACCCAAGCAATCAAATAATCTTTGTTATAATAAACCGCTATGAGCACCCCACCGCCATCATGATCCTCGGACCCGTATCTCTCATCGACTGCCTCGTCTTCTGTATCTACCTCACTCCACAGCTCCTCTATCAAGCAGGCTTTTTCCCTACCGCAGCCGTCGTCCTCAGGGTCATCCCATTTCTATGTACGCCACGCCTCATCTAATAAGCAAAAAACCATGGTGCCACCCATGAGGAATCACGACATCTGAGACAAATTTGATCTGACAATAATACTATCGTGTTACAGTGGTCACGCTTCCTATCCAGTTCGTGTGGAACCGCTATTGCAGGAGCTATGCCTCCCACAAGTCTTCGTACCTAAAAGGCTCTACCATCTTCGAAGATGTCGTGATCCGGTGCGTGCGATATGCATTCGCCAGCATACCAGCCAACGTCGGCAGGGTCTTCTTTTCCAAGGACGTGGCGCTGCCCTTTTTGAGATGGCGCATGAAGAGACATGGATTTAAAGACTTTCCAGTCTATTGGAAAGAAGAAACTATTGGAGAGGTTCACACACCCCCCTTTTGAAACTTCATGTGCCTGGCTAACGTTCCGTATGCAGGGAGACGCCAAGGTCAAGGGAATCTGGATCAAACAGCGCGGCGAGGATGAGCCGGATATTGTGATTTACTACGCCCACGGTAAGACTTGTTCCATACGCGAGTTGCCGGAGTGCACTAACACATGCATGTACGACAAGGCGGCGGGTTTGCCATGGGATCGAGCTACTTCTACTTTGAGTTTCTTCTAGCATGGCATAGCCTATTAGTTGATGCCGGGTACCAAAACCCTGCCATCTTTGCCTTGGATTACAGCCTAGTTCCGGACGAGATTTATCCTACGCAGATTCTCCAGACGCTCCAGGGCTACAAGCACGTGTTAGAGGTGGCCAAGGATGCCTCCAAGGTGTGTGTTGCTGGAGACTCTGCCGGTGGCACGTTGATCCTCAGCATGCTGCTCGAGGTTGGGATGCAGGTGCAGAGCCAGCAGGCTATGCGAGTTAAATTGGGCAGGAAGGGCAGCCCGGAGGGGTTTCGACCAGACTTTGCCATACCGCGAATGGCCATGCTCATCTCTCCTTGGATCACGTTGGCTTCGAGCCTCCACTTCCCCTCCCCTGTCGACTATTTGAATAGAGGCACCCTCTGGAAATACGGGCACCAATACGCTGGAGACACAATGATACATGGTGGCATGGCGTCGCCCGGAAGGTGTGACGACGTCAAGCTGTGGAAAGCAGCCAGCCCAGAGCGCGGCTACTTCATCACCTACGGCGGAGAAGAAGTCTTGGCACCGGATATCGAAAACTTCGTGGGGCGTCTGGGCGCCGGCAAGGTTGAAATCGAAGCTCGGCGGTTCGACGGTGCGATTCATGCATGGCCCGTGGCGTCGCTGTTCCTGTCCAGCACGAGGAGGAAGCGGCTGTACGGACTGCGGACTATAGTAGGGGAAATTAGAAAACGGTTCGACAAAGCACCGGCAGGCAAAGTAAAGTGGGATGGGAGGCTGTCAGATTAGATCAAGTTCAACAATGTAATCATGGTGACCAATAGACGGAAAGTCGGGAACCAGAGCGCTGGGGGCTCGGCTTCGTCATTTCCTGATCAGCTCAGATTTAAAGCTCACTAGTTTTTATCATCGCACAGCCAGGGGAAGAGAAGAAGGAAGAGGAGAGGAACATGGTTGATGTGGTTGGTTGAAAATGGGATCAAGGAAATGCTTGCTTACCGACGGTGCGATTCGGTGCCTGGTGCGGGTTCTGCATCGTCTCTAGGCAGCTCCAGGCAGCTTAGCGCCAGCCACGCACAGTTGAGCTTTTAGCTGGGACTGATTGGACACGTCCGCTTGGGTGAGATGAGATGATGCGACGAGGCTCGTCCGCATGCCAGGTTTGCGTCAAGACAGGCCAAGGGCGAGATGCGAGCCTGGCAATGGGCGGAGAGAATGCGCACATCCCTTGCGTGCCAGGAGAAGCGCCTTTTGACGATGGAAAGATATGGACAATCAAACAATATACAAGTAGCAGTAAGCAAAGCGCGCGGGCTGCCGGTAGGTCGAGGTATTGGACAGTAGCCATGACGTGAAGAGGTGCAAATGCAAATGCAAACGCGGTTGCATGACGACAAACAAGGCTGCGTGGTGAATGGGAAATGGAATGGGCGTGTCAGTGTCATCCAAGAGCCGCATCGACCCAACGCCACGCCCACGCCAGATGCGCTGCCACACGTCCTCAACCTCTTTGTCTGAAGGAGGGAAAAGGGCATTGGATTGGATCCAATATGCTGTGGTGAGGTGAGCCACAAATATTCGAGGCTGTTCAACCTTCATAGCGACACGCCCCCTCCCCTCCCCTCCTCTCTCAGACCCGTCATCAGCGGTGCTACCAGCCACGGCTCCAAGTCTCGTCCAAGGCAGTTCTCCGTTCTCGGTAGCTCAGCCTAGGGCGGGCGTCCAGCTGGCGTTGGTGTTGGTTACCTCGACCTCCCTCTTGTGTGCTCCGAGCAGTGCAGTTTGCGAATCGAACTCCTCGTGGCTGTCGCCCCCTCCCGATTTGGTGCAACTTGGCCATTAGCCCAGCAGGCCGAGCTCAGGCTCAATGCTAACGGATGCACATATAAACGCCCGGCCAGTCCCTGCTGTCGCTGCCAAAAAAAAAAAAAAATTGACCCCTCACACGAAGCCCCCAAGGCCGTATGCACATTCAATCTCATGCGCGCAAAGGGCCAAACGCCGCATCGCAGCCACCCCCATTTCCACTTTTGGTCCGCGGTGAGCGCTCCGTCACCGAAAGCCGTTCTGTGACATTTCGCTGTCCGGCCTTGGTGTAGCATCTCATTAGCTGTTGCCATATGACTGTATCGCCCCGGAATATTTCTCTCACTCTCACTCCTCTTGGTTGAAATCTTGCCGAGACGTCTGACTGCGCAAAGCCACTCGGCGTTTCACATCGCGCATCTGATTTCCCAAGAGAAATAAAGAAATAAATCACAACAAGACTTGCTTGGCAGGATCTTTCTAGACGCCTTCCCTTTCCCCACTAGCGAGAACGAAAACCGGGAGAGCGTTACCAAAACAAAGAGGGAAGAGAAGAGAAGGGGCTTTGGCAAGAACAAAAGGCGACTCAAAACCATCGACTGAGAACAAGCCGTCTTTTTCCTCATCAATAGCTAGATGTCTAGCTTTGAATAAAAGAACCCTTCTGATATAAGTTGGCTTCATCCCACCCTCACACCAACGTCGTCGCCTCCGCTTCCTGTCTGCCAGCGACCCGTCAGTTGAGTACTAAATGAAGGCATGCGACTTCGAAGAGTCAAGAGAGAGAAAAAGAGAAAGCGACAACGAGAACAAGTAATCGACCATCCATCCGTGCATTAGTCTGGGTTCTGCCCAGCCCCTGCTCAACCAACAGCGAAAAGGCATCGCCATCACCGTCGTTTATCCCCCCGCGAGTTCGGCATCAGCCCAGCATCAGCATAGCAACCTTGCTGCAGCGTGTCATTTCATTGGATTGACCGCTTTGCATTGAAAATCGGCTGCAGCCAGCACTAGCGCCGCCGCTGCAGAAAAAACGTCGCTGCAAGGGGAACGGATTTGGGGAAGAAACAGGAAAAAGAGACGAAGGTTCCCTGTCGGAGGAGAATCTGGTGCCCGGTCCATTGTTTCCCGGGCCACTGATTTGCGCAGGCCACTGCCCTGAGCAGGCGAGGTTGATGCACTAAAGCAGCGCTAAACAGCCGCTGGAAAAAAAAAAACAATGTCGGCCGAAGAAACGTCGAATTACGCGCCACGGTCGCCGGACCTGTCGTCGTTTTTCTCGGGCAGCCCCACCCAGGCCGCACCTCAGCAACTCCAAGAGTCAGCAAGCCACAGCCAGGCTGGATATAAAATACAGCCTCCCGCCGACCACTTTGGAGCCATACGAACCGACACTTCCTCCTACTACGTACCTCCCCCCTACGGCGCCTATCCACAGACCCCAGTAGCAACACCCACCGGCCAGCCTAAACACGAACCCTATTTCCCGCCGCCGACTCGACCTCAGCGAGCGCAAGGCTTCGAGGCTCTAAATCAAAACGCCGCACCTCCCGTATCGTACAGACCCGACGAACGGGGTTTCAGACCTTCGCTGCCTCCATTATCCACGTCGACCGACCCTTACCAATCTTTTGGAAGCTCTGGCCTTCCATCGTCCTCATCCTCAGATATGCCGCCACGAAAGGTAGTGGCGCCTCCGCCCCCTACCCCAGCCGTCGAGCCGTCTCCTGTCCGGACAAAATTCCCGACGGCCCGGATCAAGCGGATCATGCAAGCGGACGAGGAAGTAGGCAAAGTCGCTCAGCAAACGCCCATTGCTGTGGGTAAGGCTTTAGAGCTGTTTATGATCCAGCTCGTCACAAAGAGCGCAGATGTTGCCAAGGACAAGGGTTCTAAGAGAGTGACAGCGTCCATGTTGAAGCAGGTGGTGGAGGCCGACGAGCAGTGGGACTTTCTTAGAGAGATTGTCGGCCGCGTGGAGAATGAGAAGGATGGTAGCAAGTCCAAGGCCAAGGCCGAGAGCGAAACCGACGAAGAGATGGTGGAGGAGCCCAAGAAGCGAGGCAGAGGTGGCCGTCGTAAGAAGGTACAATGACCTTGAGCACGCATGCTTGATGACGGGTACGAAGATTGGGATGACTGGCGTTTACTGGCAAAAACCATACCATATTGTTATTTTCATACAACGGCGTTGGGGACGGACACATTCGGGGGGGTGGAACTCTAGATGGCCATGTAGTTGTGAGGCTCTCTATCTAGATGCGCACGACAACTACGTGAGGTGTCTTGGTGCTGTAACCATTTTTTCTTTTTTACCACCACATGTCCACTATTATAATAGCTTCCATCTTTCACTGCCTAGTAGTATTTTCCAGCTTAAGACGAAGAAGACAGAAATATGCATGCAGCGTGCATGTTGCAGTATCCTTACCGTAGTATACCCCCCTTTGCAAGGTTGGAGTTTCTGATGAAGCGGATGGCTTGTGACGGGTGAAGCCGCTGTGTTTCACAAGCTGGTTGCGACGGCGAAACGGAGCTGTCAATGATCCGTGTTGTATTGCGGCCCTCGAAATGTTTTTTTATCCACAACGGCGCCTCAATGGGGAATCCTTCTATGCCTGCTAATGCGCAAGGCAATTGGAACCCAAATCCTACGCGACGTACGAAATGCCGCCGTTTATGCACGTGTACAGTATGTTGCTGGTGGTGGTCCAGATCAGATGAGCTGCATTGCATTGGATGGGCTTGGGGTTTGGGCTCCTATGTGGTGCTAGATCGTGAGCGAGTAAGAGTTCAGGGGACGGTTTTGGCCAGCCTCCGCCGGGAGTGCGTGCAGCAGAGTCAGGTCAACTTTAGGTAGGTACTTGCTGCACATGGCATGCGCGTACAATTGAGTACATTGCGTGCGCATCCGCTTGACGGAGAACTGCTGCGCTCCGTATGACCACGAATCTGGGTTGCGAGATGCTTGCAAAGTTCAGTGGCTGCGGACAAATTTCCTTGCAATTCCAGTCGAGAGGCAGCTGGCTAGGATTTCGGAGGGCAAAGTTTCCTTACTCCGGGCTCCGAAAAGTCCATTTACCAATCTGTTTCACGGAATTAAGCAACCAGGCCAATCTATTGCAAGGGCTTTGAATTGTAAATCAGCCAGGTACCAGCAGTTTGATTTAATTTGATTGATTGATTGATTACATGTACATGATTCCAGCAATGTGTGGGCGGACTCTTCGTGTTCCCGCCCACAGCCAAACTCACCTACCAACTCGGGCTAAAAGTTGTCATACGGCAAACCCAGAGGAATTGAAACGGTGCCACCATTTCCAATAGACGCCTTTAAACACGCAGCTCCCCTGGCGGACCCCTAAAAAACAGCTGGAGGTGCCAAGTGCTACTACTAATGTAACTACTGGACCTATGTAGAATGTGGTAGCCGCCAGAAACGTCAGGCACTAAAGCGGTAACAAGTGGACAGGTCACTCACTCCTCCAATTGTGTTGCACCAAGTATGTGCGAGACCCAAACCAAATACTTGGACTTTGATTGATCTCCGCCTCGTCCGCCTGCCTCGACGCCAAGGCTTTTACTCTACTCAACTTAACTCTACTCTCCCCTCCCTCTTCGACTTTGATTCTTACATCTGCCCTGCTGCCAGTTGTATGCGCGCTGTTCCATACAAACAACGAGCTGGCTTCCGTCTCCAATCCCCCGCTTCGAGAGCCATGCGAGACCGGCTGAATCCTACTTCGCCTTCCGCCCTCATCTAGATGAGGCACCGCCATCGCAACCGCCAATTCGATCCTTCTCATCCCTCAGCGTCTTCTTGCTGCCTCGCGTGACCCAATGTCGTGGGACTTGCTGCAGCGATTCCTCGAATCCGACGTCTTCAATGCGAATCCCTTCCTCTCCGTCTCCTACCTATCGTAAGTAGCTGTCTTTCTTTGTCCTAGAGCTTCTACATAGCTCTAGCAGCTCAGCAGTAGCAAAGCCTCTATGTGTATAAGCTAACTCGTGCCCTTTGTTGTCTCGTAGCCGCTATGCCGACCATGTAGGCATTCACTATGTCCTGTGCAACAAGCTGCGACAGTTCCCCTACGAGGACATCGAGTTCTTCCTGCCGCAGTTATGCCACCTCATCATAAGCGTCGACAACGAGTCAATGGCTCTGGAGGAGTTCTTGTTGGATCTATGCGAGGAATCTGTAACCGCCGCATTGTTGGTACGTACTACGAAAAATACTATAGCCAAATAAGTCGCCGAGTGCGACATGAGAGGAAACGACACAAGGCTTGTTCGCGCCCACCGGAATGCTGACCTGGTTGCTTGCTACAGACGTTTTGGCTCTTCCAGACATATCTGCATGATTTGTCGTCAAATCCGCAGTCTAATGCCTTTCAGACATGTCGTCGAGTCTACAACAAGGTGCAGCACATCGTGTTTGGACTTGCAGACACTGCGCGGCACCACAAGATCAAGGAAAACGTCCTGCCCGTCACGGTGCTCTCCAGCTTCGTCCTTGCGAGTGTGGCCCTGCCAATGATACCGAGATGGGCCGGTCCCCTTGCAGTCGCGCAGGCCCGAAAGCCGCAGCCCATTACAGAGGATAATTCGGACGGAAGCGAAACCCCAAAGCCCACGGCAAAGGCTTCCTCGACAAAGCCCACGAGGGCAAACACCGTCACCAGTCCAATCTCGAAATCCCGGCGCGCCAAGGAGCCGTTATCCCCGAGCGCATCCGATAACAGCTTGGACAGCCGACCTTCAGCACGACGAGTTAATTCCCAAGCACCAGCCTCTCGTTCACCGTTGAACCCGGACTCGAAAAGACCGTCTGCCCTGGAGATGAAATCCCTGGAAGCGAGGCTCAGCACCGCATCTCTACCTCTACCATCCCCAAGAGGCCCATCCCGGCCAGCAACTCCCGTTTCTGCGGGGGTGAACCCACGGCCCACAGATGGCATCCACAGAAGGCATTCTCACCACTTCAAATCGGCTTTGGGCGCTACAAGCCTGTCACCAGCCCAGAAATCGCAGCTTCTGAGGCAACATTACTTCAGATCACAAACTCAATTCTTGTCCGCCCTTGAAGGCATCTCCAACCGACTGGTCGCTGTGCCGAAACCTGCCCGCATGAGTGCTCTGCGAGCTGAGTTGGCCCTGATTGGAAGAGACTTGCCAGCCGAGATCGATATCCCCATTATTTGCCCGCCGACGCTGATCGATGGGGCGCCGGGCAAGAGTCGCCATCATCGAATTGTTCGGCTCAATCCCGCCGAGGCAACGGTCCTGAACAGCGCTGAGAAGGTGCCATATTTACTAATGATCGAGGTGCTGAGAGAGGACTTTAACTTTGATCCAGAAGTCCCGGATAACCAGCGGCTGTTGACCAGTCTCCTTGGCGGCAGCGGGCCCTCAAAAAGATTGTTTGACCTCTCTTCAGAAATACCCAGGGTCGCTCAGGTCGTTCCACCTCCCGAGCCAATTATAGACAGCGTGTTCGAACCAACTTCTGGCGATTTGGGAAGCTCGCCACTCCTCAAGGCTTTCGATGACGAGCCTTCCTCCATCGGCTACCACTCAAAGCACTCTACTGACCAGCGATTCTCTAGCGGAGCAACCACCGCGTCTACAACACTAGATGCGATTACGCCGCGGACGTCAGGGCCGTATTCTTCTAGATCTCCCAGTCCTGGCTCTCGGCGGCGGATGACACTCAACATGGCTCGCGCCGACCAGCCAGATTTCTCAGCATTGGCTACGCACATGAGGACGGCGTCGCAGATGCTGGCTCAGCTCGAGGCCACGAGCGGCAAACGACCAAAACACGAAGTGGCTGCGATTAGAGCCAAGATCATTGCGAGCATGCAAAGCCTCGAGGAGCAGAGCTTCGACGCAGATGAGCACGGCCCTACGTTTGACACCATCATGGCCAAGGCCAGCACAGCCAGCGCCATACAGGCCATAGACCCGGATCTGGACGAAGAAGAGGCGGCACCAATTGATCCCAATATCAACGCTAGCGCGGGCAGGGAAAGGATGGAAAACGACATCAAGACGGGAGGCGTCCAGCGCCGCGGTGATCGCGACGACCCTAGTGCGGCTGTCTTTGGAGAAGCCTGGGAGGCCAAGAAGGAGCGAATTCGCAAGTCGTCGCCCTACGGATGGATGAAGAACTGGGATCTCGTGAGCGTCATTGTAAAGACGGGTGCCGATTTGCGGCAAGAGGCTTTCGCATGCCAGCTCATCAATGTCTGTCACAAGATTTGGGTGGATGCAAAGGTGGATGTCTGGGTCAAGTTGATGCGCATTCTCGTCACCGGAGAGTCGTCTGGCCTAATCGAAACGATCGCCAACGGTGTGTCCCTGCACTCGCTCAAGCGAAGTCTTACGCTCGCATCCATTGAGGCTGGAAATAACCCCCGGCATCGAATCGCTACGCTAAAGGACCACTTCATCAAGGCTTTTGGCCAGCCTGACAGCAAGCCCTACAAGGCTGGACTTGAGGCTTTCAAACGTTCATTAGCAGCGTACAGCATCATCTCCTACATCCTCCAGCTTAAAGACCGGCATAACGGCAACGTGCTGATTGACAGCGAGGGCCACATTATTCATATCGACTTTGGATTCATGCTTTCCAACTCTCCTGGATCGGTTGGGTTTGAGGCTGCGCCTTTTAAGCTCACACACGAATACGTAGAGGTCCTTGGAGGAGTGGGCTCACAAGACTATGACGATTACAAGAAGTTGTGTAAACAAGCTTTTCAGGGTAAGTTGATTCCATTTTGTAAATCAAAACAAGATATTTGGCAAATTCAGTCTAACGAACCTCTCTTAGCCCTCCGACGGTCAGCGGACTACATCATCGACCTAGTCGCCATGATGGGCCGGGACTCGAAAATGCCTTGCTTCGCCGTCGGCGTCACGCACGCCACGACGACGCTCCGCCAGCGCTTCCAGCTGCATCTCAGTGCCGACGAGGCGGAGAACTTTGTCGAGACGGACTTGATTGCCAAGTCGTACGGCAGCTATTACACACGACTGTGAGTTATATAGATCTCCCCTTTTTTCTGGCTTGAAAAGAAAAGAAAGACTAATGTGCTCAAAATTAGGTATGATACTTTCCAATATCGCACTCAGGGTATATACTAGGGGGGTGGTAAGTGTGTATGGGATTGCTGTCAACATTCGAATAAAAAGGGCGGTAGTTGGTCCATGACTGAAAGGAATGGACATGCAAAAAACTTGGAATATACTTGAGCTACATTTTAAGCACTTCTAGCTATACATATATCATATATGCGAACCGGCGTTGCTTTTTTGGAAGGGGGGGCGAAAATACAAAGCCTAGAAGGAGAGAGAAATATTACATATTCAACCCAGCCAGGTCATGAACAAATATTGACCCAATACTTTGATACTTATATATGTCTTCACGACATGCTTGAAACAAATTGAGTTAAAATGCAAAATAGCTGTTGACTATTTCTTGTGCCACATATGTATGTATTTACAACGCATGCTAGCCTTTGGGCTCCCAATTGTATCTGGAGTCGATATTTGCTCCATCGTCATTTCAAGTCCAGCCAAGTTGAGCGAGTCTCTCTCTCTCGTAACCTCCTGATTGGCCGTTCAGTTTCTTTTCTTCATCGATACTTGTGCAAAGTCCATGCGATCCGCAAACAAGAACTTGTTATCGTCTGGGCCAGGCTGACTTCCGCCGCGTTTTGTTTCCGTCCAGAAGAGCTTCTAACCCCAACGTCCTCCCTCCCTCTCAGCCTCCAGCCTCCGCATCCGCTCCTCGCCGTCCCCGTCGACAATGTCGTTGCGCCGGCTGCGTCGCCCCTTGCGGCCCCCGTCATCGGCATCGTCTCGGCTGCGTTTCGAGCCCGCCAGCCCCGCGAGCCCGGCCATGCGCTGGGCTTCTTTCAGCAGACGTTCGCGATTCCGCGCTTCTCTTTCCAGAGTATGCGCATCTTTCTGCGGGGCGGAACCGGCCCCGGTACCTCGAGGGCCCCCCTTGATGTCAAAGCCACGCGGGCCCGTTGGCGGGTCAAAGCCCTTGTCGCCGCTGGGAGTGGCAGTGCCATCAACCGAGTGCTTCCTACTGCCACTTCCGTGTCGGCTGCCGTAGTCTCGGTCTCGGTCTCGGTCCCTGTCCCGGTCACGATCTCGCTCTCGATCCCGATCTCGGTATCGGTCCTTGCGGTCCTTTTCCTTGCGGCCACTGCTGCTATCCTTGTCGCGCTCTCTCTCCTTGTCGTGACGTCTGGAGGCGTGCTCGTAGTCTCCCCGGTCCCGATGAGATGAGCGGTGGTTCGATCTTTGGCGATCATCCTCTTCGTCTCTGTACTTGTCCTTGCGCCGCTCATAGTCTCGGTCCTTCTCCTTATCTTTGCGGCTGCGGTGGCTGGAACGTTTGGCATCATCGGGAGAGGCCGATCTGGACCGTTCAACTGCTTTATCCTCCCTTAGCCGTTGAGACGACTGTTCGTCATCCTCGTCGTAGTAATGTCTTCTACTGCTCCGGTGTTTCTTCCGACGGTAAGAGTCATCTTTATCCTCCTCTCCTACAGACTCGGAAGGCTGACGCCGTTGTCGCCTGTGGGAGCCCCTATGTCCACGGCTGCGACTTGGGCTGCGGCTGCTGCGATCTAGGCTTCGGCTTCTACTACTTATTCTCGAGCCGGAGCGCTCTGGCTCTCTGCCTCGGTCGCGATCTACTCGGTCTCGCTCCCGGTCTCTCTCCTGAGCGCCATTGAGGTCCTCAGTTGCTCCCCCTCTATCACGTTTATCGTGATCTTTAGGCCGCTCTTTGCTGCGATCACGAAGGGGATCACGGTCTCGCACTTTGTCAAGGTTAGGGGTACTACTTCTAGAGCCCGGTTGAGTAGTTGGGTTCGACGGTGATGCCTGTGGCGGCTGCGATATGACGGCAGCAGGTTTTTGCACCGGCAAGCCACTATCTTCAACTTGAAAACCCCTGGCTCGCAGATTCAGCAGGCTAGTATTGGGCAATCCTTGACGCATGGCCTTGGGGCCCTTGGGGGCATTAATAGGTGCATCCGGCGCCGTCAAAATGGAGCGGATGGCCGCCACGCCATTTCGGTTCTGCATACTAAATCCGTCTGATTGGGCTGTCGACGGGCGCATGGTGCCGGCGGGAAAAGCTTCATTGCCTAGGGTCTCACGAGATGCAGCTTCGGAGGGATCTTGTTTAGACCCGTCAGTACCTTGGGCATCCGATGCCTTGGCCTGGCTTGCGCCTTCGTTGGCATTCTCGTCAGCCTGAGCACTTGCCGCCGTCGAATTCAGCTGCTGCCCAGCGTCACCTTGGCCTTGAAAGGCAGCTGCCCCTTGTCCTTGGTTGTACTGGGAATATTGGCCCTGGTCATGATAGTTCATGGCGCCGCCTTGTTGGTGGTAGCCACCCCGGCCATACCCCCCATAGAATCCGCGGCCGCGCCCACGGCCACGACCGTAGTTGTTGCGACGATAATCATTGAAGTGGCCATAATTACCTTGATTGTATCCTGTCTGGAATCCTGAGTTAAAATTCCCAAAGTCACCAGTTCCCATGCCTGGGCCATTTTGATTGTAATTATTTTGGTCGAAATTCCATGACTGCTGTGCACCGTTCCAGTTATCATTGGAGCCTTGTCCAAATCCTCCTCCAAAGCCCCCCATGCCGTTCATGCCCATGCCTTGAAAGCCTCCGTTCATGTACATGTTCTGCATCGGGTCCATGCCCATTCCCGGCATGCCTGCTGAGTGGTTAGTAACTTGGAACAGTGCTTCAAATGGGAAAGCCAGGACGGTGAGGAGCCTTACCCATCATAGGAAACCCACCAAAGGAATTGGGTCCCATTCCATTTTGCATGGCCATCATCATTTGCATTTGGTTGAAATCTCCACCAGGAAACATCATATTCTGTTGAAATCCACCATTCGCTGCATCAGATGCACCATATTGCTCTTGGTCGTTGCCGGTTTGGTCAGCACCATCCTCACCCTCAGCAACCGCGGTTTGCTCTTGACTGTTGGCCGTGCCATCGTCTTCATCTGCGGGGGCCTCGCTTTCCTGAGCTTCAGTAGCAGCAATCGGTTGCTCTTTCAAGGGCTCTTCCGTGCTATTTAGTGCCGTCTCCTGCTGCAGGCGATGCGATAGATTAGTATACTGATCGCGGGTTCGGTTGGCTGATCAACGGTAAAGCCCATACCTGTTTCTCCTCTTCGTGGCCAGTGGCTGGCTCATTAGCCTGCTGCGGCGCCGTATCTTGTGCAGGCGCTTCTCCACTGGCATCTACTGTCTTCTCGGCCGGCCCTTCTACAGAGGCTGAGGCTCCTTCGTCGGGTAGCAATGGTTTCGGTGCATCGACCGGTGTCGGAGGTGTAGAGTCATTGGATTCCTTTGGCCGAGATGCCTCTCGCTTCTTCTCCGCTGTGCGCAGGAATACTCTTATAGTAGTACGCAGCGACTTGTTGGGGTTACAATCCGCAGCGGATAACGGAGAATGCTCGCAAACGGGGCACGACTGGGGGAGGTTCGAGTGGCCTATCCACGATTAGAGCTGATCCCAAAGAGCCTTGGTCAACAACAGAGTTCGACCAAACGAACGTACATGTTTCGCAGATGGCCTGTTCACAACAAGGCAGCCGTAGGGCGTTGACAGCCAGCTTGCTGCAGTTGGCGCATCGTAGTTTGTGTGGGATATCGTCGGGAGCCAACGAGCTGCGTGCCCAGTCAGTATCTTGCATTGCACAGCGGGAACTCAACCAAGCGGAGAAAAAGAAGAAGAAGAAGAAAAACGTACTTGATCAGCTCAGCCTGAGCCTCGGAAATGGACAGGGCCATGTCGCCAGCACCAGGTCTATCTGCGCTTGACGACCATGAGGTTTCTAGAGAAAAGGCCCAAGGATCCCAGATGCAGATCGAAGAAGGTCCCGGAAGAAGCAGAGAAGGGCCACGTCACGGCGTGACCTCAATGAGCCGCGGCACCACAAATCATTCAGCACCGGGCCACAGTCGCAAGTCAGCAATCGGTCAACCCCTATGAACAAGTTCTGGTGCAAGATCTGAGATTGTGAGGAGTTTGACGCGCTTCGAAAAAAAGAAGTGGATCTGACAGCGGACGGCGAGTTACGACAAGCAGCCGCTAGCAGCGATCAGGGCGTCACGTGCCGGCCTGCTTCTCTGAGAAGCGCAACGAAGCCGGGCTGAGGTTACACTTTAATAGCAGCCTTAGGTTTAAGTACCAGAAAGGTCATTTATGTAGTAATTTAGGTGATAACATAATTGTAGATGTCTATTATGCTGCTTCGCTTTTACACAGCTTTTGCCTTTTTCTGAGAGACTTTGAGGGGCCAACAGGTGACCAATTAAGGTGGTCGAAATAGCCAATTGCAGCCTGAGCCTGGAGCCTCGGCGAATCAGTGTACGGCAAATATCAGCAAGTACATAAGATCTCAACATCACCAGTATTGAAAAGGCATTGGTATGATATGGAGGTCGACAAGGTAGCATCGGCCAAAGATGAGGATACATTTACACCTCAGAGGGACTGCCTAGTAATTTAATAGAGCACTTACAGCTCCTGGTCCTAATGCAATGCTACAGAAACACTGGCTCCCAGCTTGGCCACACCAAAAGTCAGACGTTGGCGAGGTACTATTGTAGCAGAAACTGGACGTCTAAATAATATGGAAAAGATATGGCGCACAAAACTATAACACGCGAATGACTCCTGGAACGCAAGACTCTGACTCCCGAATGACATGCCATAACAAATCCGACCTCATCTGACGGGTAGCGCAGCAGCGGTAGCAACCGACAACATGGTGCTTGTACCTTGTATAACAATTCAAACATCTCCCATCTAACAGGCACATCCATCCTTTGCTCCGGCATCCCTTGGTCCTGATAGGTTTACCCTCTGCTCGTCTCCAGCCCTGTTAGCCGTGCCCGCTGCGCCGGCTCCCCTAGCACTCTTGAGAGACGTCTCGGGGATCGCATTTGCAATAGCTGTGAAGACTTCGGTAACATTGTGGCCCGTCTTTGCACTCGTCTCGAAAAACAACAGGCTCTCCTCTTCAGCATACGACTGGGCTTCCTCTGTTGACACTTTGCGGGCATCGCCGTCTTCCCCGCCCTCGGCTTCCTCGCTTGCACCATTTGATTCGCCAGCCAAATCTAGCTTGTTTCCTACCAAGGCGATGACGATGCCGGGCGAGGCTTGTCGTTGGAGCTCGGCGACCCAGTGTCTGGCCTTGACGAGGGATGTGGGCTTGGTGATGTCGTAGACGACAAGGGCGGCCTGGGCGTTTCTGTAGTACATGGGCGCCAGAGAGGCAAATCGCTCTTGACCAGCGGTATCCCAGATCTCAAACTTGATGGTTCGGGTGGGCAGGTTGCATTTTTGCGTCAGGAACGCCGCTGCGAGGCACCGTTTAGCTGATGACGAGAGCGGGAGGGCTGGCGGGAGGGCCGGGGGAGGCATGGCTTACCACCAATAGTCGGCTCCTTGTTCTCTTGGAAGTCGTTGTTGACGAATCGCAAGACGAGGGACGACTGCGAGCACAAGTCAATAATGCTGTTCTACCACAGAGCAATCGAAAGTGACAGGCGAGGATTGGCGACCTTTCCGACTGCGGCTTCACCGAGGAGCACCAGCTTGACGCTGCTGCTGGGTTTGGGAGCTTCCGCCATCTTTACCGGCTCGTTTCGGCGGCGTCTGCTTGCGACTTTGGAGATACGGCAAAAGCGACTCCTCTTGGAGGTGCAGAAGAGTACAGATTTGCCAGGCGATGTGCGTGGGCTGGTGGATTATTGATTATTGCTGCCTCTCAGCTGCGGGCGAGTTCTTTGCATGTACGAGTACAGACACAGTGCTGCCAGTAATGCGCGAAGATGGCGCTGCTTCCAGCAAGCAAATTCCAGTGGGTACCAAAGTACCGGTTGCATGGCAAAGAGGCGCAACGATGACGAGGTCCCTGCGAACCAGCCTGCGCACCAGCCACCATTGCTGGGTACAAAGGGTGAGCTGCCTGAAAGGTAGAGAGTACTTATAGTAGCACGGCGACTACTTCGCCAAACTGAGTACTCTTTACCCTGTGCGGCAACCGCTTAAGAGTTCCGAGCTTTGCTGCGCCCTCGGCGGGGCAGCCTCGGCCAAACGTTACGCCTATGCCCGGCCACTCCCCGCCAAACTTTTTGGGCCTGATCTGCCGGCAGAAAAAAAAAGTTGGTATGGGACTAGTTTCTGCTGCAGGCGCGAATCTTGTTGAAGATTCAAGCAATTTTTGTTTTGCATTTACACCTCGTCGCCAGCGTCGACAACTCTGTGCAGATTCTCAATCCAACGGGAATTTGAGGATTGAGACAGTCGTCAAAATGGCCGGGCCACACGCGGCGGCATCAAAGGACAAGCCGTCCAATCCAAACAAACGAAAGCTCCTCGACGACAGCGACTCAGAATCAGATGATGGAGCAGCAATTGGAAGCTCAAGCTTCAAGGTGAATGAGGAATATGCACGCCGCTTCGAGCATAACAAGAAACGAGAAGAGAAGCAAAGATGTAGGTTCCAATTAGACTTTCCCATCCAATGCAAATGTGCTCTTCCCTCTAACATATACAAGTGGAAGAGAAGATCAAGAGGGAAGAGGAGAATGATGATTCATCTTCTACCGATGAGACAGAAGACGAAGATGGCTTCCTTGCAACCGAAGATCTAGACGCTCAAATCTCGGCCACGCTACAAGCCATTCGGAACAAAGACCCCCGTGTCTACGACAAGGATATTACTTTCTATCAGCCCGAAGACGAGAACGCCGAAGCAACGACCAAAGAGAAGAAGGAAAAGCCAGTTTTCCTTCGCGATTATCAGCGAGAGAAACTCTTGAGAGGCGACATTGGTGGCTCAGATGACGAAGAGGAGGCACCAAAGACATACCAGCAAGAGCAGGACGCAATTAAAAAGTCCCTTCTGTCCGAGATCGACGCCGCCAAGGGTGAAGACTCAGATGAGGATGACGAAGATGAGGACGGCTTCATTAAGCGGAAAGAGCCAGCACAGACAGATTCAAACGGTCTACACCCCTCTAGGGCAAAGGCCGTGAAGCTCTCCGAAGTCGATGTGAACAATGCAGACAGGGATCCTGAAACCTTCCTATCAAATTTCATGGCCGCTAGAGCTTGGGTGAATGAGGAAGGCTCAAGATGGGAGGCTTTTGAGTCCGACGACGGAGAAGAAGACAACCGGGCGGAAGAGTTCGAGCAGGCCTACAATCTGCGATTCGAGGATCCAGAAAAGAGCAATGAAATTCTAAAATCATATGCCAGAGACTTTGCGGCTGCACGATCCGTCAGACGAGAGGAAAAGACTGGCAGAAAGCGACAGAGAGAGCTTGAGCGTGAGAAGAAGGAGGCAGAGAAGGAGCAACTCCGTGAAGACAAGGCCCGGCTACGAAAACTGAAGCTTGAGGAAACCGAGGGCAAGCTTCGCAAGATTAAGCAGGCGGCCGGAGCGTTTGGCAAGGAGTTGACGGATGAGCAGTGGATGAAGTTCCTGGATGACGCTTGGGAGAACGATAAGTGGGAGGGTGAGATGAAGAAGTGGTTCGACGAGGGTTACTACGCCATCAACGAAGCCAATGTAGCTTCAGATGACGACGACGAGATGGATGTCGATGAGGAAGATGGTAGCAAGAAGAGCAAGAAGAAGGCCCCTAAGAAGCCCAAGTGGGACGACGACATCGATATCAACGACATTATCCCTGATTTCGAGGCCGGCGACGAAAAGCCAAAGATTGCTCTATCAGACGACGAAGCCCAAGATGGCGATGATGACGACGAAGACGAACCATCCGCCAAGAAGCTCAAGTCATCAGATCACAAAAAGGCCCGTCAAGAATCGCAGAAGAAGGCCCGTCAAGAACGCACAAAGCTCGAGGCCCTCGTCGACGCCAAGATGCACCTCACAGACCACGACGTGCTCAAGGGCGAAGGCTCCGGCGGCTTCCGGTACCGCGAGACCTCTCCACAGGCCTTTGGCCTGACGGCACGCGACATTTTGCTCGCGCCGTCAGACAAGGTGCTCAACGAGTTTGCCGGGCTGAAGAAGCTCGCCACGTTTCGTGACGTGGAGAAGAAGCGCAAGGATAGGAAGCACCTGGGCAAGAAGGCTCGTTTGCGCCAGTGGCGGAGGGACGTATTTGGCGGCGAGTTTGAGCACACGGGCCCGACGTATGGGTTTGAGCGGGTGGTTGTGAAGGAGGACGGCGAACAGGAGGAGGATCCGAAGGAGAAGAGGAGGCGGGAGAAGAAGAGCAAGTCAAAAGCTGCGGAGGGCGAGGGAGAGAGCAACATTATTGGCGATGTTGATGGGACGAGGAAGAAGAGGAAGCGGTCAAAGGGGAAGAAGGCCGCCAAGGGGGAGAGTGAAAGCTGATGAGCCTCCTTTTTTTCTTTTTTTCTTGATTATTATTTTTAACGCCTATGGGTGTGTTTGCGGCATGTGTACATTTTGTGAAGAAAAAGAAAGACATTATACTATGGCTTAGTTTTATAATAGTGTCATATATAGATGGGATTTAGATTTCTACTTGTTTTTTATGATACCATGCCCTTTGAGTATGAATCTCGTCGATGCTTCGGCTTTCGAGCCACCATCATATTTACATCCCCTTGTCACTCACCAGTTCTCTTCACATCGACACATATCACCAATCTAGAGAGGTGTAATGAACACATCATCATTTACATCAAACACACATACACACGCACGACTCAAAAAGTTCAAAATATAAAAAAGAATAATCATATCCTGTAAGAATAAACGTTAGGCATTTACATTGAATACACTTTCAGGCGAAAAGACACGCCCCAACTCCTTTCCCCCTCCCCCCCAAAATTCTCCTCTCATTCTCTCTCTCCCATCTTCAAAAGTCTCTCTCTCCGCACAACATCATCTCTCTCTCCCAAAAACGGTTCCCCCAACGGTTTTTGATTTCTCCTCAAACTCCGCCGCTTGAGCAAACGAGCAAGCAAAGGGAATTTCCAGCAGGAAACATTAAAGAAAAAACGACCCCATCGATCTTTCATCTATCGGTAAATCAAGAAAGAAAAAGTAATAAGCTCAAACAAAACACGTACACTCTTCCGGCTAGGAAAGAAAAATAATAAAAACAAAAAAGTTCATGGGGCGAAAGAGGAGCTTCCATCCCAGAAAAAAAGAATAATGCAGAATGCAGAGTCAACGCAGCATATCATCAAAAGTGGTGTATCAACCAACAGGTTCCAAGGCTTTTTTCTTGCTCTAAGGTGCTGATGCTTAGCTTGAGGGGACGAAAACTGTCATATGTGTCGCAAAGTTATGCCCAGGGAAGAAAAAAAAGCAGTCATGAACCGAATTCAAATGTGACGAGTCTTTTTCATCCCAAGAAATTATGCCTTAATTAACGGTTAAAAGGATAAGAAGGAGGTAGTGGCGAATTTGAGAAATGGACGGGACAAAGCACGAAGCCATAGCCCTCGTCTGTTCAAAATGCAAATGTGTGCGCCTCGAAGGCTTCGTAGTCGTAACAAGGTCAACTGCGCTCCTATGTAACAAAGTTCGTTTCGAAAATTATCCAACGCTAGAAGGAATTTAGGTGTGTATGATGATGCGGTGGAGAGAGAAGAAAGGAGGCTATGGCGTCAGTCAATCTCCTAAATTCGGCTGTGGCTGGCGCTGGTCCGACTTCTCTCATCCTCTTCCTCCATAACGTCGCTCAGTCGAGTAGGGTGATGATGCCGAGGCACCGCTTCCCATCCAGCATTCCCATAGCCCTGGCCGGAATAATCCTGAGGGTTCGAATAGGCACCGGTCCATTGGCTTTGCGGGGCGGATGTTGACGAGGGCATGTTCGCACCGCTGGGGTTTGTCGTGGCCGGGGTGTCGTAGTCTTCTGGATCCAAATCAGAACCTGTGTACGTTGAGGGCGGCGCAGCGAAGGGAATTCTAAGTCCGTCCCCGTCTAGGATGAAGTTTCCCTGCGCATCGATAAGGTACTCACCTTCGCTGTAACCGCCCTCGGAGCCAGCGCCTGCACGACGGCTCGGTTCTTCCTGGTGGCCAGATCGGTATTGTCCTTGTCCGGAGCTGCTGCTTCCTGCGGTGGTCTGTCCTTGGCCCTGGGCCTGCTGCTCAATGGAATAAGATGGTCGTTGATAATCAGACTGGTAGCTTCCTTGCTCCCTGGTGCTGCTGTGTCGACTGGGGCCGCCGCCATGGGTCATTGGCACTACCTGAACTCCGCCCACGACCGTGGGATGCCCTGACTGGAGAGACAGCGTCCTATCACGCTCCTCTTGTTCACGACGTCCAAGTTCCTCCCAAGCCCGGCGGGCTTCTTCCTTTGAGATGGCAAGCTCCTTTCTCATCTCCACCAGCTGCTTCTGAGTCTTGGACACTCCGCGCTCGTGCTCGACAGCATCGCGGATTGCTTGCTCACGGTCCCTCCTCTCCTTTTCGAGAGCTGCCTCCAGCATGGCATTCACCTCGTGGGCGCGCTCCAATTCGGATCTAGTTTCAAAGAACCACCTTTGAAATTTCCTCTCGGAGCTGGCTCGCAGGCGTTGGAGCTCCACTACGGCGTGAAAAAGGTTGGCGCCAGCCGCCGACAGATCCGTAACCTGTCGCGCCAGCTGCTGGCTCATGGGATCGCGATTGATGTCATCCTTGTTTTGCTCAAGCTTGCGGATCCAGTAGCTCGTCAGTCCCTCCCAGTGAGCAGACAACGTTTCCCATCGCTCAAAGGCATGGGGAAACGAGTTGCGTGGCTTGGTGGGATCGCTTGCCGCATCGCTGGCAAGTGTTCCAGGTGCAGGCTGCTGCGATGAGGAGCCCCCGGCTGGGAAAGCCTGGGGAGGAGAATGGTGCTGCTGGTTACCCGCCATCTGAGCCGGACGCTGCTGTGGTGGTAGGGTCTGGTTAGGCGCGACATTCGCTCGCGGAGCTTGTGACTGGTCTAGGTGTGAAGGATTAGTAGAATGCTGAGCTTCGGCATTAATGCCTTGGCCAGCAGCAACGCCAGCAGCGCGCCGCTCTGCATTGCGACGCTCCGTCTCCTGCTGCACTCGCGCCTCTTGTTCCGCACGGCTCTTCTCCAATGCCTGCTGCTCAACTTCAGCTCTCTGCCGTGCTTCCGCTCTCTGGCGCGCTTCTCTCGCTGCTCGCTCCTGCATGATCGCCCTAGGACCTTTAATGCCTGATGGCGAGCTCGTCGGCGCGGGAGCAGCGGCTGGCATGCGACCAGGGCCAAGGGCCGTGCCATTAGACGTGGCAGGAAGGCCACCAGTCATGAGATCAGACATGCTGGCAGTCTCTTCGATTTCGTCGGCTGTGAAGGGGCGAGGTTGACGGAGAGCCTCCTCTAAAGCGAAGAGGATTGCGTTGTGAGTATGCTTGGAAATACGAGGGACTCTGAGCTGAGGTCTTGCCGGTGGGTTCTGGATTCCCGCAGAGCCAGAGCGTTCGTGACGCGGCTCCTGGGTTTGAGGTCGCTGGCGCTTATCCTCGTTGGACTCGTCAAACAGCGACAACCCAAGCCCAGTTATAGACGATTCGGAGTCGTGAGAAAGCGATACAATGCTCGGGTAGAAGCCAGCCGAGGCGGCGGCGATGTGAACCCGACGCTCCGGTTGGTGATTGGGTACAGGTGCAGAGTCGAATTTCGGCGTGCGGCGAAGAGATTTGCGCTGTGAAGACGGGGTGGAGAGCCTGCTTGGAGGCTCTTGTGCAGTCTGCGACAGAGGATGTTGCTGCTGGCGTTGCGATGGTGGAGGCGTGTTCTCGTGGGTCGCGTAACGGTCGTTAGAAACGGGGGAAGGTCGTTGGGACAAGTCTGCGGCGCCTCCTAGCGTAGGGGGGAGGGAAGACAAGTTGAACGGGGTTGATCACCGCCAGGCTAACCGGCGGTGATGTTAGGAGGAGAGGGAGAAATCCAGAAGGGCGCGCGGTCGTTGATGGATGCCACTGCAGGGTTGAGATTCGGAGAGGAATTGGGTGCCGTAGCCAACAAGCCAAAGAGCCCTAGAAGCGAGCGCCTTCAGCAAGAGCAATGAAAAATTAAGGTATTGGAAGTAGTAAAAATTTGGTGCTATCCAGACTGTAACCAGCAATGAGGTGATTTGCGCCAAAAGAAACCCGAGAGGGGAGTATTGATAAGCGCAGACGCTAGGATTTTCGAGACAAAGTTGCGAGAGTCAAGGGTAAGAAGGCGGACGCGATATGCAAGCAGGTGAATCGTGCAGCGAAAGGCGGCAGAAGACCCAATTGCCCGCAGGAGTTGGGAAGAGGCTGGCTCAGCTCAAAGCAGAAGCAGAGCAGAGGCAGAGGCGCGAAAGAGCCAGGGCGGTGATGTCAAAAAAGCTGGTGGCAGGGGGAAACCGGCTGGAAAATGGAAAATGGGGGGCTGGAGTGCGCAAGCGCGGCACCGCACGTCTTTTCCGCGCAACTGAGTCTGGGATTCCGTAGCGTTTATAGTGGCCGGTCCCAGTGGCTCGTCAGCGCAAGAACAGGGGGGAACAAAGAGATTGAATTGATCCAGCTTGGTTTGGGGCCGGTGTCATCTGATGGGCTCGGTTGATGAATGGATGATTGATCGATTGAATAATTGAATGAATGGATGAATAGATGAGTGGAATGGAGAAACGAATGGACTGGTGGGCGAAATTGCAGCGGTTATTATTCCTTTTTCAGGCCCAACCCAATATCCAGAACTGGCGGTAAAAGCCCAGATGCCCTCTTCTCTCTCTCCTCGTCTGGCTCTGTTGACCGTTGCGACGGCCCAAGCGCAACCTGGATGCCTCCCGTGCTGGCCTCGGGCTCTTGGCCCAAGCAAGTTTCGATGCGCCAAAAAGGAAAAACAAAGAAGAAGAAGAAGAAACCAAGAGAAGGGGGTGCCCGGTGTCGTGTTGGGCGAGGCGGACGAGACGATGCGCTGGTGCTGGTCGACACCTGTTGTCTGTATATTGCAAAGCAACCACTTTCTCTCCTGTCCTCTTTTTTTTTCTTCCCCCTTGCTCGTTCCCCACGAGGTCACAGAAACGGCCAGCAAAGCTCAGTTGGTGGAGCTTCAGGCTGCAGGCTGGCGAGCTGGCACATGTTTGAGGCCCAATGCTGACTTTTTGTTTACAGCCGACACGGCATCTCGTCTCAGGGGATGCAGCGAGCGGATGTGCTGGATAGGAGGCTGCGGTTTCTGGAGGTAAGATGCGAGAGGTTCCAAGTCGAAGTCGACGTCGACGATGGAGGCGGAACACGATAAGATCAAATGCGATTCCGCACAGCCTCGGACCCAATGGAAAGGCAAGCACTTTGCATCACGGCCCCCATCCTGGCGGACTCTCCTCCGGCGTACCCAACAGGTCGCTCCGTCAGAGCATGTACATGCGCCCTCCGCGCGGGCGTCATGGCTGCATCGTGTATCGTCCCAGCTACGGCGACCTGTCTGCAACCCGCAGCTGAGACCTACAGCTCCAGAACAGCGCTGGATCAACCTCCACAAGGTCCCAGCTAAGCAGAATCTGCTAGCACTCAAGCTAGCACCAGCTGAGGGATCCATGGATGGCTTCGGTGGGCCGGGGAAGGCGATGCGAATCGCCGAGATGGGATCTATTGGGGGGGCCAGGGCCATCCCTGATTCGAACGTCTCGGGCTGGCTCTTGGGCAACTTTGTCTGCTAACCGTAGCCATTGACTCGGGTCTCTCTCTCTCCCTTGTGGACTCGTAGTATCAGGTTATCAGGTATCAGCGTGTCCTATGCATGATGCATGCATTGTACCTTGCTTCATGCAAGTGAAGTGCGTCGACAGTGACAATGACAAGGCAAGGCAACAAAGGACAAGACGGCACAAACGGGCATCAACTCACCGCCCAAGGCAGACTCAAACCAAGATACAGCAGATGGGATGGTTGACGACAGCAACAGCTTGTCAGTGCCAGCAATCCCCCGATCTCCCGCTAAACGAGGCTGATCTTGTCAGGTTGGCACCTTAATGGCTAGTTCCGCCACGTCGCAAGCGCCACGTCTGTCTGTACCAAATCAGTACCTGTCACCCTTACGCCCAGACACAGCCTGAGACAAGTACCAGGCGCGTACCACTCACACAACACCGCATAATGCAAATCACCCCAAGATGCCCAAGAAATCAGGCTCTTTGAACTCTCAACGTCATGAATCTTCATCATCTCGAGGCTGTACAACTCACCGTGAGGCGTTACGCCTCCCGTATATGCGCGCCTCTGCGTGTGTTGCACAGCTTCTGCGTGTGTTGCACAGCTTCTGCTTCTGCTTCTGCTTCTGCTTCTGCTTCTGCTTCTGCTTCTTCCACAGCCCAATATGCCGCTCCGTCCGTAGCACATGGCGCCACCTCCAGTCGTCTTAACGGTCACGAGTAGAACATTGCGTGTAATCCTGTAATCAATTCTGTTTCATTTGTCTCTCGGCTTCGTCGAATAAAGAGGCCAATTCATCTTCTTTGCAATTCAATTCGCTGCCATTGCGGAAATTGTGCCACGGCTCGTGTATCAAATCCTGTCTAGCAGCGGCGCGGCACGGCTCGGACTCGGGACCACCTAAAACAAGTTGATGTCCGAAGCTTCACGGCGGCGAGCCAATCGCTGGCAAGCACATCTTGTCCGGTGCCCAGCGGTCTGGGTTCGAGCATCACCTAGACGACGTCACGTTTGCCGTAATTAGATGTGTTTATGCAGCATTGTGGATTTGGTGGTGGAGTGTGTACTTGTTCTGCACAATGTGGTAATGGATGTTGTCATGATACAGTAGCTGGGACCTGCTTTCGTCGAGCCATGTTTGCCACCATTGGACCTACCCACATGTGTGTGGACGTGAGGATGACCAAGTATAACGACAATGGAGAGAAAATGAGCCGGAAGCTTGAACTCTCCCAAGAAAACGCAATGAAATGCGTGCCATCATGCAAAATCTGGAGCATCGTCTATGCCTGTAGGGTAGGGCCTATATATGTTATACGGAGGGCTTCGTACGAGGATGCGTAATGCCAGGCAAAGAGGCCTCATGGGACCGGGGAAAAGATCAGAAAGAGTTTGTCACAATTATTGACTTTTATTTGGATCTACAGTCGTCATTGGCGTGCCTCTGGTGGTGACATGTCCTTCACAAGTATGTCACGAGTACACCGTGGCTAGATACTAAAGTGTATTCTGTATTAGATATCGACACAACTTTCGCACACGATCCAGGAAAAGATGGTTCTCAAAGTTATAGCTACGGCGGTATAGCATAGCAGCGTTCAGCAACATTCACTATTACACTGCGTTAGAATTTCCTCCATACGAGGCATCACCGCCCCGTATTGCCGTACTATGTGATACAGAGCGTGTTGAGTCGAATGCCATACATGTCTCTATCTTTATCTCTTCCCTCTTCACATGCAATACAAACGTAGTTCTCGCGGTTCCCTTTATCAGTGCAATTCCTGTGACGTGTTCAGCAACAGAAATCTCAATCTCAGTCGCGAGAATCTATGCCAGCCATCGTATATCGCGTCTGGAGAGATCCTTACGCGAATGCGCGGATTCTTCCACTTATATACGTATTCATTTACGGCTTCTTATACATGCCTATATATACGTATTCTTTTGTGTCTCCCCAGGAATTATGAAGCTCTGTTCACCATGGAGCGTAGCCATGGATACCAACTTTTGCATTCTTCAGAGCCAACCTTTCACACGGCATGCACCATGTTCTTGCGCCACGTGTAGATGGCCCGATTGCCTGTAGTACAGACACACCAGGTCTGAATAGTAGAACCTTGTGTTGCCCAATAGAGTGACAGAGAACTGAACCAATTGGTAAGAAATATACAGGCGTGGAGTCTCTTGCTGAGATTTTGACGGTAGTTGCGGCAAGAGAATCTCAAATTCAACGCAGGATATGTACATATATGTGGCTTTCATCGTATCTACACATACTCATAGGCGACTCCGTCCATATACAGCTTCTCTAGAACTGCATTCACAATGAGATGCGATGAGAAGAAGAAAAAATGAAAATTCTCTGCAGTTCATCATTTGGAGGCAGCCAATACTAGAAACACATCTTGAGCCTACTCGAATAGCCAGCCCTCCATTCTCCGCGGCATCCACGGAAGCAATCCGGGCCCTGATCCAAGTCTCACACAAATGTCTACTTGTGCATGTCTCAGTTTGGGCTATCTAGTCTCTCAACCCCCCTACCCTTGTCAAGAGGATCCGATCGACCGGGGATAACGAACTAAGCTCGTCCCCGATCAGACGGCAGGTTGGGAAAAGGGCGAGAAGTTGGTTTAAAAAACTGACAGACAGGGATTCCCCCCTCATTGGGAGGCAGGGTCTGGCTACTCCAAGACTACATACAGTAATGGATATGTTTAAGTTCGTGAAGTGTTCTAGTTTTAGTCGTGCTGTATCCATTACTTCTCGCACTTTGGTAGTAGTCGTGTTTAGATACAGCTACTTCACATATGCAGGGACATGTTGTAGGTCTATGTGGCCCTTTTTCTCGTATATGTAGCTTTGTTTGCTATCCACTCGTACCTACATATCGCCACTAACTCAGGACTGAGACGCGCCCGTGTACTTTTGCTAGGCGGCAGTTTGCCTGGTCTTTGCACAGCTCAGTTGCCCAGTGAGGACGCGGTAGCGCGACGGCGACACCGTCAATGGTTCTCTTTTTCTCTCATTCTAGCTGAGAGTTCCGATCTGAAGCTGGTGTCAGACCGTGGACGTGCCGATCTCTCGATGGTCGGAATTTTCTCAATGAGGGCACCTTGATGGGCACTAGTAGAGAGAAGGGAGCTGCTATATCTGCTTAATGTTACACACAATTGCCTCTTATATAGTCTGACTAAGATGGACTCGTCTTTACGATGTATCTATATGCAGTTGTTTCCAGATAGAATTCGACATCATCTCACTTCATATATATGATATATTACAGATATTATATCGTGGTGTTATCAAACTTGAAGAAGAAACGCGTTGTATACTGACAAACCAACGCGTATCTACAAAGACCATCTCGCGGCCCATGCTCTCCCCTCGTAACAAACTCCAAACTCCAAACCATGTTCCCATGCAGAAAATATCCATCCCTCATGTTTGCCCACTGCAACGCCTCCGCCCCTTCGCCAAGCCCCCAGCCAGAATGCAAACCAGTACCCGCAAACCTTTCCCCCCAGAGAGCCCTGCAGAGGCAGCCCAAGTCAAGTAGTCTGAATATTTCTCTCCATCCCTAGAAGGAGAGGGCACAAATACGCCCAGCACAGGCCCCTCAAACTCAATGTTTGCCGGGGGTGTTCGAGAGCAAAGGAATGCTTCCCGTGTCAAGGGCAGCGCGCGGCTCCTCCGTTCGCCCCAACTCAGACATTTGCGACGCCACGAACTTTCTCAGAAGAACTTCTCTGACCAAGAAGAGCAAAAGTAGAGCAAGGGGGGTGAGTGTACATGTATTGTGCCCCGCAGGAGAATATGTCTCATCTGATCGAGAAAAGCGTCTGCTATGCATGTCTTGTTTTGTTTATCTTCACCTGTGCAGTCTGTTTATGTAGCTTTATTGAGTAGTATTTGTCTTTTCCTTTCCTTCACAGACTATTTGTATATCATGCCTGCCTCCTTGCTCCCCGACCCTCCCTCTCACGGAAAGTCTCAGTACGCAAGACTTGTGCTCTTTCAATCACCACAAAAAAAGCATTGACGAAGAAAAGGAAAAGGAAACCCCCAATTGGAGAGAGAAACCCTTAGACAAGCATTGAAACCACCACAAACCCCCCAAAGAAAGAGCGTGTCATGGAGCGAACCAGCAAACTCGCCCAGCTCACCCTCGTATCGAAATATTACCCCGTGGCAAACTACTCGTACCCTCGCAGCGAGGGTTACGCCCGCACTCCCTACAACAGCAGGAGATGCTCGAATGAGTCCGAGGATAAGAGGACGTCGCTTGCCTTCTCACAGGCAAGTGCAATGGCGAGTTCATGTCCTTTTATGCTGTCACCGCCGCTGCCAAGCCTGATTGACGACCGCACCGACTCCGAGGCTTCGGCAGACGACGACGATATTCGGTATCACGCGCATGGGGATGAGCTTTGGGACAGCTTTCTGGAATCTGGACTTTACATTCACGACAATCTTGAGATCAGAACCGCCACAATGGCTTCTATTACTGCGCCAGAGTGCGTTCCTCCTATGGTTCCACAGAAGGACTATCCTGCCTTGATTGCCTCGCCTCATCAGGTCAGGAGAAGGCCTCTGCCTCAGGAGCAACGTTCTCAGGAGTCCTCGTGGCCGCTCTCTGATAGCCCGCCAAGAAGAAGGCCGTCGCCAATATATTCAGCATTCCCCAAGATAGTGTCAATACCATCCGGCCAATGCTCAAGACAGAGTTCGACCTCTCAACTCTCCACTGTCTGCTCAACGGACGCTCCTTGTGCTCCTAAAGACGCTCCTCCTCTCCCCCCATGGCCTTCTGGCTCGTATCCCCGTTCAGCAAGTCCTCATCCAAGGGCCTTTTCTCCCGCCACCTTCATGGTACTCCAACGCCCAAACAGCTCTCACGGCTCACGGCCAAACACTCCCCTGGACTACTACTACCCTCCTCCTCCCTCTCCTCCACCGACCGCACCGCTACCAGCTCTACCGCCACTCTCCTCACGGCCTCCTCATCCATCCACTCTCACACCTCGATCCTCCAATCTCAGCCACGTCGAGCCTACTCCTACAACCACTCAGACCCTCCGCCCCTATAAATCAACCACACAACTGCGCCCTCCGCCTCCCCCGGAGCCGCTCCCCATCTCCGTCTTCGAATACGATACAGACTCAGACTGTGACGACGATGACGACGAGAGCAGCTCCTCAGGATCACCAACTCTGTCATTTTTCCGCTTCCACAGACGGAGTCAGAGCCCAAACACAGCCGAGGGCATCCTCGCCCGCCGTCGCGGATCAGCTTCCAAAACCTCCGTCCAGCAATCCTTCGTCGACGCCGCTACTGTCGCAAAGGACCGCCGGCGACGAAAGAGGACAAATACCATGGAGAGCCTAGGGAAGCAATCCGATGTGCTAAGTAGGATGCTTGGCCGTCGGAGTCGCTAGCAATGCTGCAGCTTTTCGGGGTTTCTTCTTTTTCTCTTTCTGCTTTCTACCATCTCGTTTTGCATCCCGGCCCAGGGGATTGGGCCAACTTGAACCACATTCATTTATTCGCTATTCACACGTCACTCTTTTTACTACGAAGCAAGCGGACCTTGGCCACTCATTATGATTTGCTTTTACACATGACTACTACGCATTGATTTTACATTGTATTAAGGAATTGGAGTTTATCACGGCAGCATGGGAAGGAGTATTAGGTATTTAGGGGAGTTAACCAATGGCCAATGAGGCCTCAATGAGATTTAATTGTATAATTTTTTTTCCCTGTACAACCAGGTTGTCAAGATCAGAATACCATGAGTGAAACACTGAGAGCATTCCAAAGGGTTCGACAGTCGAGAAAATGCGATGTCCTAGCTATGGCACACCTGTGTTGCCCGGGCACCACAATAAAGAAAGGTTTAGGTTTGAAACATGTTGTCAATGAAACGAAAAATCTTCAGCCACATCAAACTGGTATCATTTTTGCATTACATCGTGTGTCGTCTTCCAACCATCTTTAACCACCGTGCATTCCACATTATATACTCATCATTCATATCACCCATCGCATCTCATATACCCCTTCCTGTACATATCGTGAATGTCAAACTTTAATCGCTCCCAACTCCATCCGCATGCTAAGGCCATGCCATCAATACCAAAAAACAAAAACGCCATGCTCATTTTGTCTGCACTCTTAATAAGAAGGAAAGGTGAAAAAAAGGGGGAAACATAAAAGCAAATCATTAAACCATAGATCTTGAAGATCTTGGCATCTTTTCCGAGAAATCGACCATGCGTCTAATACTTGCCCGGTTCGCGTCTTTTCCTAGGACAGGGCCAAAGAACCACGAACTCTCATCCCGGGAGTCGTCACGTCCGACACCTAGTCGGTTTTCAAGATCACTCCGCCCTCGAACAGATCGAAACGCTGCATCTTGTGTGAGCTCTTCAGCAGAGCAGAGACTGATAATTCCAGCGATCGAGGTGACGGGCCGGGGGAGTAGGAATTGGCGCCGGTGGGGCACCATCAAAGCGTATCCGCCCACATATAAGAAGAGGAATGCCAACAGGACGCCAAAGACTGGCATGCTGGGATACATTCGCACCGTCCTATCAGGAGCTGTTAAAGCCATCAGGAGCCCGCCTCCCAAAACGGGGATGAAAATAAACAATGTTGCCAGCAGAGATACGCCTGCCACTCTCCAGTGCCCATTTCCCAATGCTCTCCATGTCGCCTGTAGGGGGAGACAGGCCGCGTAGTCTGCCAAAAGCGATCTCTGAGCCGGAGAACCGTCCACATCGTGTAAGTCAGCCCATGGTTGGAGGATGCGCAGTGACTGATCGACGATTTGAAACTGCAAAAAGAGAATCATGCCAGCAAGGGCCGGCACGAAACTGAAGACAAAATCGGCTGGCGAAAAGGCATTGTGATCAGGCCTTGCACTTAGCATCGGCAAAAAGCCTGACTCCAGCCGGGTCTGCGGCAAGAAAGAAACAACAACCAGAGCTACCAGCAGAACAAAAGTGACTGCTACAGAAAAGATAAGTGGACCATCACGAAGATACAGTGGCAAATATCTCCCGAAAGTGTTGTCGATCAAAAGATGAGGTGTCGCCCCTTTCAAGTCGATTGGCGCATCGTTGCTAGCCTTCTTTCCCATCGCACCGGGTGACCCCAAGTCCTGGACAGGCGACGCTCCAATGGTGTACCAAATGCCTCCAGTGGTCGCATCTTCGGCTTTCCAGTACCCCAGTCGATCAAACCATCTCTCGCGCAATTGCCCTTTAAACACTTTGGTGTCCTCGGCAAGGTCATCTCGTCTGTAGCTAGACATGATGTTGCTGCGGTTCAACAGGGGCAAAAGATCTCCGATCGACCGAATGTCCCAGGAAAGGCCTGTCCATTGCACGAGCCAATACACCATTAGATTAATTGTTGCCAGCAACAGAACACCATACAGGCCAACAAGCGCCCATACAACTGGTTGAACAGGAGCCCAAATCCACTTTTCGTGGACAAGAACACACGTGAAAGCTGCGCTTTCTAAGGGGATCGTGAATATAGCCAGCCACGTTGCAACATCAAAAATCTTAAACTGCCATGGCCCAATGAACTGGGGTAGCAAAAAGGTGGTAGGATATAACCTCTGAAATTGAGCCATACATCTGATTCGTGGATTCTCGCTAGCCATCGCAGTAAAAGGCAGAATTCGCAAAGAGGCTATTACGACGTTTTGGGCGTAAATAAAAATAACAGCACCCAATAGCTGTGGCAATATGCGGAACAAAAAGTATTGGCCCGAGTAGATGCTACCGGGATATGGTGTCAAGCCAGAATGCGCGTAGGAGTACCTGGCTGAGAATATGAGAGCTGCCATCATAAGGAGAATTAGTATAGCCAAGATTGCCATTGAGAATGCCCGTAGAATCCGCGGTTTGAAGTTGAGGGACTGAAGAGTTCTGCCGTGAGGGTCGAGATCTTTTTGCATGTTTTTGGATACAGGAATCCATCGTGATGTACTTGCCCCAGTGGGGTCAAACGAGGCCGTGCTGCGTCGTGGAAGTTGCCCAGGGGTGGGAGGCCCCCTCTGAGGGAGAGGCTCTGGTCGGAGGTCAATATCGTCCCTCGCTAATCGATCTTGATGAATTGGCGATTTGTATGCTGCGGATTCATCAAATCCGCGTAGTGGCTCATACCGTTCGGAATATCCATCAGACGAGCTAGACACGAGATGCGACGGAATCGATATGCTCTGACCGCCTACTAGTGCTTGCAGGGCGTATTGGATGTACGGTGTGTCGTCAATTCCAGGAGTAACTTTGCCCGCTGCCAGAGCCAATTCATCTTTGATGTTAGGCATGCGGGAAGCGTTATCCGCAGCGAACATTGCTAACTGAGCCTCGTCGAAACGTACTATGGGGTCCTCTTCTGGCTCAATGGCATGGTATCCCGCAGGCTGTACGGGCGGCTTTGCGTACGAAGAGTCTGACTTGTGTAACTCGGAAGAGCGTGACTTTATTATTCTCAGGGGAGCTACTTCTACATCATCAGATGCATCGTTGATTTGCGGGTTGGATCGGCGGTTAGAGCGTCGGCTTTTCGAGGAGGCGCGCTTCGATCGTCCGCTTTGGCGTTTTTGGCGTGTCGAAGGAGAGGCTTCGCCGTCGGGGACGGGCTGATATCGACTGCTATTTGACTGCCGCCAGCCTAGATGGGAGAAGGAATGTTAGCGAGTGCGCTGCAAGTCCATAACGCTGCGCCCACGTACGAGGAGGCTCTGCATGGTCACGATCATTGTCTTGGTAACTCATTCTTGCTGCGCTCGACGCAGGCAAACTGCACTAAAAGAGAGTTTGGCCAATTGCTTGTGCAGGACACAACGCAAGATAGAGGAAAAGATGTACGGTGTGGGATGGGTTCTCAGGTGTATGGCTAGTTTTAAAAAATGGCTGGGGGATATCTGACGCAGGAGGGTGTCCCAGCCACCGAAAGATGCATGAAGCGCCGTAGCGCACGGGAAGCTGTCCGATGGGGCCGCATAGGGAGCCTTGCAGGCCGAAACAGCACGACATTGGATGACCCGCAACTGACCTTGAAGATAGACAGCAGAAATAATGTATAGCAGCTACCAAGACGAGTTCCGAGCTTTAACAATAGACCACGATATGCTTGATTTCTTGTCAATCTACTCAGCGATGATCGCCTCTATCTTGCGTCGCACGAGATCGGGCTTGTCGAGTCGGGCTTCGGTAGTGAAGCTCTAGCAAACGGGTGGCGCAGACAGCCGCCGGAGGCCCGCAAAATCGGGTGGCTGGGGGGCAGGGGTCCGGAAAGCTGAAGCTGACTTGGAAGTTTGAAGCGCCAATGAAGGCTTTTGACGAGCAGATGAGGATAGGATAGGATAGAATAGCACGGAGTATAATGCCTGGATGATGACGAGCATAAATTTGTGAGACAGAGGAGATTCGCTGATTTAAGCAGGGCAGCACAACTGCATCTGGCGGGGGGCTCTTGCCAACGCATTCACTTTACTCAGCTGGCGATGAGTTGGCTGCGGCCCACTTTAAGGTGATATCAGCCCAATCATGAGCGAGATACTTGTAAATGGCTGTCTCATTGGGTGCGTGGGTGTTGGATCACGTGAACTTGCACAGAGCACTCTGTAGCCATTGTTGAACATCGCTGGTACTAACAGTTGCGGTCACTTGCGAGGTGGAATATGTTGAAGATTGTGGGGGTGTAGCGTATGAAGCCGAAATAAACATGCATTTTTCAGCCTCAGGAAGGCAGGCACTCAGAGAGTATTTGTTTGTCCATATTCTGACATGATCAAGTGCTGTGAGGACTGATCATTGTGACTCTCAATGGCAAGTATCTTCTCTGCTCTACGTAGCACCACCGTTAAATCTGTTTCATGTCCTACAATCTCACCATACGATACCTAGTGAACGTTATAGAAAGCACAGATCAAGCTTCTTGGACGAATCCACCCAAGCCATCTCTGCCAAGCGGAAACGCGTATCTCAACTTCTTGAATACAGGGTATTGTCCATCGTCTCAAAGCCTGTATTACGTACTCCACCACTCGCCCAATGAACAGCCTGCAAACCACTTAGTAAGCTCCCGTCGAGCGACAAGCAAAAGCGGAGCATCTCCGTACCTTGGCGATCTTAGCAGTATCGAAGAACAAGGTTGAATCTACAATTGCGACGGCTCCAGTCTTTAATTTCCAATCAATTGTTTTATAAGTTCTCGAAGCATGTTCGGCAAAACGGACGGCACAATTTCGTCCAATGTTGTGTCTTCTTGGCCAATTTTTCTCTTCCCTCGGCAGAGTAGACAAATACTACCGGCCAAGCCATTAGAAAGGCTAGTGTAATCCTTTGTTGATGAATTTTAGCGCGCTGAATTTGCTTACCTGCTGAGCAAAGCTTTAGTAATGAGGCAAATGACGAAACTTTAACACAGGCGGTATTGATTGATACAACTTTCCTATTGTGTCAGCTTTAGAAATTTATCGCCAATATGCTAACGTATATCTTGGAGCGTTCTTTTCGAACCTTTTTCGTTCTGGAGAATTCTGTAGTTTTCGTTCCCCATTGAATATCCAGCATAAATGAGTCGCTTCTCGCTGCTCTTTGCAATTCTTGTTGCTTCAATTTCCACACTCATCTACATCTTACCTGTTGAGCAATACACCTCAGCATACTACAAAGCCATAAACATATTCACCAGCAACACATCTACACCAGATATAAACACACCGGCCACATCTCCCGAGCTATCTACGCCCGGAAACGCCACAATGTCAATTCTCCGACAGGCCAAGATCATCCCTCATCTATCTTCGAGCAGGGGTCACAACAACCTAGGATGGCTGGACACTTACCACAGCTTTTCCTTTGCCGATTGGCACGATCCCAGATACACTCACTTTGGAGCCCTACGAGTCTTGAATGAAGATAGGGTGAAGCCCAACACGGGATTCCCCACCCACCCTCATCGAGACTTTGAAATCTTCAGCTACATCTTATCCGGAGAGTTGACGCATCGCGATTCTATGCTCGCCAAGGGCAAGGAGGGTGGTCAATCCGATAAATTCTTCCGGATGCACCGTGGAGACGTGCAATTCACTACAGGCGGCACGGGTATTGCCCACTCTGAATTCAACGAGCACAACAAGGACACGGTCCACTTTCTTCAGATCTGGGCGATTCCCTGGAAGAGGGGCCTGACTCCTCGATATCACACTCGCAATTTCCCAGAGGAGGCCAAGCGAGAGGGCTTTGTTAAGATTCTCAGCCCGCTAAAGGCTGGCGAGGATGCTACCTTTCAAGAGGAAAAGGAAGCAGAGCCCACTATCCCAGAAACAATCCCCATTCACGCAGATCTCGTCATGGGCGCTGGCATCATCGCACCGGACGGCAAGTTTGAGTGGACAGTTGGAGGCGGCGCGGGCCAAAAGACACAGCGCAAGGTCTATATCCACCTGCCAATGCTAAAGGGCGGAAAGGCCAAGATCCGGCTCGATGGGCGAGAGGACGCAGAGCTTTCCGAAGGAGACGGCGCATTTGTCGATGGAGTTCAGATTGGAGACAGGTTAATAGTGGAGAGCATTGGAGAGGCCGAAGCCGAGGTGGTTGTGCTTGACACGGCTTGAGCAGACACGTATGCCAGTTAGGTTGTTATAAGAGAATCTTGATCGTACTGTACATAGCATTTACTATAGACCAATTTAGCATGACACATTGGAAATAAAAGGCCCGTATGAGTCAAACCAAAAAGCGGCAGAGAAGGCTAATAAATTGCGTGTTGTTCAAAGAGGCAACGGCCGAGCAGAAAGCAGTGCGTGGGCCCCTCCGAGTTTGGGCGTGAACAGTTTTTCCATGCCAGGGTCCCCTGTCTACTAGATCCGGTGGTGTGCCTTGGCGACGCAGGCACACAGACTCGGCAGGTTGATGGATGCGCGCCTGTTGAGGCGCAATTTTGTTTTGCATGCAGCTGTAAGGGGAGCGTTTGAGTGAATTGCCAACTGTTGATGTCGTTGATGCTGGCGTTGATGCCGATGTTGATGCTACTGCGGAGTACCTGGTATCTTCATAGCTCATAGTCTCATTGTAGTCCACTGTACGGAGTAGATAACCGAGCATTGACTCGTGACGTAAAGAAGCAGCAAGAAACAGGATCAAGAGCAGCTACGGGCTTCTCCGTGTGTCTTTAGTCCCTTATGCATAATAGGACCTTTATCGTCCTAAGGAGATGACATACTGCTTTTGGCGTGGCGCCATCATGTCACAGTAAGATAAGGTACGATACGAGTGCTTATATGCTTGTACACAGCCTTAGTAATAAACCTGGGGCGAAATAAACGGTTCCTCTTCTGGCTCAACGTTACTTGTGCCCTCGCTCTTCGTCTCAAAGGCTGGGAAATACAATACTCCGCTTCACTCGGATTCGGACCTCCGCCTACCAACAGCAACGCCCAAAGTAGAAGTGGCCGACTGAAATGAAGCCCACTTCCAAAGTACCATGCGTGAACGGCAATACTCTGACGGGACAGGAGTCGTATATGGCTGTACTGTATCCATGCTTGAAACTTACTCGCATGCCCTGCACACATACTCGGACAGTGCTGTATTCGTACAGCTTCTGCAAGGCTGAGGCATGCACGCACGCAGACAAACGAGATTCTGGGCAGTCAGTGCAGAATCTTCCTCTGCCGCCCCCCGCACACGTGGGCGTGGGAGCGTGTGCTCATGATAGGAAAATTCCACGACAATCCGGCTGAAATCCGAACTCAGGTTGCCCCTGTCCTAGAGATCTAAGCGCCTTGGTCTTTTCAGGTACGCGGCCTCGAAGACGGCTCAGCAGCCCTCGTAATTGGACAGCTGGGCTTTAGCCCTACGAGAAAAAACATTTCACGGCGGGCAGAAACTGCCACTAAGAGAACCAAGACCGGTCTACTGATGCGCCACGCGCTAAACAAAAGGCTTGCCAATGCAGGGGTCCCGGACACGACACATGCAAACGAGGACAGGCAGGTTTCTAACGCGGTGATTCGCCATCGTACGTCGCCATGGGGGGGTCATCCATGTCTCGATCCTTCGCTGTTTTCACCAACGCGGGAGGCTAATAGGCGAGACGAACCTCATACAATTTATGTCGCATTTGCTGGGCTTTCGGTCCTGGAAAGAGGAGCCATGAGCATCGACGACATGTTGCCTTGATGATTGATGATGGCTGGCCAAAGCTTGTCAACATGGATTCTGCTTCGTGAACTGGCTGCTTGATGAATCAACATGTCCCGATCAGGTATGTCATGGAAAAGCTCAGCTTTCAGCTACTCGCAAACTCGGGCTATTTTTTACCGCTCTAAGCACGACTAGTTCTACAAGCGGCCAATCAAGCTGACAACTGACATCAGGTCGTCTGCTGCTAGTTCCAGTAGTAATATCTGTACCGGTACATTCGTGCTTGTACCTATTGTTGGTCGTGAGGCCAACCGTCCGTAGCACTCGGTTATGGGCTCGTGCAAAAAAAGACCGCAACTCCAAGTCTCTGTACACGGATACAACGGGAATACGCAGTCTAGACAGTCAAATCTCGGCCGGGAACCCTAGATTTGACCAATGGTGGCTTGTGGCCGTTTCTCCGGCACCAGAAACCACTATGCCTGTTCCTGGATTCTGCAGCGTTGGTGATTTTGCCCACATGTGTGTGCTCATCTGCCCACCCTCTGACCGAGTGGAAGGGCCATGTATGGACAAATTAGGCTTCACGGATCCGTTCTTCCGTCATAGCTTACTCTGGAGAGATTGGCCAAGACCAAACGCGCATATGAGCCCAGTCCCGCGGCGCAATCAGATGGGCTTAGTGAGGTGAGGCCCCAGGGGAGGCCGAGAAAGGAAATGGCCGAGTCCACGATGGATGCACTTTGGGGGTAGGCTGGACTGTTAGTTTACAGTAGGCTCCGAGCAAGCGTGGGCAACTAAAATGCGAATGGGTGGCTTGCCACCGTTGCTGACTCTCTTCTTCTTTTCTTCTTCTTTTCTGTTCTCTTTATCAACTCTAGCTCTGTTAACTTCAGAGACGGCTCGGTTCCTAGGCCAAGTTGCAGACGGTTTCGTTTGCGTCCTTTCGTTGATCTTAGAATCATCACACTCATTCTTTTCCTGGCTTCGGCCACCTTACAGTCTTTCTCTAGTATAATCTAGACAGTCAGTCAACAAAATGGTTTCTGCTCGTGCTGGTGTTGCGGCCGTTGGCCTCCTGAACGGTTACTGGGTATGTTGCCATAGTTGTCTCCTTTAGTCCCCCCTTCAACTGTTGAACACGCTGCTCACAACTAATGTTTAGGGACAACACAGCACTCCTGGTGGCCTTAGGACACACTGCGATGCTGGTGTTGATTCCGTCACCCTTGGTTTTGTTAACAGCGCCCCTGATTCCTCTGGATATCCCGGCATCAACTTCGGACCCAACTGTTGGGCAGATTCATACCCTGACCCCAACACTGGCTTGCCCACAAAGCTCTACAGCCACTGCATGACCCTCCAGCAAGATATTCCTTACTGCAGATCCAAAGGTGTCAAGATCATTCTCAGTATCGGAGGAGTGTACGACCCCGTCCTTGACAACTACAAGGTTACAGACAACACCACGGCTACCAACTTTGCCACCTTCCTTTATAATGCTTTTGGTCCTTACAACTCAAGCTGGACGGGCCCTCGCCCCTTTGATGCCAGTCCCATCGACCACACCGCCGTTGATGGTTTCGATTTCGATCTTGAGCCTCCGGCAACCAGCGCTCTCAGCCCTGCCTGGTGTAAGTTCTCCCCCCTTTCTCTCTTGGAATTTGCTACTATGGGCGTCGAGTGCTAAGATTTTGTCTCAACGCAGCAATGGCACCTTACATCAAGATGGTTGAGATATTCCGTGCTCTCAACCCGTCTTTGATTATGACTGCTGCCCCCCAGTGCCCTACCAACCCTCAATACTTTGCCATGAAGGACTTGATCCAAAACGCCGCCTTTGACAAGCTTTTCATCCAGTTCTACAACAACCCGGCCTGTGATGCCATTTCTGGAAACTCCCCCGGCGATGCTTTCAACTACAACGACTGGGAGACCATTGTTGCCAATAGCGCCAAGAGCAAGTCGGCTAAGCTGTACATTGGTCTTCAGGGTCAACCCACGCCCCTTGGATCAACCGAGTCTGGCTACATTGACCCCATTGCTGTGAAGAACCTGGTTTGCCAATACAAGGACAAGGCGCACTTTGGCGGTCTTTCGGTGTGGGATCTGTCTCAGGGTCTGTCCAACGTTGTCAACGGAACGTCGTTTAACCAGTGGGCTCTTGAGGCGCTGCAGGTCGGATGCAACCCCTATCCTACTACAACCACCTCGGCTACTACTGTTGCTAGCACAACGACTTCCAAGGCGACTTCCACGACTTCCAAGGCTTCGTCGACTACCACAACCAAGGCTTCATCGACGACTTCTAAGGCGTCTACCACGTCCAAGGCTTCGTCGACAACCTCCAAGGCATCCACGACCTCCAAGGCTTCTACTACCTCAAAGGCGTCGACAACTTCAAAGGCCAGTACTACTTCTAAAGCCTCTACCACTTCCAAGGCAAGCACTACTTCCAAGGCTTCGACTACCTCCAAGGCGTCTACCACTTCCAAAGCCTCGACAACTTCAAAGGCAAGCACTACTTCTAAAGTAAGCTCTACCTCCAAGGCTTCAACCACCTCCAAGGCTTCAACCACCTCCAAGGCTTCAACCACCTCCAAGGCTTCAACCACCTCCAAGGCGTCTACCACCTCCAAGGCGTCTACCACTTCCAAAGCCTCGACAACTTCCAAGCCAAGCACTACTTCTAAAGTAAGCTCTACCTCTAAGGCTTCGACTACCTCTAAGGCTTCGACAACTTCCAAGGCGTCCACCACCTCCAAGGCCTCGACTACTTCCAAAGCCTCCACCACTTCCAAGGTGTCCACAACCTCAAAGGCAA